CCCAAACCTTGGGGAATGTCTATTCCTGTCCCTCGGGGGTGTTGGGAAGGATCCCAAGAGCCTCCGATGGATCCCAGCACGGAGGAGATCCCGGGAACCCTTTTTTCCCAGAGCAGCAGTTGCTCACCGAGGCAGCTCCAAATAATTCGGGATGAATAAATCCCTGGATTCCACCACGCGGCTGCTTCGGGTTTCCCACTGGGAAGTCGTGGTGGGAAGGAATCAACCCCATCCCTGGTTTTGGGGAGCGGGGGGAGAGGCACCTCCGTGCCGTTGAGCGGGACCCAAAGCCCGCCCTGGAAGGTAGGAATTCCATGGGAATTCCGTGGGAAAAGCTGATTCCCTCCGCAGACTCGGGCGGCGCCGTCGGAAGCTCCGACGTCGTGATCCTGCTGCACGGATTCCCGACTTCCAGCTACGACTGGAGCAAGGTGAGGGCAGCCGGGGGCACATCCCAGGGGGGTGAGTCAGCCCCGCTCCAGAGGAGAATTCCCGATTCCTTCCGGAGGCCCCACTCCGGGATACCCGCCCTGTTCTTCCTCTCCCAACAACCCCGCATGGGATCCAAGCTCTCCTCACATTCCCACGCTCCATCCCAAAGCTGGGAAAGACCCACAGCTATTTACTGGAGGGGTTTGGGATTTTTGGGGATGGTCCAGCTGTTTATTGGGAAATTCGGAGCTCCTGCTGTTTTCCCGGAGCTGGAAGATGCTGCCAGGGTGGAGCAATCCCTGGCTGCTCCTTCCGGATGCTTTTTTAATGGATTTCTCCCTCTTCCCAGATCTGGGAAGGGCTGACCCAGCGCTTCCACCGGGTGATCGCCCTGGATTTCCTGGGATTTGGCTTCAGCGACAAGCCCGTGAGTATCTCAGGGAGGAGGATTTTCCTGGATGCTTTCCAGCTCCAGATCCAGGCACTTTGGAGCTCAGTTTTCCCTCCCATTTACACCTGGAAAAGGGATGAGACGTAGGATAACAGGGATCAGTGGGAGGGACGAGGGAGGTTTGTGGTGGGGCCTCACTTGGGTTTGATGATCCCAAAGAATTCCTGGATCCCTTTGGAGCACGGACAGTGTGGACACCACCGGTGATCCAGGACATTCCGTTGCTCAACCCAGGGTCACAAACTCCTGCTTTCCATCCCATTTGGGGGTTTCTCCCAGGATTTGTGGGCTCAGGCTCTCACCGGGGCCCCTCTCCCGCTTTTCCAGAGGCCCCACCGCTATTCCATCTTCGAGCAGGCCAACGTCGTGGAAGGGCTCGCGCGGCACCTCGGCCTCCAGCGCCACCGGATCAACCTCCTGGCCCACGACTACGGGGACACGGTGGCCCAGGAGCTGCTCCACAGGTCATTCCAACCCCTGGCACCCCATGGACACCATTCCAACCCTTGACGCGCCACGGAGACCATTCCAACCCCTGGCACCCCTTCTTGTCCCTGTGGACACCATTCCAACCCTTGACACGCCATGGAGAACCATTCCAACCCCTGGCACTCCTTGTTGTCCCCATGGAGACAATTCCAACCCCTGGCACTCCTTGTTGTCCCCATGGACACCATTCCAACCCCTGGCACTCCTTGTTGTCCCCATGGACACAATTCCAACCCCTGACACCCCTTATTGTCCCCATGGAGACAATTCCAACCCCTGGCACTCCTTGTTATCCTCATGGAGACAATTCCAACCCCTGGCACTCCTTGTTGTCCCCATGGACACAATTCCAACCCCTGGCACTCCCTGTTGTCCCCATGGAGACAATTCCAACCCCTGGCACCCCTTGTTGTTCCCACGGACACCATTCCAACCCCTGGCACCCCATGGAGACAATTCCAACCCCTGGCATCCCTTGTCCCCATGGAGGTGATTCCAACCCCTGGCACTCCTTGTTGTTCCCATGGAGACAATTCCAACCCCTGGCACTCCTTGTTGTCCCCATGGACACCATTCCAACCCTTCCAACCCCTGCACCCTTTGTTGTTCCCATGGAGACAATTCCAACCCCTGTCACCTCTTGTTGTCCCCATGGAGATGATTCCCAGCAATCAGTGGGATCCCCCTTTTCCTCGTCCCTCCCAAGGCTGAGAGCTCTCAGGGTGTGTCATTCCCGAGGGTCCCACCCATCCAAATCCCAGCAGGGATCCAGGGATGACCCGGCAGTGTCCGTGCGACCTCCTGGGCGGTCATTCCTTGGATCCTGGAGAGGTCTGGATGTGTTCCACCTTCTCCTCTGGTGTCCCCAGGTACGAGCACAATAAAACCGGGAGCATCCTGATCAACAGCCTCTGCTTATCCAACGGAGGTGAGGATCTCCTGGAAAGGCGGGATGGGGATCCATGGGATTGGGATCCATGGCATAGGGTGGCCTTCCCACCTCCCTCGCCTGAATCCCAAGGGAAGCGCAATTAAGGTGCCGTGATTAGGAGTCCAATCCTGGCTCCCTGTCCCACATTCCATGGCCCCACGAGGACGGGGAGGGACCGGGAAGTGGGGAGCAAAGCACTTATGGATTTACAGCTCTGTTTTCCCGCCTCCTTCCAGGGATTTTTCAGGAAACATACCACCCCAGGTTCATCCAGAAGGTGAGCTGCTCCCCTCTCTGTCCGGCCTGACTCCCAGTATCCCAAATAAACACCCCTTGGAGCGCCGGTGTCCCACCAGGAGACCTTGTGGGCATCTCCGGGGTTAGGGAGTTGTGGGAAAAGCTCTCCAGGGAGACAGGATTGATCCGTGTGTCCCATCTCCTGTTTTCCCATCTCCCCAGCTCCTCCAGGATGGTGGTTTGCTGTCCCCCCTCCTCCTGCGCCTGATGAACTTCTTCTTCTTCTCCAGAGGGTGAGCTGGGAACAGTCCACAGGGATGGGAGCCAAGCAGGGAAGCGGGAATTCGAAGGGATTCCTGGCTGGGAGGGTGGGGAGGGGCTGGAATGGATTTCCCAGAGAAGCTGTGGCTGCCCCTGGATCCCTGGAAGTCTCCGAGGCCGGGTTGGAGCAGCCTGGGATAGTGGAAGGTGTCCCTGCCCGTGGAACTGGATGATCCTTAAGGTCTTTTCCAAGCCAAACCATTCCATGATTCCATGAATTAGCAGGTGTTGGGGCAGGTGAGGGCATGCCCTGGCACCATCCCAGGAGAGATTTTCTTCTGGATTTGAACCTTGACCTTCCAGGCCATTCCCCCTCCAGGCTGAGCTAATAATAAACCACCACATGGCTTTTTCCCTGCTTTCCTTCTCTCCCACAAGAACTGGAATTCCACATTCCAGAGGCAACAAAACCCCACCCAAGCCCTGCCTTTGGTGCACAGTCAGATTTAGGGATTTTTCCCCCAAAAAAGCCCTCTCCAAACTCCCTTTTTTTCCCAGGCTTGGAGCAGTTTTTGGGCCCCACACACAACCCTCCCAGGCGGAATTCTGGGATATGTGGACGGCGGTGCGGAATAATGACGGGAATCTCGTCATGGACAGGTAGGTCACCACGAATTCCTGCAGGGGATTAGTTGGGACACCTGCTCCGAGATTCCCAGAGCTCATCCAGGCTCTCCAGAGCCTCCAGCTGCTTCTGTTGGAGCCTGGGATCATCTTCATCCCCAAAAAAAGAGCTGGGGTGTGATGTGGGAGCAGGAGTTCCCACTGGGATGATGCAGGGCAGGGAAATAAAGTTTGGAATTGGATCTGAGCCTGCAGTGATCCCATGTGGGAATTTTTTCATCTTTGGAAGTCAAGGGCTTGGATTTGGGGGGGGGTGTTCGAGGACTGGAGATAAATCTGTGGCAGGTGAACGGATCCCTTGGAATTGTCCCAGGAGAGCTTTGCCTCTGGATTTGAATGACCTTGATCTTCTTGGCCATTCCCAGAAGTTCCAGTGCCAAATCTCCAGTTTGGGAGTTTGGGAAGGACCCGTTTGCTCCAATTTGGAAGTTTAGGAAGGTCCTGTTTGCTCCAGTTTGGAGAGTTTGGGAAGGACCCGCTTGCTCCAGTTTGGGAGTTTTGGAAGGTCCTGTTTGCTCCAGTTTGGGAGTTTTGGAAGGACCTGTTTCCTCCAGTTTGGGGAGTTTGGGAAGGTCCTGTTTGCTCCAGTTTGGGAGTTTTGGAAGGTCCTGTTTCCTCCAGTTTGGGGGTTTTGGAAGGTCCTGTTTGCTCCAGTTTGGGAAGGACCCGTTTGCTCTAGTTTGGGAGTTTGGGAAGGTCCTGTTTGCTCCAGTTTGGGAAGGTCCTGTTTGCTCCAGTTTGGGAAGGTCCTGTTTGCTCCAGTTTGGGCTTTCAGGAGGATTTCTTGGCTGTGAGTCCAGCATCCCTGTTCAGTGTGTCCTTCTCTCCTTTTCTCCCCCTGGAAAAACCAAGTCACTAAACTCCGGGATGCTGTTGTGGTGCTGCTGTCCCAGGGAGATCCATGGGAGATGCAGATCCCCCCTCACCATCTGTGGCCCCGGGAGCAAATCCCAGGCTGTGCCACCCCTGGAATGTCCGTAACCAGGGATTTCTCCTCAGTGTTTTGCAGTACATCAACGAGAGGAAGCAGCACAGTGACCGCTGGGTCAGGGCTCTGGTGTCCACCTCTGTCCCACGTGAGTAGGAATCCCTGGAATCCCTTCCTTTCCTGCTTGGGATCGGTGGGAACTGTCCCCTTCCGCTCCTTGCCGGAGCTTCCCGTCATCCCGGTGATGATGATGGAGCTCCAATCCAGGGGGAACATCCCAAACTTCCAGCTCAAGGCTCAGCCACACCTTGGCAAGGGAAGTTCATCCCACTGAGCACAGCAACATTCCCTGAGCGGCTCATTCCAGGTGCTGCTCCAGGGAAGTTCCAACCAGGACCCGGAGGCTGTTGGAGCCCCTGGATTGCTCAGGGCTCCATTGGAAGCTTCCCAAGCTCCACGTGAGGGGGGAATTTGGCCCTTGGCTAAATTTAGGGATGTCCTTGGGCGTAAATTCCTCGTTCTTCTCTCTCCCAGTGCATCTCATCTATGGCCCCCTGGACCCTGTGAATCCACACCCGGAATTTCTCCAGCTTTACAGGTAAGATCCCACCCACCACTGAGTGGGAATGTGCCCCTGGGGCCTCATTCCAAGGGATATTTTGGCTGCCTTTCCCTGCAATCCCGTTCTCACAGAGGCTGTTCTTAATTCCCACCTGGAACCAAGCGACTCCAAGTCAGAGCCTTGTGCAGTTTGGGAACTGTTTCCCTTTTTTAGGCACCAAAAAAATTAAAAATCACCATTTTCAGTCAAACCAGTGACAAATTTTAAAACCACAGAGGGAAGATTTAATCCCCGAGGGAATTTTCTCCTCCAAACTAACCTGGAGGAAATCCAGCACTCGGAAGACTGGCCAACTGGGGCTTTTTTTGATCCCAAATCCATGTTTTGTGTGGAATCCCAGCCCTGCCCTCCTCACTGGTGGCACCGGGCTGAGCCTGCTGCTGGTCCTGTGCTTAAGCTTAAGCTTAACTAACCTTGCTCCACTCTTCCCACAGGAAGCTGCTTCCCATGTCCACAGTGTCCGTGCTGGATGACCACATCAGCCACTATCCCCAGCTGGAGGATCCCACGGGATTCCTGAACTCGTACCTCAACTTCATCAACTCCTTCTGAGCTGCTGCCGCTCCAGTTCTCGCCCTCTGCTTCCCAGTCAGGCTTTGGGGGGCAGGAAAAAAACCTTGGCTTTACCTCCCAGAGCCAACACTTTGAACTCAGGGCTGCACTCGGGCAGTTAAATCCTTTGGAACACCGGGAAAACATCAGGCAGGTGTGGGAAAAGCAAAGAGTTCTGGGATGCCAACAGCTCTCCCACCCTCCGGACCGGCCTAACCCTGGATTTAGAGGTGAACTCGGCATTAAATCAGTGTTTCTTCCTTCCTTCCTCACCCTGGCTTGGTAAAGAAACACCAGTTCAGCAGCAGAGAGGTCCCTCCGTCCCCTCCCCTTCCCAGTTTTTGCTATGGGATGTTTCCCATTCCAGCCCAGTACAGGCTGCACCGGTGTTGGGAATTACCTGACATAAATCTGCCTCAGGAGATGAAGTTCCATCTCTTTTGCACATGGATTTTCCCGCCAGGAAGAACCACAAAGACACCGTCAACCTGCAGGTTTCCCTGTGGTTTTTTTTACCAGCCTATGTTGGGAATTTAATTTGGGAATAAGGGGCTTTTTTTGTTGAACAAAACGGGCCGGGTTTGTTTTTTTTTTTTCTTTTCCTGCGCTGAAAACCAGGCAGAACCAGAACAAGAAATCTCTATTTTATTAACAGTGATTCGTAGGAACCCCGCCGCTCGAACCAGGGGTTATTTTCTGGTAATAAAAACCGATTTTGGACAAAAAAAAAAAAAAAAAAGGCAAACAAAAAAAAAAAAAAAAAGCCTGACTCCCGTTTACCTCACCCACCTGCACACGCCCCCTTTTCTCTTCCCATAAATTAAGTGGGAATGTGTGAGTGGCACGGAGGGAAGGGGACGTGGGAACGGCCAAGCCACCGAGAATGGGACCTCGTAGAAAACATTTTCCCAGATTTTTGAGGAATAAAACCCACATGCAAAAGGACAGAGAGGCCTCTCCAGGGGCCAGGTCCCGGCTCGGCCTCAGCCCACGGCCGCCAGGATGACGTCGACGGCCGCCTCGTCCTTGCTCCTCACCGTCACCTGCATGGTCACCCCGTCCCCCAGCGCCAGCCTGGCCCTCACCAGCACGTCACAGCCGCCCCTGTACACACCTGGGGGCAAAGACAGGCAGGGCTCAGCTTAGGAGAGGCTCTGAGCCAGGCCTAACCCAGCAGCCGACAGCGAGGCAGAGGAGTCACTGCCCCGACGGGTCGCTCCGACCCCGCGGAGCTCCAGGGTGGGGGGAGAGGGGATGGGAAGCTGGGAAAGGCCCTGGGGGGGCTGGTGACAGTGGCCTGGGTGTGCCCAGTGGGGCAGGAGGCCACTGGCACCTGGATTGTGTTGGGAATAGTGTGGCCAGCAAGGCTAGGGAAGGGATTGTGCCCCGGTGCTGGGACCTGGTCCCTCGGTTCAGGAAGGACATGGAGGGGCTGGAGCGTGGGCAGGGAAGGGAAGGGAGCTGGGAAGGGGCTGGAGAACTCCTGGGGGAGCTGGAGGGGCTCATCCTGGAGCAAAGGAGGCTCAGGGGGGACCTTCTGGCTCTGCAAGTCCCTGCCAGGAGGGGGGAGCCGGGGGGGGTCGGGCTCTGCTGCCAGGGAAGAAGGGACAGGAGGAGAGGGAACGGCCTCAGGCTGGGCCAGGGGAGGGTCAGGTTGGATATTAGGGAAAATTTCCTCATGGAAGGGGTGGTCAGGCCTTGGAACAGGGTGGAGTCCCCACCCCTGGAGGGATTTCAAATCCCTGTGGATGTGGCACTTGGGGACATGGTCAATGGTGGGCTTGGCACTGCTGGGGCTGGTTGGACTCCACGATCTCAGAGGGCTTTTCCAACCCAAATGATTCCCTGATTCCAGAAGAAGCTGTGGGTGCTGCAGGGCAGTCCAGGAAGTGTCTTTAGTGACAGGACCTTGGGAAGGAGATGATCCTGGAACTGCCCTTCTGAGATAACCCCGGGCAGGGAATTTATTTGGGTGTCTGCTCTGGAAGTTCTCAGTCCAGAGGATTCCACAGGCAGAATTCCTCCATTCCCAGAGACACAGAGCTCAGCCTGAGCACATCCAAGACAGCAGGATCCAACTTACTGCTTCACTGCAGCCTTTCACAGGGAAAAAAACCCCTCTTTTCTACAGAGCAAAAGCTCCCAAAACAAGAGCAGAACCTCCCAAATAATTTCCCTTCCTTTAGCAGAAATCTGTGGGGACGTGGAAACGTGGGATCCAGCAGCAGGGAACACTCACCAGCCAAGTAGAGCGTGTGGGAATTCTTGTTCTCCGGCACTTTATCCGACCTCTCACAGGGCTGCATTCCCAGGAACTTCACGATGTTGTTGACAGCTTCTGCATTCAGGGATGAAAAAAGGAAATTACCTCCAGGTTAATTCCCTAAAAATATATATCCCAGCCTGGCAGATTTACCACCAACAAATGAGGGGCTGTCTCACCATCGAGGGTTTTGATGGAACTGAGGGCAAAGGTCTCTTCCTTCTCAAAGTCATCTCCCACTTCTTCCCAGGCCGCTGCAAAGTTGGGCTTTAAAACCTTCTGGATGTGGTCGGACACGGTCACTTCCAAGTCTTCCAGCTGAGGGGAAAAGGGAGGGAGATTTTCAGGGCAGTGGCAGGAAAGGAGCCTCGCCCTGGGGAGGGAAAGATCCAGCGGCGTTTTGCCAGGACAGCTCTGCCGTGCCTGGCTTGAATTTTTGGGAGAAGCACGTGACAACGGCTCCTAAAAATGGGGAAAACCTGGGTTTATTCTGGTCATTTGTAAACATGAAAAACATCCACACAGAAGGGACTAAAAGAGAAGAGAAAATCAGGTCATTACTCGGTGGCTTAAAGCCCTTTATAGCCCTCACTGGGCATCCACCAGGAGAGATTTCCTCAGGATCCATGGAATCACACTGGGCTGGGTTGGAAGGGAACTGAAGGATCATCCAGTTCCATCCAGGGACACCTCCCACTATCCCAGGTTGATCCAACCTGGCCTTAGACACTTCCAGGGATCCAGGGGCAGCCACAGCTTCTCTGGGAACTCTATTCCAGCCCCTCCCCACCCTCCCAGCCAGCAATTCCTTCCCAATATCCCATCTCTCCCTGCCCTCTGGCAGTGGGAAGCCATTCCCTGTGTCCTGTCCCTCCATCCCTTGTCCCCAGTCCCTCTCCAGCTCTCCTGGAGCCCCTTTAGGCCCTGCAAGGGGCTCCAAGGTTTTCCTGGATCCTTCTCTTCTCCCAACACTTCCTAACACCTGACTTATATTTCCATGATAAACAGAAGTGCAAAAGCCTGGGGTGGAAAGACTGACTGTGAAAACAAACAGTGGAAATCATTCCTTCCTTTTTTTCCCTGCCTGCCCCCACCAATCCTGTCTCCACAGGGCAGAAGTCAATTTTTGGGGAAGGCTCCAAAACGACAAGTTGGGGAGTATTTTGGCGCTCCAGGCAGGAACATCCTTCCCTCCGAGCGACTCCAAGGTCCGAAAGGAAACCATCCCATGTGTATTCCCAACTAATGGCAAGGGGAAAAGAAGGAAGCAGAGCCTGGACTCACCACGTACTCATCCTCGTAGCCATCCTCCTCTGGCACCCCCGTGTTGGGGTCGCAGTCCCGCACCGTGAACTTCATGGTGCAGCTGAAGGTGCAGGACACTGGGAAGCAGAGAGAGAAATCTGGGATAATCAGTGCCAGAGCCCTCCCTTCCCAAAAAAAACCCCAGAGACTGGAATGAGTATCCATCAGAAATATGCTGATTTTAAGGGGAAGGCCAAAGGGCTGTGGGATAACAAGCACCCTGATTCCCAGTGGGATCCAGGAGGGATTCCACCAGGATTTCAGCCAAGTGGAGCGCGATGCAGAGTTCAGGGAATTCTGATTAGTCCTAATCTTGCCTGCTATTAAAGCAACAACCACTGCACTGACGAGCTGAGTCATGTTAAACCCACTGCAGATCCAGTGGTGAGGGATAAAAGAGAGAAAGGGAAGTCTCGTGGCCAGGAAAATCCCATTCCTACATTTCACAGTTGATTCTAATTCACTAAAGAGAGGAATAATTCCACTGGCCAGTTATATAGAGTCCTAGACTACTAATACTTTTATGATTTGCATTATTTTTTAGTGTTTGTATTTTCCTTTGACTGGTTCTGATCTTTACCATCCCCAAATGTTCATGTGCTCCTCGCCTTGATTCCAGGTACTCAATTCCAGTTTCCACCACCTGCACCCTCTCAAATCTCCTTTAAATCCCAGTTTTAACCACCCAACACCACTCAATGTTTAAAATCCTTTGCACACACACTTGGGTTCTACCCAAAACCCTGTGAGAATCCCGGGATGCCAAACCCCAAACGCTTGGGTGTTCTCCAAACCTTTCCTTTGAGGGATTTTGTGCACAGATGATCCCTCCCAAGGGGTACCTGCAGTGGGGTCGTCCTGGGGGATCCTGACCAGGGTGTAGCACATCCCAGGCTGGTTGTAGGCCAGGCTGGGAGCTGGGATGCAGCAGAGCACGTCGTAGGCGTCCGACGGCTCCACCTGCACCGTGACCCTCTCCAGGAGCTGGTCGTTGAGCGTGTTGGTGCAGTCGAACTGCGGCAGAGCACAGGACAAAAACATTCCCCGTGGAGGGTTATTCCCTGAAAACGCTCCCCTGGCAGGCAGCAGCCACCCCCCAGCTCCCTCCCATCCCGGGAAAAGCCAGGGAGATCCCTCACCTGGAAGACGATGTGGTTCGGGAAGACGTGTTTGACGCAGCGCACGAAGTACTCGGTCTCTGCTTCCGTGAGCTGGACGGGCTCGGAGCACCAGAACAGAGGACCCAGGCTCTGGAATTCTGGGATGGCTGCCAGTTGTTCTGGGGAGGGAGGAGATGAAGGTTAAGGATGGGATTGTCCACTGCTCCCACCGGTGGGGATCATCCCAAGGCTTCACAGGATCAAGGAATGGTTTGGGTTGGAGGGGAACTGAAGGCAGGGACACCTCCCACTATCCCAGGTTGCTCCAGCCTGGCCTTGGACACTTCCAGGGATCCAGGGGCAGCCACAGCTTCTCTGGGAAATCCATTCCAGCCCCTCCCCACCCTCCCAGCCAGCAATTCCTTCCCAATATCCCATCTAACCCCGCCCTGTGGCATGGGAAGCCATTCCCTGTGTGCTGTCCCTCCAGGCCCTCCTCTGGGAGTGAGTGGGGTGGGAAGAGCTCCCTGAGGGCTCCTGGGGGTGGGAAGAGCTTCCTGAACCCTCCTGGGGGTGGGAACAGCTTCCTGAACTCTCCTGGGGTAGGAAGAGCCCCCCAAGGGCTCCTGGGGAAATGGAGAGAGGAGAGCAAGGGTTGTGTGAGCTGGAGGTTGGAAAAAGCTGGACCCTGGAATCACAGAGTGGTTTGGGTGGGAAGGGAAATGAAGGATCATCCAGTTCCATGGGCAGGGACACCTCCCACTAGCCCAGGTTGCTCCAACCTGACCTTGGACACTTCCAGGGATCCAGGGGCAGCCACAGCTTCTCTGGGAAATCCATCCCAGCCCCTCCCCACCCTCCCAGCCAGCAATTCCTTCCCAATATCCCACCTATCCCTGCCCTCTGGCACTGGGAAGCCATTCCCTGTGTCCTGTCTCTCCATGCCTTGTCCCCAGTCCCTCTCCAGCTCTCCTGTCGGAAAGTTCTGGAAACTCACTGCTCTTCTCCTACCTTGAAATATATCCTGGCGTGAAGGAGCCACTTTCTCGGGTTTGTTGGTCACCAGGGCAATCTCTGGGGAGAAAAAACAAAGGCTTTGTGCTCTCAACTACACCAAAACTCTGCCATATCTCCACCAAAAATTCCTTAACCTGTTGGATTCCCACATGTCCTGCTGCAAACCACTTCCAGCCCAGGTCCTCTCTCACACTGAAATATCCTTTTTTAATTTATTTTTGTGAGGAAATATTGGATTTTATGGAGAGAAATAACCCACATTTTAGCCCGGTAAAAAACCAGAAGGAGGAGGAAAAGGGGGGGGGGGGGGGAGAAGAAAAAAAAAAGCCACAAAGCTTTTCTTAAAACACTGTGCAAAGTCAGAATGCAAAAGGAGTTGTGCAAAAGGACATGGAAGAAAGCCAGGGAAGTGACTCAGCACTTCTGGAAGGGAGTTCTTCCAAAGGCTGTGAACTAATAAACCCTGCTTATGCACAGACTTGCCTCTGACAACGAGATCAGGAGAACAACAACGCCCTGAAGGCTCTGAGCTGGGCCTACACCCCGCCTAAGCCCAGCCTAAAGTGGTACCTGCTTTCTGCTCGAAGATCGGGGCCGTGGCCAGAGGGACTGTTTTCATGTCGAAGGGTTTGTCCGAGGGCTCCAGGGTGTATTGGTGCAGGGCCTTCTCCATCCCAGGGACGGACACTGTCAACCCTGCGAGGCAAAAAAAGCAGGAAAACTGGGTGTGAAGAGCAGGAACGGGCCCACAGGGGTGATAAAGGCTCTTTTCCCGGTGACAAACACACACAGAGCACTTGGAGACACCGGGCAGGATAAAACAACCTGCTCTGGAGGTGACACAAAGCTGGCAAGGGTAAACATTTGCCTCGAGCAAAGTCACGCGGAGAGGATCTCAAACGTGTCACTCTGCTCCCATGAACTTTCAGTTAGAGACAGTAAAGCAATTTCACAGCCAAGGCTGGCAGCAAGACGTGTTCTCCTTGTTTTGTCACGGAAAAAAGACGGAGCAAAGGTCAAGAAACCCGTCCCAGGTGAAGGCCCAGTCAGTGAGAAAAGCCCAGCTCAGACTCCGGCCCCCGTTTCCCAGCCAATCCACACCACACTTGGCTGACTCTGCCGATCTCAGCAAGGGCTAAAACCAGAATTAACCCGTGAAAGAAGAGCTCAGAAGTGTTTTGTCCCTCTCACTGACCGTTGAAGATGTAGGCGGCGTTCAGGGCCAGCTGCCTCTGCTGCAGCACGTTCAGGTAGAAGGTGGCTCTGTCCCGCACCTCGTCGTCGCTGTCCATCATGCACCTGGATTTGGGGGGACAGCAGGGCAAGGCTCAGCCCAGGAGAGCCCAGAGCTGAGCTTAAAGTGGCACTGGAAAGGCTGGACTTGATATTGGAACAACACTCAGAGCTCCCTCAGTGCGTTGGCGGCCAGTGGTGTCCCCAGGGATCAGTGCTGGGCCCAGTCCTGTTTAATGTCTTTATTGAGGATCTGGAGGAGGGGATGGAGGGAACCATCAGCACATTCCAGGTGCCCCCAAGCTGGGGGAGTGTTGATGTGCTGGAAGGCAGGAGGGCTCTGCAGAGGGCCCTGGCCAGGCTGGATCCAGGGGCTGATTGCAAGGGGCTGAGGTTCCCCAAGGCCAAGGGCCGGGTCCTGCCCTTTGGCCACAAGAAGCCCCTGCAGCTGCAGGCTGGGCCAGAGGGGCTGGAGAGCAGCCAGGCAGGAAGGGAGCTGGGAGTTGGGCTGGGCAGGGAGCTGAAGAGGAGCCCGAGTGTGGCCAGGGGGGCAAGAGGGCCAAGGGCTGCTGGGCTGGCTGAGGAAGAGTGTGGCAGCAGGAGCAGGGCAGGGCTTGTGCCCCTGGGCTGGGCGCTGGGGAGGCCACCCCTGGAGTGCTGTGTCCAGCTCTGGGCCCTGAGCTCAGGAAGGCCCTGGAGGGGCTGGAGCAGGGGCAGAGAAGAGCAGCGAGGCTGGGGAAGGGACTGGAGCCCAAGTGCTGGGAGGAGAGGCTGAGGGAGCTGGGGGGGCTCAGCCTGGAGAGGAGGAGGCTCAGGGGAGACCTCCTCACTCTCTGCAACTCCCTGCCAGGAGGGGGGAGCCGGGGGGGGTTGGGCTCTTTTCCCAGGCAACCATCAGCAAGACAAGAGGGCTCGGTCTTCAGCTGTGCCAGGGGAGGTTTAGGTTGGATATCAGGAAGAATTTCTTTGCAGAGAGGGTGCTCAGCCATTGGAATGGGCTGCCCAGGGAAGGGGGGGATTCTCCGTCCCTGGAGGTGTTTAAGGACAGACTGGATGTGGCATCAGTGCCATGGGCTGGGAACCACGGCGGGGTTGGATCAAGGGTTGGGCTGGATGAGCTCAGAGGTCCCTTCCAACCCAGCTGATTCTGGGATTTGCAAATGAAGCAAAAAATCTGAAAGGCAGGAGCTGAAGTTTAACTTGAGGCTTAAACCCAAGTGGAACATCGGGAAAACGAGATGAAATCATCTCCTAACAAGAGCCCTGAAATGGGAACACCCCAGAGCTGCTCAGGCAAACACTGAAGTTATTTATGAGTAAACTGGGAATAGATTTTCTTGCTTCAAAGGATGCCTAAAAAATAATAATGTTCACATGTAGGGAAGCTCTGCAGAGGGAGAGTGAGTTTTTATGTGGGCAGGGAGGGATAGGATAAAGGGGAACAGTTTTAAACTAAAAGGGATTTAGGTTGGATATTGGAAAGGAATTGCTGGGTGGGAGGGTGGGGAGGGGCTGGAATGGATTTCCCAGAGAAGCTGTGGCTGCCTCTGTATCCCTGGAAGTGTCCAAGGCCAGGCTAGAGCAACCTGGGAGAGTGGAAGCTGTCAGGGTTGGAACTGGGTGGTCTTTAAAGTCCCTTCCCACCCAAAACTGAGGATGAACAGAAGCTTTTGGGACTGGATCCCTCTGCTCTGGAGCCAGGCTGGGAGAGCTGAGGGGGTTCCCCTGGAGAAGAGAAGGCTCCAGGGAGAGCTGAGAGCCCCTGGCAGGGCCTAAAGGGGCTCCAGGAGAGCTGGAGAGGGACTGGGGACAAGGCCTGGAGGGACAGGACACAGGGAATGGCTTCCCACAGCCAGAGGACAGGGATGGATGGGATATTGGGAAGGAATTCCTGGCTGGGAGGGTGGGGAGGGGCTGGGATGGATTTCCCAGAGAAGCTGTGGCTGCCCCTGGATCCCTGGAAGTGTCCAAGGCCGGGCTGGAGTGACCTGGGATAGTGGGAGGTGTCCCTGGATGGGCTTTAAGGTCCCTTCCAATCAAACCATTCTGTGATTCCGTGATTTGTTACCCACCGAGGAATGTTCCAGACCAGCTCACTCCCACACTTCCCCGACCAATCCCATCTTTTCCCTGCCTGTTCCCAGCAGTTCCTGCTCCCTCCGGCCACGCGGGGAAGGCGCAAAACCGACACCTCCCAATTCCCCCGCCGGGATCGACAAATTCCGGCCTCGCCGCTCCCGTTGTGCCCCCCCAGCTCAGCACACGCCCCCACACCCCCCCACAGCCCCCCCAAAACTCACCTCTGCAGCAGCACCAGGATACTGGGAAGCAGATTCTCATTCTGGGCCCCAAACTTTGCCAGGGCGCTGACGGCGGCTGGAGAGAGAGCAGGGAAGAGAACAGGGAATGCCGGAGGGGGGCTCGGGTCACACCCAAAATTCCCGATTCCCAGCTTCCCACCCCACCCCATAAAACCTTTTGGAGTTGAGGGGGAGGCTAAATTTGTTCCTGTGTTTTCAGTTGTGTGTCAGGGAACGTGACAAATCCGGGGGTTTTCCCACACAACCCCTCAGCAACCACGAGCTCGGCGCCGGCCCGGAGGAATTCCACAGCCGGAGGGAAGAGGGAGGTGTTTGGGGAAGTACAAACCCCAGAAAAATGAAAGAGGGAATTCCCAAGAAAACAGGGAAGTAGCAGGAATTGCCTCTCAACTTCAAGAGACACTCCAAGAAGGGCCTGGAAGACGATATGTTACTTCTAGCCTGTAAAATATCCTGTAAAATATTCTTTAAAATACTTCTAGCCTCTAAAATATTCTGTAAAATATTCTGTAAAATACTTCTTGTCTGTAAAATATTCTGTAAAATATTCTTTAAAATACTTCTAGCCTGTAAAATATCCTGTAAAATACTCTGCAAAATACTTCTGGTATGTAAAATATTCTGTAAAATATTCTGTAAAATACCTTCTGTAAAATACTTCTAGTCTGTGAAATATTCTGTAAAATACATTCTGTAAAATATTCTTTAAAATACTTCTAGTCTGTAAAATATTCTGTAAAATATCCTGTAAAATACATTCTGTAAAATACTTCTAGTCTGTAAAATATCCTGAAAAATATTCTTTAAAATACTTCTAGCTTGTAAAATATTCTGTAAAATACATTTTGTAAAATACTTCTTGTCTGTAAAATATTCTGTAAAATACTTTTAGTCTGTAAAACATTCTGTAAAATATTCTTTAAGATACTTCTAGTCTGTGAAATATTCTGTAAAATACATTCTGTAAAATATACTTCTGGTCTGTAAAATATCCTGTAAAATATTCTGTAAAACACTTTAGCCTGTGAAATATTCTATAAAATACATTATGTAAAATACTTCTAGTCTGTAAAATATTCTGTAAAATACTCTTTAAAATACTTCTGGTCTGTAAAATATTCTGTAAAACATCCTGTAAAATACATTCTGTAAAATACTTCTAGTCTGTAAAATATCCTGAAAAATATTCTTTAAAATACTTCTAGCTTGTAAAATATTCTGTAAAATATTCTGTAAAATACATTTTGTAAAATACTTCTTGTCTGTAAAATATTCTGTAAAATACTTTTAGTCTGTAAAACATTCTGTAAAATATTCTTTAAGATACTTCTAGTCTGTGAAATATTCTGTAAAATACATTCTGTAAAATATACTTCTGGTCTGTAAAATATCCTGTAAAATATTCTGTAAAACACTTTAGCCTGTGAAATATTCTATAAAATACATTCTGTAAAATACTTCTAGTCTGTAAAATATTCTGTAAAATACTCTTTAAAATACTTCTGGTCTGTAAAATATTCTGTAAAATACTCTTTAAAATACTTCTAGTCTGTAAAATATCCTGTAAAATATTCTTTAAAATACTTCTAGTCTGTAAAATATTCTGTAAAATATTCTTTAAAATACTTCCACTTTGTAAAATATCCTGTAAAATACATTCTGTAAAATACTTCTAGTCTGTGAAATATTCTGTAAAATACTCTGTAAAATACTCTGTAAAATATTCTTTAAAATACTTCCAGTCTGTAAAATATTCTGTAAAATATCCTGTAAAATACATTCTGTAAAATACTTCTATTCTGTAAAATATTCTTTAAAATACTTCTAGTATGTAAAATATTCTGTAAAATATTCTGTAAAATACATTCTGTAAAATACTTCTTGTCTGTAAAATATTCTGTAAAATACTCTTTAAAATACTTCTGGTCTGTAAATTATTCTGTAAAATACAGTTGTAAAATACTTTTAGCCTGTAAAATATTTCTACTCTGTAAAATATCCCGTAAAATACATTCTGTAAAATATTCTTTAAAATACTTCTAGCCTGTAAAATATTTATTCTGTAAAATACTTCTGTTCTCTGAAATACATATTCCCTGAAATACTTCTGTCAAATACTTCTCTAAAATACTTCCAGTCTGTAAAATACTTCTAGGCTGTAAAATCCTTAAAAAATTCTGTAAAATCCTTAAAAAAAAAAATCCATAAAATCCTTAAAAAATTCTCTAAAATCCTTAAAAAAATTCTCTAAAATCCTTAAAAATTTCTGTAAAATCCTTTAGAAAATTCTGCAAAATCCTTAAAAAAAAATCTGTAAAATCCTTAAAAAACCCTGTAAAATTCATTAAAAAAATTCCATAAAATCCTTTAAAAATTCTGTAAAACCCTTAAAAAAAAAATCTGTAAAATCCTTAAAAAAAATTCTCTAAAATCCTTAAGAAATTCTGTAAAATCCTTAAAAAAATTTCTGCCAAATCCTTAAAAATGTTCTGCAAAATCCTTAAAAAAAAATCTGTAAAATCCTTAAAAAAAAAATCCGTAAAATCGTTTAAAAATCCTGTAAAATCCTTAAAAAAAAGCCCTGTAAAATCCTTAAAAATATTCTGTAAAATCCTTAAAAAAAATTCTGTAAAATCCTTAATAAAATTCTGTAAAATCCTTAAAAAAAATCCGTAAAATCCTTTTAAAATTCTGTAAAATCCTTAAAAAAATTCTGTAAAATCCTCTAAAAATATTCTGTAAAATCCTTAAAAAATTCTGTAAAACCCTTAAAAAAAAAATCTGTAAAATCCTTAAAAAAAAATCCATAAAATGCTTTAAAAATTCTGTAAAACCCTTAAAAAAATTTCTGTAAAATCCTTAAAAAAAAATTCCATAAAATCGTTTAAAGATTCTGTAAAATCCTTAAAAAAACCACCATAAAATCCTTAAAAAAAAAAAAAGTAAAATCCTTTAAAAAATTCTGTAAAACCCTTAAAAAAATTCTCTGAAATCCTTAAAAAATTCTGTAAATCCCTTAAAAAAAAAAATCTGTAAAATCCTTAGAAAAAACTCCATAAAATCCTTTAAAACTTCGGTAAAACCCTTAAAAAAATTCCGTAAAATCCTTAAAAAAAATTCCATAAAATCCTTAAAAAAAAACTCCCTAAAATCCTTTAAAAATTCTGTAAAATCGTTTAAAGATTCTGTAAAATCCTTAAAAAAAAATCTGTAAAATCCTTTAAAACGTCTGTAAAACCCTTAAAAAAATTCCGTAAAATCCTTAGAAATATTCTGTTAAATCCTTTAAAAAAATATCCATAAAATCCTTTAAAAATTCTGTAAAATCCTTAAAAAAAACCCCTATAAAATTCTTAAAAAAAAAAACCATAAAATCCTTTAAAAATTCTGTAAAATCCTTAAAAAAACCCCTACAAAATTCTTTAAAAAAAAATCCATAAAATCCTTAAAAGAAAAACCCCTAAAATCCTTTAAAAATTCCATAAAATCGTTTAAAGATTCTGTAAAATCATTAAAAAAAACTCCTATAAAATTCTTAAAAAAAAAAAATCCATGAAATCGTTTAAAATATTCTGTAAAACCCTTAAAAAAATTCTGTAAAATCCTTAAAAATATTCTGTTAAATCCTTAAAAAAAAAAAATCTGTAAAATCCTTTAAAAATTCCGTAAAATCCTTAAAAATATTCTGTAAAATCCTTAAAAAAATTCCATAAAATCCTTTAAAAATTCCATAAAAATCCTTAAAAAAAAATCCGTAAAAACGTTTAAAAAAATTCCATAAAATCCTTAAAAAAAAAAATGGTTTAAAAAATCTGTAAAATCCTTAAAATATTCTAAAAAATCCTTAAAAATCCATAAAATCCTTTAAAAATTCTGTAAAATCCTTACAAAAAAAAAAAAACAACTATAAAATTCTTAAAAAAAATCCATAAAATCCTTTAAAAATTCCGTAAAATCCTTAAAAATATTCTGTAAAATCCTTAAAAAATTCTGTAAAATCCTTACAAAATCCTCTAAAACATTAAAAAAAAATCCATAAAATCCTTAAAAAAATTCCATAAAATCGTTTAAAAATTCTGTAAAATTCTTAAAAAAAACCCCTAAAAAATTCTTAAAAAAAAAAAATCCATAAAATCCTTTAAAAATGCTGTAAAATCATTTAAAGATTCTGTAAAATCCTTAAAAAAAATCCCTATAAAATTCTTAAAAAAAAAAATCCATGAAATCGTTTAAAAATTCTGTAAAACCCTTAAAAAAAAAAAACTATAAAATTCTTAAAAGAAATCCATAAAATCCTTTAAAAATTCTGTAAAATCCTTAAAAAAAACCCCTATAAAATTCTTTAAAAAAAAAAAAAAATCCATAAAATCCTTTAAAAATTCTGTAAAATCCTTACAAAAATCCCGTAAACCAGGAGTGGCCTCGCGCCGACAACCATCGCCCTCCCACATTCCCAGCCCCCAAATTCCAGGCGGGAATTGCCAAGCGGGGTGGCCACTCACCGGCCCGGACGGCCTCGTTCTCCAGCACCACCCTGTTGAAGATGAAGCGGATGTACTTGGAGGGGGCGGGCGTGCGCGGCCCCTCCTTGCCCAGCAGGTGCAGGATCTTGGTGGCCAGCACGGTGTGCTCGCAGTCCTCGATGAACTCGCACAGGTGGGCCAGCCCGGCCTCCTTGCTCTCGGGGTTCTCCTCGATGATGCCGATGATGCAGTCCACGATGGCCCTCTTGTACTCGAAGCCGCCCTGGGGGAAGGGGGTGGCACGCTTTGAGAACCCCAAAATCTTAATTCACAGAATAGAATCATAGAATCATGGAATCGATTGGGTTGGAAAAGTCCTCCGAGATCATCGAGTCCAACCCTTGGTCCAAATCCAGTCCATTGACTAGATCATGGCACTCAGGGCCACGTCCGATCTGCGTTTAAAAATCTCCAGGGATGGTGAATCCACCACCTCCCTGGGCAGCCCATTCCAATGCCTGATCACTCTCTCTGTAAAGAATTTTCTCCTGATATCCAACTTAAATCTCCCCTGGCGGAGCTTAAGCCCGTGCCCCCTTGTCCTATTGCTGAGTGCCTGAGAGGAGAGACCAACCCCCACCTGGCTGGAACTTCCCTTCAGGTAGTTATAGACGGTGATGAGGTCACCTCTGAGCCTCCTCTTCTCCAGGCTGAACAACCCCAGCTCCCTCAGCCTCTCCCCGTAGCACTTATGCTCCAGTCCCTTCCCCAGCCTTGTTGCTCTTCTCTGGACCCGCTCCAGCCCCTCCATGTCCTTTCTGAACTGAGGGGCCCAGAGCTGAACACAACACTCAAGGTGTGGCCTCACCAGCGCAGAGCACAGGGGAAGGATCACCCCCCTGCTCCTGCTGGCCACGCTATTTTTGATACAGGACAAGATCCCATTGGCCTTCTTGGCCACCTGGGCAATTCCCTACTCCAAACCCCCTCCCACATCTCAACCCGGTGTGAGACGGTTTCCATGTGGCCACCTCTCTCCACGACAACCTCCTCTTCCGTTCTGCTTGTGACACTGACTCAAAGAAACCTCTGCCAATCTGAAAAGCACTTTTATTACGGCCGGGGAATGCAAAAGGGGGCAGGTGTTCTCCCCAGAGCACTCCCCCGAGCCAAGAAATAACAGAGCCTTTTATACAGTTTGAAAGTAGCAAGCTCAAAATTATCTTTACACACGCTCTTTTTGCAGCCTGTCTTATCTAAACAGACATCTAGTTTTACCTCCTATTCTCACCATTATAGAGTAGTTACCTAAAGTTTTATCATTTCAAACAGTTTCAGGTTATACACCCTACTCTACTGTGCTAAAAAGCTTTTCCCTATTCTCTAAGCTTTTTAAGTTTGGGCAGAGACTTTTAAGCAGTTTTACATTTTGCAAAGTCACACCTTCATAGCTAAATGTCTAATATTTCATTTCATTCTCTATTTCAATGTTTATATTTTGGGTAAAACCTCAAAACTCCAAGGGTCACCACCCCCTGGGGTTTTACCATTTTGTAACTGCAGGGGAAAAACTGTTTCCCCCCCACCACAGGGGGAAAAACCAAGGGCAGTGACCCAACGGTGAAGGACCAGGAATCGGAACGGGGAAAATTCCACAAGTAGAAAAAGATATACAGTGATTGAAAAGACTTTATGATACAGACTTCACAGTTATTATGTATATACACATTATATATATATATACATATTATATATATACATATATATATATACATATTATATATATACATATATATATGTATATACATATTATATATATACACATATATATGTATATACATATTATATATATACACATATATATGTATATACATATTATATATATACACATATTATATATATACATATATATATGTATATACATATTATATATATACACATTGTGTGCTTCCCCAGAATTTGTATTCCCTGGGCATGTCCAGGTTTGTCCACTCCCCTGCTTTCCTGCAGATTGTCTGGAGAAGCTGCAGAGAGGAGGCAGCCTCCATTCACTCACTCCTTTAAAATCCTTTAAAAAATTCTGTGAAGCCCTTAAAAAAAAAATTCTCTAAAATCCTTTAAAAAATTCTGTGAAGCCCTTAAAAAAAAATTCCATAAGATCGTTTAAAAATTCCATAAAATCCTTAAAAAACCCTGTAAAATTCTTAAAAAAAAAAATTCCATAAAATCCTTTAAAAATTCTGTAAAACCCTTAAAAAAAAAAATCTGTAAAATCCTTAAAAAAAATTCTCTAAAATCCTTAAGAAATTCTGTAGAATCCTTAAAATTTCTGCCAAATCCTTAAAAATATTCTGTAGAATCCTTAAAAAAAACCCACGTAAAATCCTTAAAAAAAACCCACGTAAAATCCTTTAAAAATCCTGTAAAATCCTTTAAAAAAAAAATCTGTAAAATCCTTAAAAAAAAAATCCATAAAATGCTTTAAAAATTCTGTAAAACCCTTAAAAAAAGTCCGTAAAATATTCTGTAAGACATTTCTAGTCTGTAAAATACTTCTATTCTCTAAAATCCTTAAAAAATTCTGTAAAATCCTTTAAAAAAAATTCCATAAAATAGTTTAAAAATTCTGTAAAATCCTTAAAAAAATCAATTCGCAAAACCCTTTAAAAATTCTGTAAAATCTTTTAAAAAAGTTCCATAAAATTGTTTACAAATTCTGTAAAATCCTTAAAAAAAAAAAACAATTAGCAAAATCCTTTAAAAATCCTGTAAAATCTTTTAAAAAAATTCCATAAAATCGTTTTAAAATTCTGTAAAATCCTTAAAAAAAAAAATCACAAAATCCTTTAAAAATCCTGTAAAATCTTTAAAAAAATTCCATAAAATCGTTCAAAAATTCTGTAAAATCCTTAAAAAAAATAAATCTGTAAAATCCTTTAAAAAACCCCATAAAATATTTTAAAAATTCTGTAAAACCCTTAAAAAATTCTGTAAAATATCCTGCAAAATATTTCATGCTGTAAAACGCTTCAAGTCTGTAAAATATTCTGTAAGATACTTCTAGTCTGTAAAATACTTCTGTTCTCTAAAATCCTTAAAAAATTCTGTAAAATCCTTTAAAAAAAATTCCATAAAATCGTTTAAAAATTCTGTAAAATCCTTAAAAAAAACCAATTTGCAAAATCCTTTAAAAACCCTGTAAACTCCGACACCCCTCAATAAAGCATCCATTTTGCAACTCTACCTTGTCTGCAGGGTCTCCCTGCACTTTCCAGGATCCACAACTGGGAGGAGACCATTCAGTCCCTGCACTTTCCATCATCCACATCCCACACAGGAGACCCTTCAGTCCCTGCACTTTCCAGGATCCACATTTGGGAAGAGACTCTTCAGTCCCTGCACTTTCCAGGATCCACATTTGGATGGAGACCCTTCAGCCCCTGCACTTTCCAGGATCCACATTTGGATGGAGACCCTTCAGTCCCTGCACTTTCCAGGATCCACATCTGACAGAGGAGACCCTTCAGCCCCTGCACTTTCCAGGATCCACATCTGGGAAGAGACTCTTCAGTCCCTGCACTTTCCAGGATCCACATCCCACACAGGAGACCCTTCAGTCCCTGCACTTTCCATGGCACATCTGACACAGGAGACCCTTCAGCCCCTGCACTTTCCATGGCACATCTGACACAGAAGACCCTTCAGTCCCTGCACTTTCCAGGATCCACATTTGGGAGGAGACCCTTCAGCCCCTGCACTTTCCAGGATCCACATTTGGGAGGAGACCCTTCAGTCCCTGAACTTTCCAGGATCCACATCTGAGAGGAGACCCTTCAGTCCCTGCACTTTCCAGGATCCACATCCCACACAGGAGACCCTTCAGTCCCTGCACTTTCCAGGATCCACATTTGGGAGGAGACCCTTCAGTCCCTGCACTTTCCAGGATCCACATCTGACAGAGGAGACCCTTCAGTCCCTGCACTTTCCATCATCCACATCCCACAGAGAACACCCTTCAGTCCCTGCACTTTCCAGGATCCACATCTGAGAGGAGACCCTTCAGTCCCTGCACTTTCCATCATCCACATCTGACACAGGAGATCCTTCAGTCCCTGCACTTTCCAGGATCCACATCCCACACAGGAGACCCTTCAGTCCCTGCACTTTCCATGGCACATCTGACAGAGGAGACTCTTCAGTCCCTGCACTTTCCAGGATCCACATTTGGGAGGAGACCCTTCAGCCCCTGCACTTTCCAGGATCCACATCTGAGAGGATTCAGTCTCTGCACTTTCCAGGATCCACATCCCACACAGGAGACCCTTCAGTCCCTGCACTTTCCAGGATCCACATTTGGGAGGATTCAGTCTCTGCACTTTCCAGGATCCACATCCCACACAGGAGACCCTTCAGTCCCTGCACTTTCCAGGATCCACATTTGGGAGGAGACCCTTCAGCCCCTGCACTTTCCAGGATCCACATCTGACAGAGGAGACCCTTCAGTCCCTGCACTTTCCAGGATCCACATCTGACCCAGGAGACCCTTCACCCCCCAAACCAGAGCCCCCCAGTGCCCCCCTCTCCAGGTGCCCCACGTACATCATCCCTGAGCATGTTGGACAGGAAGGTCATCATGACGCTGTGCTTCCGAGGGTACTTCTGGCACAGGGCACTGATGGCCTGCACCACCACCACCTGCAGGGCAACACACAAGGACATCACTCAGGGCTGGTTTTCCACGGAAAACGCAGGGTTTCATCTCAATTTGATGAAGTTCATGACCAAGGATAAAAATCAGGTGGTGGATTCTCAGAGTAACAACCTCCTGTCAGCCTGGCTTTGCAAGAGGGACTGGAATTTGGGGTGGACTACAAACCTAATCCTAACCTCCCAAGTCTTTTTTGCCTTGAAAACCCTTTTCCAGTTTCAAATTTGTCTGGTATTTAATTTTCTCATTAAAAAAAAGAATTTAAGGTCACTGTGAGCACACAGTGACTCTGCTGTGCTCTCAGGGCATCTCCATGATGGAAAAGGGACAGGTGATCCATCCTGAACCAATTTAGTACCAGAATTTATAACCTTGAAGTATTACATATTTATAAACTTTAAAAACTAGGTAGAAATTTCATAATTCACGCTGTTTGCTAAATATGTATCAGACTGAAATGATACAGGTTCAACCAGAACAGTTAAAATCCCTCTTCCTCCCCAAAGAGGAAACCAGAAGGCAGGATAAGGTTTTGCAGGATATTGCACAGGAGCCAGGAATCCACCAAAGGACATTTATCCTTTCCTGGAGTGCTGGGAGGAAAGGGCAGAGCCAGGAATCCACCAAATAGCAATTATTCTTTCCTGAAGTGCTGGGAGGAAAGGACAGAGCCAGGAATCCACCAAAGGACATTTATCCTTTCCTGGAGTGCTTGGGAGGAAAAGGACACAACATGGAATCCACCAAATGACAACTCTAGCCCTTCTTGGAATGGTGGGAAGAAAGGACAGAGCCAGGAATCCACCAAAGGACATTTATCCTTTCCTGGAGTGCTGGGAGGAAAGGACAGAGCCAGGAATCTACCAAAGGATATTTATCCTCTCCTGGAGTGCTGGGAGGAAAGGGCAGAGCCAGGAATCCACCAAAGGATATTTATCCTCTCCTGGAGTGCTGGGAGGAAAGGGCAGAGCCAGGAATCCACCAAATAACAATTATTCTTTCTTGGAGTGCTGAGAGGAAAGGGCAGAGCCAGGAATCCACTAAAGGATATTTATCCTTTTTGGGAGGAAAGGACAGAGGATATTTAAGCTGGAAAGCAGAGCATTACACCCCAACTTCAACCTGGCTTTGCTCTGGCAGACCAAGCCACGGCCGGATTAAAATAAAACAACAACGGGAAAAGCTTTGTAAAAAACAAGAAATGGGAGAAAAACCTGCAGGTGGCAAGAGCAGAGGCCTCCAGTGGCACACCTTAAACTCATCTGAGATCTCTGACACGAAGGAGGAGATCTGCTTCATGAGCCTGTCCACGCTGCTCTCGCTGCCCGTCTTGAGCAGCGTGGTGATGGCCAAGGTGGCGATGCTGCGGTTGGAGTCGGTGATCAGGTTCTCCAGGTCCAGGTTGCAGGCAGTGACTGCAGAGGGGTGTTTCATGGCCACCTGCAAGGAAAGGCAAAGCCCCAGTTACATGGCAGCAACATCCCAAAGGCCAAAGATTTCGGGTGCGAGCGACGCTTGGCTGGAAGATTTTGACGTAACGCGCGGGTTCTTTTGTGTCAGCATTTCCAGTGACTTTGAGTCACAAAGTGCTGCTGTGCAGCTCTGAAATCAAGATGTTACTTCCTTCCCACGGATTTTGCAGGGTTAAATAGCCAGCACTCTGCTTCCTCACAGCTGAGAGTTCACAAGTTACCAAAGCACAGCTCGTTGTACCCCCCACAGTCCAAAAACGAGCAAGTGCGGCCTGGATGCAGAAAGGATTTCTGACACCCCAGGATATCCGGCATGGGAAAGGCAATTCTCCAGCCTGGAGCAGCTCCAGACAGAGTAATCACATCACTGGGCACTGCTGGGTTGCTGTGGAGGTTAAAACTTGAGGTAGCTCAGAGGTTTTGGGAGCACTCACTTTGTTCAGGGTGCGAACGGCCGCGTATCTCAGGACGGGCTTGGAGGAGCTACAGAAAAGCTGCAACACTGGGAAAGGAAAAGAGAGCTTCTTTCAAAGGAAGGGAATAAAGAGGGAAATCTAATCCATCTCCATTCAGCTATGCTAAATATTCATGCAGCTCTGTGCATAATTCAGCAGGTTAAAAATAACCTCCTGGGTTTTATCTCCTGATCAATAACAGGGGGGTGGCAGAGTTGGCTGGGGCACGGCTGGGCATCCAGTTCTCTTCTACTTCCCACGGCCTAAAGGGGCTCCAGGAGAGCTGGAGAGGGACTGGGGACAAGGCAGGGAGGGACAGGACACAGGGAATGGCTTCCCACTGCCAGAGGGCAGGGAGAGAGGGGATATTGGGAAGGAATTGCTGGCTGGGAGGGTGGGGAGGGGCTGGAATGGATTTCCCAGAGAAGCTGTGGCTGCCCCTGGATCCCTGGAAGTGTCCAAGGCCAGGCTGGAGCAACCTGGGATAGTAGAAGGTGTTGGGGTTGGAACTGGATGGCCCTTAAGGTCCTTTCCATCTCAAACCATTCCAACACTCCCTCCCACCCCAAATTCCCACAGCTGGACAAAGGCAAGTCCCCCTGTGCCACCTCTGCTGCCCGTTCTCCAAAGCTCGGGATGAAACACGGAAAAGGGATCCAAGTGCTTCTCACCCAAAAGCCCTTTAACTTGGGCACGAGCACTAAACTCAGGGGTTGGGTATTTTATTCATGCTGTACTGTCCCTGCTGTGCTTCACTGCCCTTTTTTTGGTGTCTGAGGGGCACAGAGGGCCCTGCCCCACCTGACACGGCGGGTGCCAGCTCCCTGGCAGTGCAGTTGGGGAGGTGGATGATGGCAGAGGCGGCTTCATAAATCACCATCTCGTGCTTGTTCCTCAGGCAGCTCTCGATGAAGTCGAACAGGGGACTCTCGTGGCTGCGAAAAGAACCATTTGGGCTGGAAAAACACCTCTCCAGAATCATGGAATCCCAGAATCAGCTGGGTTGGAAAAGCTCTCCGAGATCATCCAGCCCAACCCTTGATCCAACCCCACCGTGGTTCCCAGCCCATGGCACTGATGCCACATCCAGTCTGTCCTTAAACACCTCCAGGGATGGAGAATCCCCCACTTCCCTGGGCAGCCCATTCCAATGGCTGAGCACCCTCTCTGCAAAGAAATTCTTCCTGATATCCAACCTAAACCTCCCCTGGCACAGCTGAAGACCGAGCCCTCTTGTCTTGCTGATGGTTGCCTGGGAAAAGAGCCCAACCCCCCCCAGCTCCCCCCTCCTGGCAGGGAGTTGCAGAGAGTGAGGAGGTCTCCCCTGAGCCTCCTCCTCTCCAGGCTGAGCCCCCCCAGCTCCCTCAGCCTCTCCTCCCAGCACTTGGGCTCCAGTCCCTTCCCCAGCCTCGCTGCTCTTCTCTGCCCCTGCTCCAGCCCCTCCAGGGCCTTCCTGAGCTCAGGGCCCAGAGCTGGACACAGCACTCCAGGGGTGGCCTCCCCAGCGCCCAGCCCAGGGGCACAAGCCCTGCCCTGCTCCTGCTGCCACACTCTTCCTCAGCCAGCCCAGCAGCCCTTGGCCCTCTTGCCCCCCTGGCCACACTCGGGCTCCTCTTCAGCTCCCTGCCCAGCCCAACTCCCAGCTCCCTTCCTGCCTGGCTGCTCTCCAGCCCCTCTGGCCCAGCCTGCAGCTGCAGGGGCTTCTTGTGGCCAAAGGGCAGGACCCGGCCCTTGGCCTTGGGGAACCTCAGCCCCTTGCAATCAGCCCCTGGATCCAGCCTGGCCAGGGCCCTCTGCAGAGCCCTCCTGTCCTCCAACACTCCCCCAGCTTGGTGTCTAAATCATCAATAAAGACATTAAACAAGACTGGGCCCAGCACTGATCCCTGGGGACACCCCTGGGGACGGATCCCAGCTGGAAGCAGCTCCATCCCCACCACTCTCTGGGCCCTCAGCCAGTTCCTCACCCAGCACAGGGTGCCCCTGGCCAAGCCCTGGCTGCAGCTTTTCCAGGAGCCCAGCCCTCATCCCAGCACCACCCTACACATGCACCACCTTTCACGTTTCAACCCCGCCCTTACATCAGAGCTCTACATTTATTGTTGTTCATCTTTGCATGATGTTCCTCCCACCAGAAACGCTGCACTCTACAAATAAACACTTCTACCAGTACTTAGAGAAGTGCACTGAAGAGCCAGCTCTCAATTAACAGTCTCGGGCTGGGATCATGGAAAAGGGATCGGGATTTTCTGAAACAGCCGCGTCGTTTCCCACAAGTCACAACTCTCGTTTTCCAAAGGAAAAAAAAAGGGGGAAAAGGAAAAGCAGGTACTTGTTCTGAAGCTTTAAGTGCTCCCAGGATACCACTGATAAAAATGCCAGCACTCAGCTGAGTCATTCTGCCCCTGGGTTTCATTTTAACACAACAGTCCAGTCTCTATGTGTTTTTAAACGTTAAAAAACCGCTGCTGTTGGCTCAAATCCTAATTAATTTGTGTGATTGCCCGCTGCCTTACCCCTCCTCGGACTCCCTGAGGAGCTTGCTGGCGATCCTGATGAGCATGCAGTAGGCAAACTGGGACTTGAGCCCGGACTTGGTGAATTTGTTGAGCATCTTGGAGACGGCGAGCCGGTCGTTCCTCCTCAGGTGGTAGAGCACCCCCAGGGCGTGGTACTGCGGGAGGGGAAGCACAGGGACAGGCTCGGAATCGCTCCTGTTTTCCGGGAGAAATCCCTGCGGAGCTCAAAAGGGACGAGCTTCCCGATGGATTTCTGCCAAGAGCTGCGAGGTTTCCAACCCAAACCCTCCAGTGGTTCCCAACCCAGACACCCTCAAGGGTTTCTGAGGATCCAAAGGGCCCCAGAGGTGATTTACCCCCTTTTCTCCCCTTTAAATATAACTTCAGCTCACTATATATATAATAGATACAATAATATATATTAATATAATATACTAATACAATATATTATAATATACAATATAATGTACACAATAATTGTACATATTATGTAGTCAGCTGAAGTTATATATAAGATATAAAATATATATACACAATTGTATGTATATTGTATATACAATATATCTAATACATTGTATATATTATATATATAATAGAACAGCAACTAAGAATGACTGTAAGATTATATATAATTATATATATCATTAGATACACATAATATATACAATAATATATATAATATACTAATATAATATACTAATATATTATAATATACAATATAATGTACACAATAATTGTATATATTATATAGTCAGCTGAAGTTATATATAAGATATAAAATATATATACACAATTGTATGTATATTGTATATACAATATATCTAACATATTGTATATATTACATATATATAATAGAACAGGAACTAAGAATGACTGTAAGATTATATATAATTATATATATCATTAGATACACATAATATATACAATAATATATATAATATACTAATATAATATACTAATACAATATATTATAATATACAATATAATGTACACAATAATTGTACTAATATATTATAATATACAATATAATGTACACAATAATTGTATATATTATATAGTCAGCTGAAGTTATATATAAGATATAAAATATATATACACAATTGTATGTATATTGTATATACAATATATCTAACATATTGTATATATTACATATATATAATAGAACAGGAACTAAGAATGACTGTAAGATTATATATAATTATATATATCATTAGATACACATAATATATACAATAATATATATAATATACTAATATAATATACTAATACAATATATTATAATATACAATATAATGTACACAATAATTGTATATATTATATAGTCAGTTGAAGTTATATATAAGATATAAAATATATATACACAATTGTATGTATATTGTATATACAATATATCTAATACATTGTATATATTATATATATAATAGAACAGCAACTAAGAATGACTGTAAGATTATATATAATTATATATATCATTAGATACACATAATATATACAATAATATATATAATATACTAATATAATATACTAATACAATATATTATAATATACAATATAATGTACACAATAATTGTATATATTATGTAGTCAGCTGAAGTTATATATAAGATATAAAATATATACACAATAGTATGTATATTGTATATACAATATATCTAATACATTGTATCTATGATATATATAATAGAATAGCAACTAAGAATGACTGTAAGATTATATATAATTATATATATCATTATATACACATAATATATACAATAATATATATAATATACTAATATAACATACTAATATAATATATTATAATATACAATATAATGTACACAACAATTGTATATATTATATAGGCAGTTGAAGTTATATATAAGATATAAAATATATATACACAATTGTATGTATATTGTATATACAATATATCTAATATATTGTATATATTACATATATATAATAGAACAGCAACTAAGAATGACTGTAAGATTATATATAATTATATATATCATTAGATACACATAATATATACAATAATATATATAATATACTAATATAACATACTAATATATTATAATATACAATATAATATACATAACAATTGTATATATTATATAGTCAGCTGAAGTTATATATAAGATATAAAATATATATATACAATTGTATGTATATTGTATATACAATATATCTAACATATTGTATATATTACATATATATAATAGAACAGCAACTAAGAATGACTGTAAGATTATATATAATTATATATATCATTAGATACACATAATATATACAATAATATATATAATATACTAATATGATATACTAATATAATAAATTATAATATACAATATAATGTACACAATAATTGTATATATTATATAGTCAGCTGAAGTTATATATAAGATATAAAATATATATACACAATTGTATGTATATTGTATATACAATATATCTAATACATTGTATATATTATATATATAATAGAATAGCAATTAAGAATGATTATAAGATTATATATAATTATATATGTCATTATATACACATAATATATACAATAATATATAATATAATATACTAATATAGTACTATAATATAGAATATAATATACACAATAATTGTACATATTATATAGTGAGCTGAAGTTATATACAATATATAAAATATACATACAAAATGGTAAATATATTGTATATAATATATACTATATAATAGAATAGTAATTAAGAATGATTATAAGATTATATGTAATTATATATCATTATACATACATAATATATATGCATAATATATTATATATAATTATATATCATAATTATATATATTATATAGAATTAAATATATTATCTACTATTATATTATATAATTATAACCACCAATATATAACATATTATATACTCATATAATAATTATATTATAATTATTATATATATATTATAATATATATACACTATATGTATAATTATATATCTAATTATACATAAGATTATATATATAGTTATATATATGAGAATGACTATAATATAATATAAAATTAAGAATATTATTAATATCATAATAATAGTAAGACTATTATAATAATAATAATAATGCAATGTTATTTTTATATACTTAGTATATATTATATATTATATTTTATATACTTAGTATATATTATATATAATAGAATAGCAATTAAGAATGATTATAAGATTACATATAATTATATATATCATTATATATACATAATATAGATAATATATGATAATGTAGTATATTATATATAATTATATATAATTATATACATAATATAATTATATGTATAATTGTACATAAGATATTTAATTATATATAAGCATTATTATATATAAGAATGACAATATATAAGAAGTATCATCATATAATATTAAGATTATTATTAATATTATAATAATATTAAACCTATAATATTATAATAATAATGTAATGCTACTTTTATATATAAATCATATTATTAATATAATAATATTAACACCCAACAACAATGTAATAATGATTATATATAACATATAACCAGCTCACCACATCACACCTGCATTTCTAACACACTCCACACACCCAGGGTATCCCAAGGCCTTGAAAGGACCACAAAAATCCCCCAGGGATTTAGGCTGGAAGCACAGAGGAACATTCCCCCAGCTGCTTGGAATATTTGGGGGAAAATGCTGCTGATGTGGATTTTTGACTGATATTTGGGCTGATCTTTGGTGGTCCTGGAGCAACCGGGGGACCTTGGGAATCACAATTGTTGTTTTTCAGAGAATGAGGGGAAAACGAGAACCGGGTCCTTTTTCCAAGGGTTTTTTAAGAATTCCCAGGATACCACCAAAACCCCGGAGCCTGTTTAGGGTCCCCCCCAAAACACACCTGCACCATGATGTTGTCACTGGAAGCTGCCTCCTGGGCTTCGTTGATCCACCGTTTGACCACGTCGTAGCTGATCTTCATCATGTGCTGCAAGAAGCCACAAATCCAGACTGCAAACAAACCCACCTCGGGTTTACCAACCTCTTCATCCCCCACAACCACAAACCAGGTGTTTATTACGTTTCAGCCTCAAACTACCACGTTTTCATCTCCTTTTAAATCAAAGTATTAATTAACGAGAGCTTTCCCTGCCTTTTTTCTCCCACGCGAGGGAGAGGAAAATAAGAGTGAACTTCTTCATCTTGCCCTCCTGGCAAAAATGAACCTGAAGGGGTTAAATCCTTAAAATCTTTAAAAAAATTATCTTTAGGGTAGTGGTTTCATGGCCCCTCCCTGCATAAATTAATCTTCTGGACTAATTGGGAGAGAGGTGATGAGATTTCGTAGTAAATTATTATAATTAATGTCCTCTAAAGCAAGAGAATGTTGAAGGAGTTTGAGAAGATAAAGGAAACTCCATTGCCACTGTTTTTATGTCCCAGTGAGGAGATGAAGGGTCATCTCAAGGGAAAAGGAGATGGAGACTCAACTCAAGGGAAAAGGAGATGAAGAAAGAACAAAACAGACAAATCCCAGCCCAGGAGTTTGAGGAGCCAAAGGAAACTCCATTGACACTATTTTTATGTCCCAGTGAGGAGATGAAGGGTCATCTCGAGGCAAAAGGAGATGAAGGGTCATCTCAAGGCAAAAGGAGATGGAGACTCAACTCAAAGGGAAAAGGAGATGGAGACTCAACTCAAAGGGAAAAGGAGATGGAGACTCAACTCAAAGGGAAAAGGAGATGGAGACTCAACTCAAAGGGAAAAGGAGATGGAGACTCAACTCAAAGGGAAAAGGAGATGGAGACTCAAAGGGAAAAGGAGATGAAGGGTCATCTCGAGGGAAAAGGAGATGAAGGGTCATCTCGAGGGAAAAGGAGATGAAGGGTCATCTCGAGGGAAAAGGAGATGAAGGGTCATCTCAAGGGAAAAGGAGATGAAAGGTCATCTCAAGGGAAAAGGAGATGGAGACTCAACTCAAAGGGAAAAGGAGATGGAGACTCAACTCAAAGGGAAAAGGAGATGAAGGGTCATCTCAAGGGAAAAGGAGATGAAGGGTCATCTCAAGGGAAAAGGAGGTGAAGAAAGAACAAAACAGACAAATCCCAGCCCAGGAGTTTGAGGAGCCAAAGGAAACTCCATTGCCACTATTTTTACATCCCAGTGAGGAGATGAAGGGTCATCTCAAAGGGAAAAGGAGATGAAGGGTCATCTCAAGGGAAAAGGAGATGAAGACTCAACTCAAAGGGAAAAGGAGATGAAGAAAGAACAAAACAAACTAATTCAAGCCCAGCCTTAAAATAATTTGGTGCCTTACTTACCAGGGAAGACACCAGAGCAGAACTGGACACACTGGGGACTTTGTCCACGATGGCTTGTTTCATGTATCTCTCGATGGCCTGTAACATTGTTCCCTGGGAAGGGGAAAAGAAGGGGAAAAAAAGAAGTGTGGGTACTTTGGAGGAAGAGAATAAAAGCAGCAGAAATAAAAGCACCCTTTTGTGGTTTAAATCCACCTGTGTCTCCCGGAGCAGGGAGGTGGTTTGTACTCACGTCAGTGATCCTGCACAGCGCGCGGATGGCCGGCCCACGGTAAACATCCTCCTTCCCTGTCATGTCTTTGGTCAGACTGCAATAACCACAGACAGCCTGTTAGAACTGCCTTAATATCTCCAGGATTTGTGACAGATCTCCTTTTATGTCTCCCTTAATATCTCCTTAATTTCCCCTAATATCCCCTTTTATCATCCCCTTAAACCATCTCCTTGATATCTGCTTAAATATCTCTTGATTTCTCCTTTATCATCTTCTTAAAACACCTCCTTATAACATCTCCTTGACATCTCCTTGACATCTCCTTGACCATCTCCTCGACACCTCCATGACCATCTCCTTGACACCTCGACATCTCCTTGAACCATGTCCTTGACCGTCTCCTTGACATCTCCTTGATCATCTCCTTGACCATCTCCTTGACCATCTCCTTGACCATCTCCTTGACCATCTCCTTGACCATCTCCTTGACCATCTCCTTGACCATCTCCTTGACCATCTCCTTGACCATCTCCTTGACCATCTCCTTGACCATCTCCTTGACCATCTCCTTGACATCTCCTTGACCATCTCCATCATCTCCTTGACATCTCCATCATCTCCTTGACATCTCCATCATCTCCTTGACATCTCCATCATCTCCTTGACATCTCCATCATCTCCTTGACCATCTCCTTGACACCTCGACATCTCCTTGAACCATGTCCTTGACATCTCCCTGACCATCTCCCTGACATCTCCTTGACCATGTCCTTGACATCTCCTTAGACATCTCCTTGACATCTCCTTGACATCTCCTTGACATCTCCTTGACATCTCCTTGACCATCTCCTTGACCATCTCCTTGACCATCTCCTTGACCATCTCCTTGACCATCTCCTTAGACATCTCCTTGACCATCTCCCTGACATCTCCTTGGCCATCTTCTTGACATCTCCTTGACCATCTCCTTTTGTGATGCTCATCTCATCTCACTTAGTTGTCACCAATTAAAATTCTTAATAAATAAAATTCCCAGCAAATAAAATTCCCAATAAATAAAATTCCCAATAATGAGTTATTTGAAAGTTATCACCATCAGATTCTGTGGAAACACAGATTATTTCAAAATCCACACTCCATAGTGTTGCTCTGCCACAGGCCTGGTTTAATTAGTCACCCATTCTTAATAGTTCTGCTTGTCCTACCACGTGAAATTTTGATTTAATAATAGTGAAGCTCAGTTTGCTGAACAGCTTAAAAACATACCCAGTAGAAAATATACGTAATATAAACCTATATTATAAAATATAGATAAAAAAATATATAAAATATATCTAAAATAAAGTGTTTGGCACATGCTACTGAGCCAACTTTTGCCCTTGCAACAACAGCAATGATTATTTATAGTCCAAAAAATTGACAGTTCAGTTAGGAGACTGAAAAGGGGCTTTGCTTTGCTTTTCCCTGACACAAAGTGAAGTCACAGCTTAAGCTGTGACAAATCCACAGAGCACCAATAATTAAAAAAAAAAAACCAAACAAAAAAACAAAGTAGGAACCAGCTGATAACTTTTGTAATTTAAAAAAAAAATCGCCCGTAATTAAAAAAAAATCTCATAATTAAAAAAAACCTGCAGCCTTTTGCCCTTTTGGGAAAAGAGAACGTGGGGAGAAGAAAATAACATTTCAGGAGAAAATAACATTTCATGTCCTCTGTGTCACGTTACAAAGCCCAATTTCAGAACTTTGCAGCAGTTAAAATAAACACTTGAAGAGGCAGTTTCAGAGCTCTGATCCTGGTTTGTTTTGGGTTTTTTTTTTGGAGTTCCCCCACCTGCTTGTGACAATGATGACGTCCTCCGAGATGTTGGCCATCTCCTTGATGGTGAGGTAACACATCCTTCGAAGGGTTTGCTGTGGGAGCAGGGCAGAGAAACATTAAAAACTCAATTAAAAACATCAATAATTATTTTCCTAGAAGTTTTAGAACTTGAAAGAAAGCGAAATAAATTTAACTCGAAGAGCTAAAAAAGCTTTTAAACAGAACACATTCTGTTCAAAGTTATGTGCCATGTGTAAAGCTACGTTTGATAACTGGATAACAGCAAAACTCCCTGTTATCAAATCAGAAGAGTAAGAGAGAAATAGCTTGTAAAAGGAGAAGAATAAAAAGAATATTAATTCACATTAATTATATCAGAAGAGATACATCACATCTGCAGGCAGAAGCCTCACAATTATCAGTTAAAAGCTTTGAAAACAGCTTGTCAAAGAAAAACCAGAAAGTGACAGTGTCTTTGAAAGAAATTGGTATTTATATTTTACAAGACCCTCTAAATGTGGATATGAGTAAGCTTTAAACAGCCTGTACTCCCTCACAGTTTTATTCCACCTTAAACACGTGGACAAATCTCTAAAAATCAGACCATTTTTAACAAAAATTAATGAGGTCCATCACATGAAGCATCCCGAGTTTTTAAAAGGGATCCCAGCAGGACTTCTCATCCTGCTAATTCCCAAGTTTAATCCAGCATTTTTAGGATGTTCTCATCCCTCGGCTCGAGAAGATCAAGCCCTGGTGGTGCTGATCCATGAGCAGAGCCCATTGTTGCAGGGAACACAGAATCACAGAATCACAGAATCAGCTGGGCTGGAAAGGACCTCCAAGATCATCCAGCCCAACCCTTGATCCAACCCCGCCGTGGTTCCCAGCCCATGGCACTGATGCCACATCCAGTCTGTCCTTAAACACCTCCAGGGATGGAGAATCCCCCACTTCCCTGGGCAGCCCATTCCAATGGCTGAGCACTCTCCATGGAAAACATTCCTTCCTAATATGCAACCTAAACCTCCCCTGGCACAGCTGAAGACCCAGCCCTCTTGTCTTGCTGCTGGTTCCCTGGAGCAGAGCCCGACCCCCCCCCGGCTCCCCCCTCCTGGCAGGGAGTTGCAGAGAGTGAGGAGGTCTCCCCTGAGCCTCCTCCTCTCCAGGCTGAGCCCCCCCAGCTCCCTCAGCCTCTCCTCCCAGCACTTGGGCTCCAGTCCCTTCCCCAGCCTCGCTGCTCTTCTCTGCCCCTGCTCCAGCCCCTCCAGGGCCTTCCTGAGCTCAGGGCCCAGAGCTGGACACAGCACTCCAGGGGTGGCCTCCCCAGCGCCCAGCCCAGGGGCACAAGCCCTGCCCTGCTCCTGCTGCCACACTCTTCCTCAGCCAGCCCAGCAGCCCTTGGCCCTCTTGCCCCCCTGGCCACACTCGGGCTCCTCTTCAGCTCCCTGCCCAGCCCAACTCCCAGCTCCCTTCCTGCCTGGCTGCTCTCCAGCCCCTCTGGCCCAGCCTGCAGCTGCAGGGGCTTCTTGTGGCCAAAGGGCAGGACCCGGCCCTTGGCCTTGGGGAACCTCAGCCCCTTGCAATCAGCCCCTGGATCCAGCCTGGCCAGGGCCCTCTGCAGAGCCCTCCTGCCTTCCAGCACATCAACACTCCCCCAGCTTGGGGGCACCTGGAATGTGCTGATGGTTCCCTCCATCCCCTCCTCTAAATCCTCAATAAAGACATTAAACAGGACTGGGCCCAGCACTGATCCCTGGGGACACCCCTGGGGACGGATCCCAGCTGGATGCAGCTCCATCCCCACCACTCTCTGGGCCCTCAGCCAGTTCCTCACCCAGCACAGGGTGCCCCTGGCCAAGCCTTTTCCACGGGTGTGCCATGGGAGACGGTGTCAATGCTTTTGATCCACAGGCAACCGTTTAATTCCTGTTTGAGTCGAGCAGGTGGGGATTTATTTGCAGGTAAAAGCACCAATTATAATTATAATTTTTGTATGAAGTCTCTGTCATTATTCACAGCCTTAACAACAGCAATCCAGCTCAGAACCCACCCAAACAACCCACAGGAGAACCACGTGATTATTCAGCCCTTTGTTTCCAAAGCAGGAATTGCCTCCAGGCTCGGAGGCGCTTCCCTCCCACATCCCAAAAATCCAACTGTTGTGCAGTCCCTGCAAGTCCAGGCTAAAGCAGCAGAACACCAGGTACTCACATCATTAGACTGGAACAGCCTGGTCATGGCAAAAAAAGCTTCCGTGGCTTCGGTGGTTCCAAAGTGTTCGCCCTGGAATTCCCATGGAAGGAGCGAGAGGAAAACCAGTGTTGTTACTGAGCTGCCTCCACCTTAATCCCTTCCCACGCACCAGGAATCTCTTCCCACGGATTTTCCCCTCCCTCACCTTCTTTCCCAGGGGATACATGCCAAGTTTACCCCCGGGGTTTCAATATAAATCCCATTCCCAGAGAGGGAATAGTTTGCTGAGCAGTTTTCCTGCTGACAGGATGAGCTGGGAAACTTGTTTCCCACTGAAAGCCGGCAGGAATCAGCCTTGGGAATATTCACTCTGGCTGGGAAGAAATTCCAACAGTTACCTGGTTCAGCAGGTAAAGGATCTTGGTGAGGATGTGAAGGCATCTCCGTGGATTTATGGGGGTCTCATTGAAGATCCGTGCCTGGAAACATGGAATAAATACTGATTTAGTGTAAAGCAACGATAATTATTTCTCTTTCACCACAAAAAGTAAAGAAACCTTCAACCAAGTCACTTATAATTTTCATTCAACTCTAAATATGTGTCCCAGAGAACACATTCCTGTCCTTCAGCTCACCCATCTTTAGTTTGCTGGATCTGAACAACCACTCAATTTACCACCTGGGACTAACAAAAATACCTTAAAATAAAACATTTTTTATTCGGAAACAAAACACTTTTTTCCTTCAGAAAGAGCCCCCTGAGACTCCACGTATCCACATGGGTCACGTCAGATAAAGTGACTTTATTTACACCCTCTGTGGTTTTAAATTAATTACATGAATTTATCCATTCACATTTCCTGAAGGGAAAAAAAAACACCCCAGAGTTAAACAGCATTATATCCTGATTATTCCTACCTCCTGGAGCACAGCACTCTTCTCCAGATGCTGGAAAGGATTGGAGCCACTACCTGAGGAAGAAGAAACCAGTTAAGGAAATGAACTCCTCACAAAACTTTCTTAGGAATCCTTTTTGTTAAGTTGTTATGTTTAGAGCTACAGGAAAAAAAAAAGGAGGGGCATTTTCAACATAGCTGGAAGGTGAGGAGACGAAAGGAGTTTAACAGTTAATTTGCATTAATATCCTTTTACATAAAAGGATTTGCACCTTAATTTTTTTTTTGCCTAGATTCCCTATTTTTATCCCTTGGGGCACCAAAAGCACTAAAAGGCATCAGGGCAAGAGCTGATGATCAGGACCCGAAACAGAAGTGAAACCACATCCCAGAGCCACCATCGGACACAAAAACCCCTCCAAACCCTCCTACTGCTCCTGCCCCTCAGCAGCAATCCCTCCTTTTCTGACCGTTTATTCCTCGTTCTCACACCCCCAGCAGAAGGAAAGCGAAAATGAAACGAAACAGTCCAGGCAGAGGAGATGCTGAAAAGCTTCTCTGAAGCCTTTTGGGTTTTGTTTGCGTATCAAAATGGCTTATGAAGCGTTTATTGTTTTAGATATTACAACGCTGTTCAGGCACGGAAATAAGTATAAATACAAAAATAAACATCTGGAATCTCTTCCTGAAGGGAGGAAGCACCTGCACGGGGCAGAGATGGATAAAATCCTCTCTGTGTGGACACAGGGAGAACAAACAGGCCCCAGTTCCTTCGGATTCAGAAATACTTTGACAGTCAGTTTTTAGGGCTGAAGCACAAATCTCCCCGAGCTGGGAGAGGCGGGAGACCATGGAATGGTTCGGGCTGGAAGGGATTTTAAGCACCATCCAAACCCACCTGGGAGGGGACACCTCCCACTATCCCAGGTTGCTCCAGCCCGGCCTTGGACACTTCCAGGGACGCAGGGGCAGCCTGTGCCTGTTCCTCATCACCCTCAGGCCCCTCCCGAGCACCCCAGGCCCCCCGTACCGGACTCCTCGTCCTTCTTATCGAACTTCTTGATCATGGCGGCCGCGCTCCCTCAGCCGCTCCCGCTCCCTCCGAGCGCCGCCGCCGCCGCCTCACGGCCCCGCAGGAAGCACCGCCCCCGCCGCCCGCCGCGCCCGCTGATTGGGCGGCGGAGCTGTCAATCAACCCCCGGGGCGGCTTCGCGCCTTCGCGGCGCTGAAGGGGCGGGGCCGGAGGGGGGGGGGAGTCTTAAAGGGGCCGCGCGCGTTGTGTGAGGGGAGTGTGAGGGGACGGGCGCGGGGGAAGGAAAAACGCGTGGAAATCGCGTGGAAATCGCGTGGAGCTCCCGTGGCAAAGCGGCCATTTGAGCCCCCCGGCAAAAAAAAAAGAGAACTCATGTGTAAGTCGCGTGTACCTCGCGTGTAAGTCGCGTGTAACTCCTGTAGCTCACGTATAATTCGCACATAACTTACATGTAACTGATAACTTACATGTAACTCCCATGTAACTCCCACATAACTCACAAGTTATTCACGTGTAACTCACCTGTAACTCCCATGTAACTCCCACATAACTCACGTGTCATTAGGAATTAAAAGCTAAAAAAAAATTAGAAATATAGGTCAAAATTTAGGAATTAAAAGTTAAAAAGATTAGGAATAGGGATATGAAAGTTTGGAGTTAAAAGCTAAGAAATTTAGGGATACGGAAAAAAATTGGGAATTAAGAGCTAAAAAAATTAGTAATTCGGATACGAATTTAGGAATTAAAAGCTAAACAAATTTGGAATGAGGATATGAAAATTTGGAGTTAAAAGCTAAAACAAAAAATTGGGATCATGGATAAAAAAATTAGGAATTAAAACCTAGAGAATACACTTAAAAACTTATGAACTAAAAGCTAAGAAAATTAGGAATATGGATAAAAAATCAGGAATTAAAAGCTGAAAAAACCTGTTGCAATATCATTTTCCCCAGTGTTTTTATTCCATGGCTCAGCCTTTGATCCATCCTGCTTAATTATACTCCAACCACATCCAGGTGGAATTTCCTCCTGGAGGAATTCCTGCTCTTTTTATTTGTCCTTAATTCCTTATTATTATTATTATTTCCTTGGAGGGGCTCCATAATTTTGTAGGCAACATGTCAGCACTGCAATTTCTCCCTGGATCAGGGAAACCCTCCCTCCTTCCTTATTTTCAGGGCCCTATTTTGATTTTTCCAGGTGCCTCCATCTTTAGGACAGGGGACTGGGACTGCTACCCCTTGCCTGAACTAATTAACAATAATTCCAATTAGAGCAGGGAAGCAACCTGCTGGGAAATCATTCCATTTACAGTCAGCAGGGGTGAACCACACCCTCAGATATTCCCGGGAGATAAGAAGATTTTTGGGATGAACTCACATCCTGAGGGGGTTTTACAGGGCCTTGGAGCAGGAACACGTGTGGGAGCCGACAAAAAATGAGGGAATTCCTGGCTAATTCCCCAAAGGAAAGCAAAAGCAGATGGATCATTTCTGCTCCTTTGCTGCCCACAACCCTTCCACGTGTGACATCCGAGGACAAACAGGTAAATCCCAACAGAGCTCCTCAACCACTTCAGTGTGTGCTGGTGCATCCCCCCGGCCTCCCCCTCCCTGGAATTCCCACTCCCCATCCCAGATGGATGGCGAAGTGTCCCCTGACCACACCAGGTGGGCAGGACTGCCCCAGGAATTCTTGCCTGGCAAAATTGGGAGTGAATTGTTCCTGCCGGGAACAGCAGCTGCCCAACCGAGGTGAGGAACCAGTTAATCCCTGAAAAAACCTTCCAGTGCTTCCCAGCTTGGCTCATGGCCAGGAGGTGAATTCCATGATGGCTGAGGGCAATCATGGAAATCGCAGAGTGGTTTGGGATGGAAGGGAATTGAAAGATCATCCCATTCCACCCCCTGCCGTGGGCAGGGACACCTCCCACTGTCCCAGGTGGCTCCAACCTGGCCTTGGACACTTCCAGGGATCCAGGGGCAGCCACAGCTTCTCTGGGCAAGGAGGCCTTTATCTCCCTATTTCAAGATTCCTTTATTTCTCTGTCTCTTTGGAGGCTCAGAAGGAAGGGGTCTGGAGTTCATGGCAAAGTTTGATTAGCACTCGCTCTGTCAGGGCCGGGCTGATTGCTCTGACCACTAAATTAATTCAGGTAAAACCCAAAACCAGGCGCCAAGAGAAGCTGGAGAGACACCTAGATCCTAAATATTGGAATTTTGATGGGAGACAGCGTGAAGAAAGGGAAAAGGAAAGAACCCTCCTGCCCTGAGGGACTCACCTCATCCAGGGTGTGGTAGGAGCTGAAGTCGAAGCTGGTGCTTCGCTCCCTCTGGGCGCTCTCGGCCATGTCCTGCTGCTCCTTGTCCAGAACATCCTAAAAGGAGACATTCCAAGGGTGAGAAAAGTCTGCTTCGGTCACAACATGAATTTTAAAACGCAAGTGTTTGTGCTGAGTTAACCAGAGAATTCCTGGAATGGTTTGGGTGGGAAGGGAACTGAAGGATCATCCAGTTCCAACCCCAGGGACACCTCCCGCTATCCCAGGTTGATCCAACCTGACCTTGGACACTTCCAGGGATCCAGGGGCAGCCACAGCTTCTCTGGGAAATCCATTCCAGCCCCTCCCCACCCTCCCAGCCAGCAATTCCTTCCCAGTATCCCATCTAACTCTGCTCTCTGTCAGTGGGAAGCCATTCCCTGTGTCCTGTCCCTCCATCCCTTGTCCCCAGTCCCTCTCCAGCTCTCCTGGAGCCCCTTTAGGCCCTGCAAGGGGCTCCAAGGACTCTGTGGCCCAATTTGGAACTGGAATTTGGGGGTGGTCTGTGCCAGGAGCATCCAGAGCTTTGTTTTTCCTCCTGGATCCAGCATTTCCCTTGGCTGGGAATGGTTAAACTGGAGAGAGACCTGGAAGCACAGGGGATGGAGCTTAAACCTCTTAATTTCCTGGAATCATGGAATGGTTTGTGTTGGAAGGGGCCTTAAAGATCACCCACTTTCAAGCCCAGGGACACCTCCCTCTATCCCAGGTTACTCCAACCCGGCCTTGGACACTTCCAGGGATCCAGGGGCAGCCACAGCTTCTCTGGGAAATCCATTCCAGCCCCTCCCCACCCTCCCAGCCAGCAATTCCTTCCCAATATCCCATCTATCCCTGCCCTCTGGCACTGGGAAGCCATTCCCTGTGTCCTGTCCCTCCCTGCCTTGTCCCCAGTCCCTCTCCAGCTCTCCTGGAGCCCCTTTAGGCCCTGCCAGGGACTCTCAGCTCTCCCTGGAGCCTTCTGTGGGTGGGCTGTTAAGGAAACCCCTTGCTGACGATCTGGGAGCCACCTGAGCTGGGAATGAGGCCCCTTTGCAGCTCCACCCCTCACACCCCCACCCTCAGACCGGGTTTTCTTACGGGATCAATCCCAGGTTTCCCATTCGGAGCCTCCGACCTCTCAATCCTTAAAACGACTTAATCTCAGTGCAATAATTAAATGACAAAACAAGAGCTGGTGGCTCCTGGGGGGGGGGACCCCCAACAAAGGACACCCTGGATTTTTACACCCCCACAGCCTGAGGGTGGGAAAAGTCTGGGATCATCAGGTCCTTCCATGTGTCCGAGTGTCACCGGGATGGGCCACAAAGGTCCCTGTACCCGTCCTGGCTGGGGACATCTCCCAGTTTCTCACCTCAGGGCTCAGCCTGCGGCTCCACCCCAAACTTCCCGCACTGAGAGCATCCCCCAATGTTCCTTAGCCCTAATTTTTCATGGAATTCCAAGGATTTTCCTGGAAATCTACCGAAAACGAGCCGTTCTCCAGCCCGACCAGCACAAACTCCCTCAGGGGTTTCCTGTTCTGGAAGACCAGGAGCTGCACAGCTCATCTGCACCAAAATCCCACCCCAAAAAATTGGGACACCACGGGGTTTTGCCCACGGCTTTGGAAGGAATCTTCGGAAAAGAAGGGCTGAACCATCCCAGGAGTGTTTTCCTCCCCCAAAGCCACATTATCAGCCCCAGTTCTTGCCCGGCCCGAGGCAGTTCTTGCCCTGCCCTTCCCAACCTCCCTCACGTGGGATCCCAGCCTGGCCAGGGTTCATCCAGCCAGCCCTGGGAATCCGGGATAGCCCGGAATTGCCCTGGAACCGGGGCAGTGTTTTCACCTGGAACCTTTCCAGTCACCGCCCTCGGGTGTCTCTGCCTCGTCCTCCAGGCTTTTGCCAGGTTTCTGGGCTCTCAAGGGTAGTTCTCACTCCTGGAGGGGCAGAGGGAGGATTTTCCTGCTTCCCAGGAGGAATTGGCCGGGAAATGCTACGATCCAAATTATCCTTTTCCTTCCCTTTCCTAGATATTGTAGAATATATTTTATTTATTTATTTATTTATTTATTTATTTATTTATTTATTTATTTTCTATCATGTTATTTTATTTATTGTAATACATTTTATATAAAATATATTTGTATATTCATATTCATATATTTATTGATATGTATATTATATATAATAGATATTCATAGTATATAATATATTATATATAAATATATATTTATAATATGTAATTATATATGTAATTATATATATTTATCTATAATTATGTATTATATATAATATAATATATAATATATGATATATAGTTATATAATATATAATAAATAGAAATATATAATATATATTTTATATATAATATATAAATATAATATATAATATATATAATATATTATATATAATATATGATATATATAGTATATAAAATATATAATATATAATTATGTAATATATATTATACGATATTATATATAATACATTATATATTATATATTGTATTATATAATATATAATCATATATTTTATATATATATGAAATATATATAATATATATTATATATATTTATTATATGGAAAGATATATTATATGAAAATGTATATTATATTAAAAATTATATTTTTCTATATCTTTTTTCCCGATGCTCTGTGCCAAGATAAAATTCCAGCTGTCAGAATAAACAGAGGCAGACGAGCCCGTAGCCGGGGAGGATTTGTTGTGAGCAGGATCTGTGGGAATCCTGGGAATGCTGCGGGATGGAGCCCGACACAGGAGCTCTGCAGGTCTCCCTTTGACTTCCAGTTTGGAGGGTTATTTGGGACCAGCAAGTTCCAGTTCCAGCACTGGAACCTCCTGCATCCCCAGGGAATCGCATCCGGATGCCCCCGGGGCGCTGGAGGCAGGAATTGCATCCCGCGGTTCCCGCGGGTGCCACATCCATCCCCCTGGGCAGGGATATCCTGCCGGGATCGCATCCCTTCCCGAGGGATCGCATCCCTTCCCGAGGGATCGCATCCCTTTCCGAGGGATCTCATCCCTTCCCGAGGGATCGCATCTCTTCCCGAGGGATCGCATCCCTTCCCGAGGGATCGCATCCCTTCCCGAGGGATCGCATCCCTTCCCGAGGGATCGCATCCCAGCAGTGCCATGACCCTCCTGGGCACTGCACTTCCCAACATCGCCCAGAGGCTACTTTTTCCCGGGATATCTCACCCCCCCTGCCTTGGGACACCACCCCCCCGCCCTGATTTTGCACCCCCTGCCCTCCAAACATTCCATCCTCCTGCTCTCCCATCCCCTCCCCGGCTATCTCACACCCCCTCTCTGCATGTCATCCCCTCACACTCGGGAATTCCATCCCTCTTCGGGGACCAAATTCCACACATTTCCCCGCACAGGCTTTGTATTCCCTGGTTTTTGCATCCCTCCAGCTACTGCATCCCCCCTCGATATTCCAACCACTCCAGCCCCGGTATTTCATCCCCCCAGCTATCCCATCCCCCCAGGTATCTCATCATCCCCCCGGGCATTGAATTCCCCTCTCTGGGTGTTCCATCCCCTCCTGGGTATTCCATCCCTCTTCGGGGACCAAATTCCACACATTTCTCCCCCCGGCTTTGTATTCCCTGGCTATCGCTTCCCGGTATTTCATCCCTCCCGGGTATCGCGTCCCCGGGATCCCGAATCCCCCCCCCGCGTCCCGAATATTCCCCTGGATCCCGAATATCCCTCAGGGTCCCAAATATCCTCCTGGGTCCCAAATTCCCCCCGGGTCCCAAATATCCCCCCGGGTCCCGGATATACCGTCGGGTCCCGAAGCCACCCTGGGTCCCGAATCCCCTCCCCCCCCCCGATCCCGGATATCTCCCGGGTCCCGAATCCCCCCCTGATCCCGAATCCCCTCCGGGTCCTGAATCCCCCACAGGTCCCGAATATTCCCCCGGGTCCCGAATATCCCCCCGGGTCCCGAATATCTCCCCAGGTCCCGAATCCCCCCCGGGTCCCGAATATCCCTCCGGGTCCCGAATATCCCGCCGGGTCCCGAATATCCCGCTGGGTCCCGAATATCCCGCCGGGTCCCGAATATCCCCCCGGGTCCCGAATATACCCCTGATCCCGAATCCTCCCCAGGTCCCGAGTACCCCCGGCTCCCGAATCCCCCCGGGTCCTGACCCCCCTTCCCTCGGAGCGCATCCCGTCCCTCCCCATCTCCCCATCCCGGCAGGGCGGCGCATCCCTCCGGGTGGCCCCGTGTCGAAAGCGAAAGCGAAACCCTTCCTTGCCCCGGCGGGACAGCCCGGGCAGCGCCCCGGGGCCCCCTCGGAGCCGGAGCCCCTCCAGGCCGCGGAGCTGCCCCCGAGCCGCTCGATGGCGCGGCCGCTGCTGCCGCTGCTGCTCTGCGGGACCTTCTCTCTGCTGCTGCTGCTGCTGCTGCTGCTCCGCGCCGCCGCCGACACCGGTAAGCGGGGCTGCCACGGGCTGCCCGGCGCGCCGGCGGCGGCACCCAGCTCTTCCCGGCGTGGCCAGGTTACTCCCCGGGGTGCCCACTCCTTCCCTGGGGTGCCCACACTCTCCCTGGGGTGCTCGCTCCTTCCCTGAGGTGCCCAGGCTACTCCCTGGGGTGCCCACTCCTTCCCTAGGGGGATCACTCCTTCTCCGGACTGCCCACACTACTCCTGGGGTGCCCACTCCCTCCCTGGGGTGCCCACTCCTTTCCCGGAGTGCCCTCTCCTTCCTTGGAGTGCTCACACCTTCCTTGGAGTGCTCACACCTTCCTTGGGGTGCCTATACTACTCCTGGGGTGCCCACACCTTCCCTGGGGTGCTCACACTTCCCCCAGGGGTGCTCACTCCTTCCCCGGGGTGCCCACACTACTCCTGGGGTGCCAATCCTTCCCTGGGGTACCCACTCTTTCCCCAGGGTGCCCACTCCTCCTCCGGGGTGCCCATTCCTTCCCCGAGGTGCCCACTCCTTCTCTGGGGGTACCCAATCTTTCCCTGGGTGCCCAGGCTACTCTCTGGGGTGCCCACTCCTTCCCCGGGGTTTCTAGCCCTTCCCAGGGTGCCCACACCTCCCCCAGGGGTGCTCACTTCTTCCCTGGGGTGCCCACACTCTCCCTGGGGTGCCCACACCTTCTCTGGGGTGCCCACTCCTTCCCTGGGGTGTCCATACTACTGCTGGGGTGCCCACTCCTTCCCTGGGGTGCTCATACCTTCCCTGGGGTGTCCATACTACTCCTGGGGTGCCCACTCCTTCCCTGGGGTGCTCATACCTTCCCTGGGGTGCCCATACTACTCCTGGGGTGCCCACTCCTTCCCTGGGTTGCCCACACTACTCCTGGGGTGCCAAATCCTTCCCTGGGGTGCCCGTTCCTTCCCCTGGGTGCCCACTCCTTCCCTGGGGTGTCCAGCCCTTCCCAGGGTGCCCACTTCTTCCCCGGGGTGCCCACACTACTCCTGGGGTGCCAATCCTTCCCTGGGGTACCCACTCTTTCCCCAGGGTGCCCACTCCTTCCCTGGGGTGCTCACTCCTTCCCTGGGGTGCCCACACCTTCCCTGGGATGCCCACACCATCCCTGGGATGCCCACTCTGCTTCCTGGGATGCCCAGGCCACTTCCCAGGGTTCCTGCTCCGCTCCCTGGGGAAGCTGCTCCACTTCCCAGGGTACCCAGGCTGCTCCCTGGGCTACTCCAGCTCCCACTCTGAGTGCCCATCCTACTTCCCAGGATGTCCATGCCATACCTGGGGTGCCCACTCCGCTTCCTTGGATACTCAGGCTGCTCCCTGGGATAGCCCAGCTCCCACTGGGGATGTCCCTGCCACTCCCTGGGATGCCCACGCCGCTCCCTGGATGCCCAAACTGCTCCCTGGGTGCCCCAACTGCCCCTGGGGATGCCCAGGCCGCACCCCTGTGCTCCCCTTGCACCTCTCCGGTGCCCACCTCCCTCCTGGATTCCCGCCCCACCTCTCACCAGCGTCCAGGGAAGCTGGGGGGGGGTTGCAGGCAGTGGATCCGTGGGAGCCGTGTGGCTGCGGGATTTCACCCCGGCTGGGCTCTGCGGGTTTTCCGTGGGATGGGATTGTCCGTGGCTGCCGGACTGGGAGCGTCCCGTCACGTCTGGGCCTCTCCAAGAGCACCAAATCATGGAATCACTGGAGCACTAAAGCTGAAAAGGACTTTTAAGGTCGTGGAGTCTGATGATTAACCCGGCACTGCCGACGCCACCACGGAGCCCTGTCCCCAAGTGCCACATCCACAGGGATTTGAAATCCCTCCAGGGATGGGGACTCCACCACTGTGACAGAGCTGGACAGCGCTTTCCAGGAAGGAATTTTCCTCAATATCCAACCTGACCCTCCCCTGGCCCAGCCTGAGGCCATTTCCCCTTGGCCTGTCCCTTGTTCCCTGGAGCAGAGCCCGACCACCCTGGCTCCAACCTCCTTCCACAGAATTTTAGGGAGCCAGAAGGTCCCCCCCGATCCCCCTTTTCTCCAGGATGAGCCCCCCCAGCTCCCTCAGGAATTCTCCAGCCCCTTCCCCAGCTCCATTCCCTTCCCTGCACACAGGGAAAAGCTTTGGGAAAAATCCCATGCCAGAGCAGCGATCCCAAGAACCCCCGGGAGCCTCTGGCAGCCCTGAAGCTGCTATGAAACACTAAAGGAACTGAAAATGTGGGAAGTGGGAAGGATTTGTGTGGAAATACGGCCGGAAGGGAGCGCAGAGCTTTGGGACAGTTCAGTGCTGCCTCTTCTCCAGGCTCCCATCTGCTGTCAAAGCCCTGGAAAATGAACTCATCCCTATTTATAACGGGATGACGGGAGCGGCGAGGGCTGGGGAACATCCTCAGGGACAAAAATAAGCGGGAAGAGCCGCCAGTGCTGGGAACACCCACTAAAAATATCCTTCCCTGAAGTCAACGCCCCCTGACCACCAACCTCAGACCTTGGGACAACATTCCTGGCGGTGGTGATGCAATGAGGACCCACTCGGGGCAGAAAATGTGGTTTTATGGGGTGTTAGAGAACGGGAATTTAGAATTTATTTCTCTTAGTTCCAGTGCTGGATAATTTGGGATGTGCTACTGCATCCCCCTATCCCATCCTCTCCTGCTTTCCAAAAATTTTTACAAAAATATTGTAAATACTTTTCAGTTAAAACATGGGAAAGTTTCATTTATTTCCATGATTTTGGTGTTCCTCGTGAACTCTCCAGGCGTGGGTCCAGACCTCCGAAATTCCCCTTTTCCCAGCTTTTTTTTTTGGCTTACGGTTTTCCGACCAAATAAACCCTGTTGGTGGTGATTTTCCAAGGAGAACAGTCAGGTTTTCACAGTGTGGATTCTCCGGTGTCTGTGGTTGTGCATCCCCCCGGAGCTGGAGGTGGACATGGAATGACATCCCCACATCTGGGATACCCTGGCCTTGTTCCCAGTGTTTTGCTTCCCAACATCCTGGAATTAGCTCCTCCTCACCGGCATCATTCGGGATCGCTGGCGGAAAAGGACAAAAAAAAAAAGCCAAGTAAAAACATGAACTTCATCCCTGTAAACACAGAATTCGGGAATATTGAACGCTTTCAACCTGGATATCTAATCCCAGCAGGATGCAGGGAATTCGGATGGAAACAAGGCAGCTGGAGGCACTTTCCTGGAAAGGCTGGCACCGGGCATTGAGGCTCAGTTGGGATGTTGGCCAAGGAATGGGATGAATCCTTGGGCACTTGGGCTGACACATCCATGGCAAATCCCAACTCCCCACCAAGGGATCAAAGCCCAAATCCAGACCACGCAACTCCAGGGCCGGAAATGGGATTCCCCAAATACTTCCTCCCCTTTTCCCCCCTTGGTATTTTGTCTCATCAAACAATCCACGGCACGAGACGCCGGATTGGGATCCTGGAGAGCGGCGATGTCGGGGTCTCGTCATCCAAGGACCGGGAATTTTTTGGGAAGAGGAGATTATTTTACAGTCGAATCAACTGGGGAAAAGAAAAAGTGCTTCGGAGGGATTGGGAGGCACAAACAGGACTGGCAGGTCCCTGTTTTTCCAGGATGTTTGGATGCCTCTGGCTGAATTTCCTGCAGGAGTTGGAGCTGGAAGAGTTTTTCACTTGCTCCTGGCACGGCCTCAGGTCTGGGGATGGGTGAGCGGGTTGTGGAACAGCCCAGTTTCCTGGGATTCTGCTTCAAGGAGTTGATGTTTCCAGCAACTCCCTCTGGGCACTTGGGGATGTTCCAAGGCCAGGGATCCACCCCGGCGGAGCAGATTCCCCCTGGGATGTTCTGGGGGCACAGGAATTGGGGCAGGTGACTTTTAGGACGAAGGGTTTTATATCTGGGAGTCTCAGCACATTGTGCTCCTGTTCCCATGGTGATCCCATTCCCACTGTGCTTCCATCCCCACTGTATTTCCACCCCCATCATGCTCCCATTCCCACTGTGCTCCCATTCCCACTGTGATTCCATCTCCATCATGCTCCTGTCTCTACTGTGCTCCCATCCCTGTGTTTCCATCCCTATCATGTTCCCATCCCCAACTATGCTTCCATCCCCATCATGTTCCCATCTTCATCCTGCTTCCATCCCCGCAGTGTTTCCATCCCTACCATGTTTCCATCCTCATTGTGCTCCCATTCCCACTGCGTTTCCATCCCCATCCCACCTTGATCCCGGCCCTCCTGGCTGGACACTGCTCCAACCCAGCCGGGTGTCGCTCCATCCATGCCAGGGATCAGCTCATCCCTGCTGTGCATCACATCCCAGCCATGCATCGTTCCATCCTTTCCCTGCTTCCCATCCCAGCCCTGCACTGCTCCATTCTCTGTGCGTCACATCCCATCCATCCCTCACCTCATCCCAGCCATCCCTCACTCCATCCCAGCTATCCCTCTCTCCATCCCAGCCATCCCTCACCTCATCCCAGCCATCCCTCACTCCATCCCAGCCATCCATCACATCCCAGGCATTCCTCACCTCATCCCAGCCATCCCTCACTCCATCCTGGCCATCCCTCACTCCATCCTGGCCATTCCTCGCTCCATCCTGGCCATCCCTCACTCCATCCTGGCCATTCCTCGCTCCATCCTGGCCATTCCTCGCTCCATCCTGGCCATTCCTCGCTCCATCCTGGCCATCCATCGCTCCATCCCGGCCATCCCTCTCTCCATCCCAGTTCTCTCTCCATCCCAGCTCTCTCTCCATCCCAGCCATCTCTCACTCCATCCCAGCCATCCCTCACTCCATCCCACCTATACATCACATCCCAGCCATCCCTCACCCCATCCCAACCACCCTCTCTCCATCCCAGTCATCCATCACTCCATCTCAGCCATTCATCTCTTTATCCCAACCACCCCTCACTCTATCCTGGCCATCCCTCTCTCCATCCCGGCCATCCATCACATCCCAGCCATACATCACATCCCAGCCATTCATCTCTCCATCCCGGCCATTCCTCTCTCCATCCCAGTCATCCATGGCTCCATCCCGGCCATCCATGGCTCCATCCCGGCCATTCCCTCTCTCCATCTCAATCATCCATCGCTCCATCCCAGCCATCCATCACATCCCAGCCATCCCTCACTCCATCCCAGCCATCCCTCACTCCATCCCACCCATCCATCACCCCATCCCAGCCGTGACCCCTCCATCCCAGCCCTACTCTGTGTTATCCCCACTGCACCTCTCTCCATCCCAGCACTGGATCATCACCTCTCCGTGCTGGCTCCCATCGGGATACAGGCGCTTCCAGCAGCTGGGGTCATGGATGAGCCATTCCCACTCTCCAGCAGGGATCCTGGTGCCGGCATAACCTTGGAGAAACCAGGAAAGGGGCGAGACTTTAACAGCCCGTTGGGAAATCAGCCTCAAGCTGAGGCCAAAGGGGAAAGCAAAGCCATAACTCACAATCCCGGGATGCTGGATCCCAGCTGCAGCCTCCAGAGGGGGAGAAAAAACCCTGGGAACCAGCTGGAGGATTCATGGAGCATATGGAATTTTTCATGTCCGGCTGGAAAGTGAAGGGAGGAAGGAGGAGGTGGGGAAGTGCAGCAGCTGGTGGCCGGATGGAGCCGGGGCTGCTGTCCTGGAATGGTCTGAAATGGGGATGGAATGACTGAAAGGGGACGGAATTCCACAAACAGTCTTTGGTGGATGGAGGAGCTGCTCCAGGTGACCACAAGGATGCTGGAAATAGAGTTTTCCCTCTCCCATTCCCTGGAGGAGCTGCTCCAAATGACCACAAACATGCTGGAAATAGTTTTCCCCTTCTCAGCCCTTGGAGGAGCTGCTCCAAGTGACCACAAAGATTCCAAAAATAGAGTTTTCCCTTTCTCCATTCCCTGGAGATGCTCCAAGTGACCACAAGGATGCTGGAAATCAAGTTTTTCCTTTCCCAATCCCTGGAGGAGCTGCTCCAAGTGACCACAAAGATTCCAAAAATTGAGTTTTCCTTTTCTTGATTCCCTGGAGGAGCTGCTCCAAGTGACCACAGAGATGCTGGAAATAGTTTTCCCTTTCCCAATCCTTGGAGGAGCTGCTCCAAGTGACCACAAAGATTCCAAAAATAGTTTTCCCTTTCTCCATTCCCTGGAGGAGCTGCTCCAAGTGACCACAGAGATTCCAAAAATAAAGTTTTCCCTTTCTCCATTCCCTGGAGATGCTCCAAGTGACCACAGAGATGCTGGAAATCGAGTTTTCCCTTTCCCAGTCCTTGGAGAAGATGTTCCAAGTGACCACAAACATGATGAAAATACAGTTTTCCTTTTCCCATTCCCTGGAGATGCTCCAGGTGACCACAAGGAGGCTGGAAATTGCGTTTTCCCTTTCTCCATTCCCAGGAGGCGCTGCTCCAAGCGACCACAAGGATGCCAGGGATGGTTTTCCCTTTTTAATTCCTGTGTACAGACACAGCCATCCCGGATTATTTCTGGAGGCTGGATGAGGCTCTCCCAGCTCCAGGGCAGCATCCAATCCCTACATCCACCCCTAGCCAGGATTTCCTGGAATCACGGGATGGTTTGGGTTGGAAGGGACCATAAAGCCCATCCAGTTCCAGCCGTGGGCAGAGATACCTTCTGCTATCCCAGGTTCCTCCAGCCTGGCCTCGGACACTTCCAGGGACGTTCCCGGCGGTTTCCCGGTGTCCCGGTTGCGATTCCGTGTGTTTTCCATCCCTCTCCAGCGCGATGCAGCCGCCCCAAGGCCGTGGCCAACGCCCACATCGAGGTGGGGAACAACACGGGGCTCCACGCCCTGCTGCGCTATTCCTGCGACCCGGGATACAAGCGGAAAGCCGGGACTTCCAACCTCATCCAGTGCGTCCTCCGGGATGGATCCGCCCGGCCCGGCTGGACCGACCCCACGCTCCAGTGCATCCGTGAGCTCCCTGTGGGAATCGGGAACTGGGAAGTGGGAATTCCACTGCCGAGGGATGCGGGGAGGGGTTGTGTTCCCCGTTCAGCGTTTTGAGAGGAGATTTAATCCCTGGAATAAGTAATGGATGACGGGGGGTTGGAAAAGCAAATCCAAAGGTTAGGGCTCGCCGGATTCGGCGCTCCCGGAGCCGGGGGGAAAAAAGATGGGAAAAAAGATCCGTCTGGGGAAAAAAAAGATGGTAAAAGGACTGAAAATGGGGATTAACTGGAATTAATTAATTAGAACTAATTAGAGTGAGAATTAATAACGAATAGAGGATGGAATATTAATTAATGAACTGATGGGCCAATCAACACTAATTCCCAAAAACGGTTAAAAGTTTGGATAACTGAGGGATGTTTTTGTGGAGTGACCCCCCAGTCCCTCGTATTGGATGATGTCCCTTTCCCATCCCAACAAACCGGGGTCGGAGGGTTTATTCCCTGTTTTCTTGGTGGTGTTTTCCCACAGGAGACCCGGCGGCTCCTCCTCCACAAACCCCCGTCCCCGCGATCCCGACGGAGCCGAACATGGAGAGCACCACCTGGAGGGGTGAGCAACTCAAAAATTTCGGGATTTTCGGGAGACACAAACCACCCCCCCCCCCCATGGTGCGGGAAGCGAAATATTCCAACGGTGCGGCTGAATCCATGAAATCCCTCCCATGGAATGGCACCGCTTTGGGGGCCGCTGGATTTGGGGTGTTTTTCGATTTGGGAATTGGAAATGGAATTCAAATGGAATTTTACACCCTTTTCCCTGCAGGAACCAGCCCCACTTCCAGCCCTTCTCCGGCGGGAAAGCCCGGAGCTGACGGGACACGCCCGGAGACATCCACACCGGGAGAGGGGACAACCCCGCTGCCCAACGCCCCCTCGGACAATGCCACAGGTTGGGATGCTTCCCACGGGAATATACCCCCCCTCTCCCGGGGATAATTCCATCCATGAAAAAAGCTCTTTTTCTTTTCCCAGTGGATTTTTTCTTTCCTTCTCCCCAAAACTCCTTAGCGACGCTCTTCCCACTATCCCGACTTTTCCAGCTAAAAAAAAGGTTTCTCCCTTCTTTTCCAGCTTCCAGCCAGACCTTGGCCTATTCCATTGGTAAGACGAGCTTGTTTTGGGAAGCAGGGGCTCATTTTCCATATTTTTTAAGCTTCCAAGCCCTCGGGGCCGTGGGAGCTTTTATTCCTTGGGAATGTCACCAAGGTGGGAAGGAGGCAGCACCCAAACTTCTCCCTGGAAAGGAGAATTCCCAGTTTTATCCCTGCCAGGGTGGGGAGGGCACCTTGGGACTGCATCCAAGGTTTTTATGGCTCTTTGTGGAGCTGTTTGGTTTGGAGCCGGGCTGTGCCCTCATCCATGACCTGGAAGACCCTCATCCATCCCTGTGGCTTTTCCACAGGGTTCCCGGCGCTCCTGGTCACCGGAATCGTGGCCTCCTTCTGCTGCTGCTGGAGGAGGAAAACGTAAGTATTCCCAACCCCACCAGGTCTTCCCACCCCAGGGATGAGTTTTCCTCGGCCTCCGTGCTTCCCTGAGAGCCGAGGAAAGGCCTTGGAATGCCGGGGATGCTCCTCTTCCCTTCCACAGGCGCCCACGGCAGGGCTACGACGTGACACCCGGGGACATTCCCATGGTGGCTCCGGCCCCCAGGAATGAGGAGGTGACACCCGGGGACATTCCCATGGCGGCTCCGGCCCCCAGGAATGAGGAGGTGGCATCCCCCGGGATCGTTCCCACGGGATGAGCGCCCGCAGCTGGGAAACTCGTGCGCCCACCAGCCCCAAGGATGCTCCAGGATCCCACGGGAAGCCGGAGGCTTCCCTGAGCGGTGGCACATCCCGAGCTCCACACGGAGCAGCCTCATCCCAAGGGACGCGTGGCTGCTCTTCCCAGCCTGAACCAGTGATTCCCATGGATGGCACGGCTCCAGGTCCCACGGGCGAGGGGGTTTTCCGGGATTGGGAGCAAGGATTTGGAGGAATTGGCCCCCTGTGGATGGTGGGGGGTGGCAGGGAGCGGGAGGGGGGGTCTGTGTCCCAGGGGAGGGGGTGGGATGCTGGGATTCAAGTGTTTGGGATGCTGGGATTTGAGTGTTTGGGATGCCAGGATTTGAGTGTTTGGGATAATGGGGTTTGGGATGCTGGGATTTTGTGCTTGGGAGCTGGGATTTGGGTGTTTGGGATGCCGGGATTGGGGTGTTTGGGATGCTGGGATTGGGTGTTTGGCATTTGGGATGCCAGGATTTGGGTGTTTGGGATGCTGGGATTTGAGTATTAGGGATTTGGGCATTTGGGATGCCGGGATGTTGGTGTTTGGGATGCTGGGACGTGGGTGTTTGGGATGATGGCATTTGGATGTTTGGGATGCTGGGATTTGGGATGCCAGGATTTGGGCCTTTGGGATACCGGGATGTGGGTGTTTGGGGTGTTTGGGATGAAGCTGAGCTTCCCTGCTCCAAGCAGTGCCCATTCCCTATCCAGCAGCACATCCAGAGCTGCCCAACCGGACACCAACCCCACCCCTAGAGCGGCTTTGCCCCCGAATTCCCTGAGATCCCGGGAATTAGGTGGAGAGGGCCCCATCCAAAGATCCCTCCACACATCCTCACCCCTTTCCTGCTCTTTTCCAGCCAAGGCTTCCAGCCCCATTCCGCCCTCGGACGCAGCTCAGGGATCCTTTGGAAGCACTTCCAGCACCGATCCAGGCTCCGGATTCCTGATCCCCCCTGGCTCTGGCTGCTCCCAGGGATCCCAACCCGGAGCACTTTCACTACAATTTACACTTCTCGAGAGACCAAACTTAGGAAATATTCCAAGGAAAAATATTTCCAGGACGCGACTCAGGGAATATTTCCCTCGCTGTGGTTTTCCTTCATCCCTCGGTGGTTTTTATCCACTGTTTTCCTTTATTTCAGGACAGGCAGCTCTGGTGCCTTTTTTTATGTATAAATATATATATTTTATATAAAATCACAGAGAGCAGTTGATTGTTGAACTGACTGGGGGGTCTCAGCCAGGATTGGGAAGGATTGGATTGGGATGAAATCCATCTCCACAGCACCGAGGGCTCATCAGGCACCGGAATTCCCATCAACAGCCCAAAATTCCATGTTCTTTCCCGCCTGCTGTGCCTTGTCCTCCTGTTTGTGGGGAAGGAATCGGCACCATGGATGTGTGACAGTCCAGACCCTCCAGCCATGGAAGTTGGAAGTGCCTCTCTCCCACGGGATGGTCGGAAAACAGCCGGGATGGAGCACCGGAGGTTCCTGCTCCGACGTCCACGTCCCAATCCAAGCGGGAATTCCTGCCCCCAGGGTGAGCGGAGCAGGGAATGCGCTCCTGGAGTCAAACCCTTCCAGCAGCTCCCATGGGAATAACAGGATGCATGAGGCTCTTCCTGCTCCGGGCCTGGATCCAAGGGCAGATCCCTTCCAGAACCACTTTCGGTTTCGCTCTTCCGTGGCACAGGCTCTGGAATTGCGGCACAACCGAGCACGACCCACCAGGATTTTCCCAAGAGCTGGAATTCAATGCAGCCAAAGCACTTGTTAAAGAAGAGGAAAACGAGGAAGTTTTAAGGCTTTTTTTTTTTTTTGGTTATAAATGGAGTTTTAGGATTCAAAACTCTCTCCGGTTTGTCTCCAGGTCAAACCGAAGCAGTTCTTCCCTCACGGTTTGGTCCTGGGAAAAGGGAAGCAAAGTCTGGGAAAGCCCTTGGCTGCCAGGAGGGGGAATTCATTCCCTGGGAGGGATTAATGATTTCCTCCCATTGCTGGCCAGGGAAAGTCCATTTCCCAGAAATAGCCTGTTCCTTTGGGAGCTTTCCAGGGTTGCATTTCCTCTTCTTCCAGCGAATCAGAGGGATTTCACGGAGCGCTGACGTCAGGGAGGAGGGAGGGATATCCAGGGAAGTTTGGTCGCTGTGATGGAGGTACACAGGGATAATGCTCCAAAATTAATGCTGATCCAGTTCCTAAAGTGCATATGCTTTGGAATATTCTGCTTCCCAGCTCCTAGAAGGCAAGGCAGGGCTGCAGGGAAGGTCTCCCAGAGCCTACGGGGTTCCTCCGGAGCCGGGCTGGAATCCCATTCCAATATCCACCCAAATCCCGCTCCAATATCCACCCGATTCCTGAGCTGGGATGCGCCAACGGGCTTTGGGAAGCTGGGAGGGCTTCCCTAGAGCTGGCAGGGCTGTTCCTGGAGCGCCGGGAAGGAGGTGAGTGGAGCCAGGGAGCCGAAGCGCTGCCGGGTGCAAGGCTGGCACAGGAATCCCCCGGGATCGCGGCTGCCGTTGCTCTGCGGGAGGGAGAGACGGGAATTTCAGGGAAGAGGGAGCTGCAGGGACACCAGCTCCGCTTCCAACCTCGGCCACGAGCCCCTCCCGCCCAGGGAAGAGAACGGTGATGCTCACAAAGCATGGAAATCCCTGATGGAGTCATGGAATCGCTTAGGTTGGAAAGATCTCTCTGAGATCGAGTCCAACATTCCCCGGCACTTCCAAGGCCACCACTAATCCATGTCCCCAAGTGCCACATCCACGTGGCTGTTAAATCCCTGCAGGGATGGGGAATCCACCACTGGACAACCCTTTCCAAGCAGGAATTTTCCCCAGTATCCCACCTAAACGTCCCCTGGCACAGATCGAGGCTGTTCCCTCCTGTCCCGCCCTCGTGTCCCTGGGGATGGATCAGAGCCATCTGTTGTCCCCTGGACGTGGAGCTTCCCAGATTTTCCATGTGGTCACTCCAGAGCTTGGCCTTCATGGTACCCTCTGGATAAGGCTCCACCCCAGAGCCAGAGGGTGGGATCAAAGGTAAACCTGGACCCCAAAATCCGACTGTCCCTGGGGTGAGGGGTGCTCTGCCAATCCCATGGGATGCTCCATGGGCTCAGCAGAGGCTCCAAGACTCGGGTGTGGGATCTGACACAACAAAACCCCCAAACTGTCTCCACCTAAGATCACACAAAGCCTCAGATGAGAAATCTGGGAACTAAATGGATCTGTGGGAAGTGCAACACCACCCGGAATCCCCCCGGGAAGTCACGAGGATGGGGAGCTGTGGGGGGGAGATCCCGGCTCAGAACAGGGACTGGAGGCTCCCAATCCCAAAATCCCAGGGAAAAGACGTACGTGAGTCAACGGGAGCTTCCTCACAACCAGCCTGGAGCTGGGATCCAACATGTTTGTGCATCTGGACACACAGCAAGTCCGGGATGCTCCGACCTTGGCAGCCTCACTCATCAGCTCCACCCGAAGGAATCGCTCCTAAAAAACAAGGAAAAAGGGGAATAACACCCCTCGGAGGGAGCTGAGATGCTGGAAGAGGTTGTTCCCTTATTTTTTTTAACCCTTTGGAAATGATTTGCAACAGGATGGGCTTTAAAAAAAAAAAAAAAAACAAACAAAATCCCAAATTCCTGGTGATAAAAAAAGTCAAGGAGAAGCCAAAGGGGAAAGGAGGAAGGAAATAAGGGAAGAGCTGGCAGCCCCACAGACAGGGAAAAGGGGATCTCAGAGGGAAGAACTCAGGATCTGTGGAAAACAACACCCAAATGCAAGAACTGTGGGGGGAAAAAACTGCTGCAATCTTGTGTTTTCCTGCTGGAATCATGGCATGGAGCAGCAAAACGTGGGAAAAACGTGACCTCGGGTACTGCCAGCACGGATCCACCTGAAACTTGGGATCGGGGGGATAATCCTTAGGGGCAGGTATCCTAAATAACCCCGCTGAAGGGGTTTTCCTGCCTTGGGAAGGATTTCACTCACCCCAGCCAGGGCCAGGAGGTCTTCCAGGGATTTGGAGAGCAGGAGACACTTCTTTGCCCGGGTCACGGCGACGTAGAGCAGGTTCCACTCGTCCTCCGGGATGGCGCCTGGCACGGAGCAGACACGATCCATGGATTTAGGGAGCAAGGAGGAACAGCCCTGCCCTCCTTCCCATGCTTCGTCCAGGTTGGGTAAGGCTTGGAGCAACCCGGGATAGTGGGAGGTTTTCCCTGCCCACGGCAGAGGGTGGGATGGGATGGGCTTTAAGGTCCTCCCAACCCAAAGCATTCCAGTGTTTCTCTGGGAAAGCAGGAATGTGCAGGCCCTGTTTGCTGTGCGGGTCCTGACGCCATCCAAGCTCCTGCCTCGTTCCACATTCCTCCCTCCGGGCACAGGCAGGGAGCTGCTCCCAGCTCCGTGTTTTCCTGCCTGTGGAGCACAGGCTTGGCACTGGGGGAGTTTCCCGGGGCCTGGATTCCCTCTGCTCCCGGGGAGAGCCCAGCTCCTCCAAAAAACAGGAACCTAAGGGAAGCAGTGGCCCTGCCAAGCCTGGAGTTGGTCTTTCCCTGTTGCTACATGGCGACAGTTGCAGGAATATTCATGGAATCACAGAATCCTTAAGGCTGGAAAAGGCCTTTAAGACCATTGATTCCAACCATTCCCAGCTCTGCCGAGGCCACCACTGACCATGTCCCCAAGTGCCACATCCACAGGGATCTGAAATCCCTCCAGGCGTGGGGACTCCACCACCTCCCTGGGCAGCCCCTGACCTGCCAAGGCCTGACCACCCTTTCCACGAGGAAATCTTCCTTGATATCCAACCTGAATTGTCCTGCAGGTCCCACAGCTTCTTCTGGAATCAGGGAATCATTTGGGTTGGATGATCTGAGATCGTCGGGTCAAACAATCCCCAGCAGTGCCGAGGCCACCACTGACCATGTCCCCAAGTGCCACATCCACAGGGATTTGAAATCCCTCCAGGGATGGGGATTCCAGGCTGTTCCAAGGCCTGACCACCCCTTCCATGAGGAAATTTTCCCCAATATCCAACCTGACCCTCCCCTGGCCCAGCCTGAGGCCGTTCCCTCTCCTCCTGGCCCTTGTTCCCTGGAGCAGAGCCCAACCCCCCCCTGGCTCCCCCCTCCTGTCAGGGAGTTGCAGAGCCAGAAGGTCCCCCCTGATCCCCCTTTGCTCCAGGATGAGCCCCCCCAGCTCCCTCAGGAGCTCTCCAGCCCCTTCCCAGCTCCCTTCCCTTCCCTGCTTTCCCAGGAGCTGTTCCCATACCAGTGGCCAGGTTGGTTCTCCTCTGGGAAGCGTCGCTCCCACACTGGGCCTTCACAAAGTCATCGGCCACCAGCACGGTGTCGAATTCCAGGCCTTTGGCTTGGTGGACAGTCCCAATGAGATAATCTGGATCCAGCACATGTGGGAACACAGGAAGGAAAAAAAAGAAGGAATAAAGATCAGCCACGGCGGCAAAAACAGTGGTTTGGAATTTCATCTCATTCTCCATGAATTTTAATTTCTCCCCCAAATATAGATCAGGAGCTCCTCTGTCGGGAATCCTAAAGGGCTGAAGGGACTTGCCAGCCCTGACTTCCAAATGGGAATGTTCTTTGTTTGAGGAATTTTCTACCTGACTGATTCGTGTCCCCCCCCCATGTTTCAGTCAGGGCAAGTGAAATATCCATGGAACCATAAAACCATGGAATGGTTGAAGGAGACCTTAAAGTCCGTACAGTTCCATGGGCAGGGACACCTCCCGCTATCCCAGGTTACTCCAACCCGGCCTTGGGCACTCCCAGGGATCCAGGGGCAGCCACAGCTTCTCTGGGAATTCCATTCCAGCCCCTCCCCACCCTCCCAGCCAGCAATTCCTTCCCAATATCCCACCTAACCCTGCCCTCTGGCACTGGGAAGCCATTCCCTGTGTCCTGTCCCTCCATCCCTTGTCCCCAGTCCCTCGCCAGCTCTCCTGGAGCCCCTTCAGGCCCTGCCAGGGGCTCTCAGCTCTCCCTGGAGCCTTCTCTTCTCCAGGGGAACCCCCCCAGCTCTCCCAGCCTGGCTCCAGCCCTAAAGCTCCCGCTCAACCTCCCTTCTCCCTAAAAGTCCAACTCGACCCAAACTCAGCCTTTTTCCCGGGATCAGTTGGACTCAGGACCGAAAGGAGACCCGGCTTTGCCCCTTTATCCCTGGATTTACCCGCCAGGGATTCCCGGGACACGTGGGACCTCTCGATCCCCTGCACCAGCTCCGGGATGCGCTCCCGGTATTTCTCCACGATGGAAATCTTCCCCGCCAGGTCTCGGTCGTCCACGAGCTCCGCGTATTCCTTCAATCCCCAGAACCCCTGAGCTTCCCATTTCTGGAGAAAGGAATCGTGGATCACCAGGTTGGCTGGAAGGAAAGGGGACAGCAGTTCAGTTTAGCTATAGGAAATTAGAATTAAAACTTAATTATAATAAGTATTATTACATTATAGAGTTTAATTTATTAATTTTTAATTTATTATTATTTTTATTATTCTTTATTATTCTTATACTATAGAGTTTAGTTTAGTTATATTAAATTAGAATTAAAATTTAATTATAAGTATTATTACATTATATAATTTATATTATCATTTATCATTATTTAGTATTATTTATTTATTATTATATTATATAGTTTATTTCATTTAGATTAAGTTAGAATTAAAATTTAATTATAATAAGTATTATTGCATTAAATAACTTATATTATTATTTATTATTTATTATTATATAAGTTATTTCACTTATATTAAGTTAGAATTAAAATTTAATTATAATAAGTATTACTACACTACATATTTTATTATTATTCATTATTATTATTTATTATTCTTATATCAAATAGTTTAGTTTATTTATATTAAATCAGAATTAAAATTTAATTATAATAAATATTATTACATTATATAGTTTATATTATTATTTATTACTATTTATCCTTATTTATTATTATTATGTATTTATGATTATATTCTATAATTTATTTCATTTACGTTAAATTAGATTTAAAATCTAATTATAATAAGTATTATTACATTATATAATTTATATTATTCATTATTTTTATTTATCATTATTCATTATTATTATTATATTATATAGTTTATTTAATTATAAGTATTAATATATTATATTATTATATATAAATACATTATCAGATTACAATACATTATTATATTTATTATGTGTCATATTATACAATAATATAATATAATTATAACATGTTTATATTATATGTGTATATTATATATAAAAATATTATCTGATATATTATAAAATAAATAGAATGTAATAAAAAGAGTAAATTATTTATATGAGTTTATGTTATTATTTTTATTTTAATTAAATTTGAATAATGATATATATTTGTTTCAGTTGCATTATTAACAATATATTAATATATCTTAGTAATATATTAATAATATATTAAGAATTAGTAATATATCAAAATATGCTTTAGTATATAATAACAATATATTATTTTAAAACCAATATATTATATTAATAACAATATAATATTATATTAATATATAACAATATTTTAATATATAACAATATTTTAATATATAACAATATTTTAATATATAACAATATTTTAATATATTTTATCACTATATAGGACTAGATAGTACTAATATTTCTAATTACAACTATAAACAATAAATACATGTTGTCTATCATATATTAAAAAATTATATTATAAATTAATTATATAATAATAGACTAATTATATAAATTTATAATTACTACTATTAATATAAATAATATTAAGAATAACATTAATTGATAATATCATATTATAACTATGCTATAATTATATAATATTTATATACTATATATCATATTATATTATATTATATTATATTATATTAATTAGATTATATTAATTATATATATTATATTATATTATATTTATTATATTATATTATATTATATTTATTATATTATATTATATTAATAATATACTACTACTAATTTAATTTTAATTAAAGGCTTTAGTGTGACTTCAGGGCATAAATCCCACTTGTTATCCCGGAGCCAGGGAGTTTTCCTGGCCCCTCACTTCCCAAAAACCCTGGAACAACATCCCTATAATCCCCCAAAAATTCCTTTCTTTTCCTTGTTTTTCCTTTGATTCCTGCAAAGGAGGGATTTTTATCCCAAATTTTACCAACTGGGGAAAAGAAAGCAGGATTTCAACAACCCGAAAGAAAAGAGGGGGGAGCTTAAGGCAGAATAAAAATGACCTAAAAATCGGGAAAAATTGGGAAAAACATCCCAAACTCGGGGTTTCCGGGATAAGCTTCCAGCCAAGTGGAAATCCAGGGAGGGATCCGAGACACAGATCCCAAAATTTTGGCATTCCTGGTGTTAAAAATGAAGATCCTTGAAGCTGCCAAAAATAGCTCGGATATGAATTAAAAAAAACCTTAAAAATAATCGGTTTTTTCCCCCCCTCGAGAATTCCCTGAGGGAACGGAAAAGGAACCAGGAAAAAGGACAATACTCACATTTTTCCCTGACTTCTGCAGGTTGACTGAGCTTCCAAATGTCATAAATCCTGCTCAGGCCAAAACGAGCCAAGCCCTAAAACAACCAAAAAAAAACCCGGAGCTTTTTATCCCAAAATAAAAGCGGCTGTTCCAGGGAAAATAAAAATGCGAAAAATAAAAAGAAAAATCTCAGTTTCAACATAAATTGACCCAAAAAGCTCTTTATTTTTGAGGGCATTTTTACTTTCCAAAAGTATTTTTTTTCACCCCCTTATTTCTAAATCCCTTTTGGTTCGTTCCATCCGAAGGAAAATCGGGATAAATTAAATACATCCCAGATTTATCGGGATAAATTAAATTTATCCCGAATTTTTCTTTGGGGCTGGGCGGCCACCCCTTCGAAGGCTTATCTGGTTTTAATTTGCAGCTTTCTGGTTGGAAAAAAAAATAAGGTGAAAAAATTGGGAATATGGGCCTAAAAATTCCGAAGATTGGCTCGAACAGTTCCTCCAATTCCGGCTGCAAAATTCCCAAATGGAAGGAGGTTTTTCCCTATTCCGTGGGATTTTATCGGCCATTCAGAGCTCGAAGCCCGGTGATTCCCGAGGCTTTGGAATGTGGAGCCGGGTTAAAACCCTCCTGGAATTCCAGCCCAGGGATTCCTGCAGGTGTGGGCACACACATTCTCCTCCGGCTCCGCTTTTTTGGGAATGAAAATCCAGGGAAATCCCGGGGCCTGTTGCTCCCTCAAGGGGTTGATGTCTGCGGAAAATCCTGATTTCCCTCCCCAAAGAGGCCCCAGTTTTCCCTGGATTTCCTGGGTGGATTGAGCCAGGGATCAAAGCCCTCCAGGGCTGGGAATCCACGATGATCCCGGCACATCCCAAGGTCGCTTCCGGCTTCAAACGCTGCCATTGTCTCCCAAGAAAACGTGGAAAATGTTTATTCTTTCCCTGTTTTTACGCTCAATTCCGGCTGATTTTTAATTCCAAAGGCACCAGAACCGCTCCAGCTCCTCCAAAGACTTCCAGCCACTTGTTCCATCCCCTCTTTTCCCGCCCCAATCCTGGTCATTCCTAAACCCAAATGACACCATTCCCATCAAACCATTCCTTGAAATCCTGGTCAATTCTTAATCCCAAATTATCCAATTCCCACCGAGCCATTCCTAGAAAATCTGGTCATTCCTAAACCCAACTGATACAATTCCCACCAACCTTCTGGAAAAGTTTTCTCCTGGAAAAACACCCAAATACCTCCCAACTATTCCTAGAAATCCTGGTCATTCCTAAACCCAAATGATACAATTCCCATCAAACCTCCTGGATAACTTTTCTCTTGGAAAAGCACCCAAATTCCCTCAAATCTATTCCTAGAAATCCTGGTCATTCCTAAACCTACACGATAAAATTCCCACCAACCTTCTGGACATCTTGGAAAAAGCACCAAAATCTCCTCAAACTATTCCCAGAAATCCTGGTCATTCCTAAACACACATTATACAATTCCCATCCCACCCAAGCCGGATAAAACCGGGATAAATCAGCCTAAAAATGGGATTTGGCCCGCCCGGATTTGAGGATAAAACGGCCCCAAATCACTTCCCGGCCGTGCCAGATTCCTGCTTTTTTATGGAATATCGATTCCAAAGGTGGGAATTGGCCTTGGCTGTCCCCACCTAAGCTGGACAAAAACGGGATAAATCAGCCTAAAAACGGGATTTGGCCCATTCGGATTTGACAATAAAATGGCCCCAAATCACTTCCTGGCCGCACCAGATTCCTGCTTTCCGCTGGAATATCGATTCCAAAGCGGGAATTGGCCTTGGTCGTTCCCACCCAAGCCGGATAAAACCGGGATAAATCAGCCTAAAAACGGGATTTGGCCCGTCTGGATTTGAGGATAAAATGATCCCAAATCACTTCCTGGCTGTGCCAGATTCCCGCTTTTAGCCGGAATATGGACCCCAAAGGCAGGAATTGGCCTCGAGCGTCCCCACCTACCCCGATGACGTGGATGGGGATGGGTCTGTCCCTCCCGGTGAGTTTGACGGCGTCGTCGAAAACGCTGGAATTGCTGCGGGAAAGGACCGTGATCTTCCCTTCCAGGGAGCCCCGGACGGCGCCTGCACGGACACATTCCCGGGATCCCGGAATCAGGATCCGCATCCCAGGGACTCCACAGATCAGTATTATTTATTTAATTATTTCTCCTTTATGGATCGTATTTATCTTCAATTTCATAAATTTAATTGATTAACAGATTTGTTAATATATTTAACATGTTTTTGTAGATGAAAGGGATTATATTTCTGTATTAATTAATATATTTAATGAGGTTACTGATTTATTAGTTTGATAAATTTAATCAATTTTTCATGCTAAATCCTAAAGTTCATTTAGAAAATAAAATTTAAATAAAATAAAATTTAAATAAAATAAAATTTAAATAAAATAAAATGTGAATAACAAAGAATTTAAGGAAAACAGAATTTAAGGAAAACAAAATTTAAGGAAAACAAAATTTAAGGAAAACAAAATTTAAGGAAAACAAAATTTAAGGAAAACAAAATTTAAGGAAAACAAAATTTAAGGAAAACAAAATTTAAGGAAAACAGAATTTAAGGAAAACAAAATTTAAGGAAAACAAAATTTAAGGAAAACAAAATTTAAGGAAAACAAAATTTAAGGAAAACAAAATTTAAGGAAAACAAAATTTAAGGAAAACAAAATTTAAGGAAAACAAAATTAAAATAAAATGTAAATAAAATAAAATGTGGATAAAATAAAATGTGAATAAAATAGAATTTAAGAAAAATAGAATTAAAGGAAAAGAGAATTTAAAGAAAATAAAATTTAAAAATTAAAATAAAAATAAAATAAAATGTGGATAAAATAAAACTTAAAGAAAAGAGAATTTAAAGAAAAGAGAATTTAAAGAAAAGAGAATTTAAAGAAAAGAGAATTTAAAGAAAAGAGAATTTAAAGAAAAGAGAATTTAAAGAAAAGAGAATTTAAAGGAAAAGAAAAGAGAATTTAAAGAAAAGAGAATTTAAAGAAAAGAGAATTTAAAGAAAAGAGAATTTAAAGAAAAGAGAATTTAAAGAAAAGAGAATTTAAAGAAAAGAGAATTTAAAGAAAAGAGAATTTAAAGAAAAGAGAATTTAAAGAAAAGAGAATTTAAAGAAAAGAGAATTTAAAGAAAAGAGAATTTAACGACAGGGAGGAATATTTAAAGAAAAGGAGAATGGAAAGAAAACGAGAATTTAAAGAAAAAGAGAATTTAAAAGAAAGAGAATTTAAAGAAAAGCGACTAGAGAATTTTAAAGAAAAGAGGGACTTAAAGAAACGAGAATTTAAAGAAAAGAGCATTTAAGGGAACACAGAATTTACGGGAAACAGCATTCATGACAGAAAACAGAATGTAACGGAGCGAACATAAATTAAACACATTAAAATTAAACTAAAATTACATAAAATAACACTGCGAATTAAACATTTTCTGGGGTTGGAATTACGGAAATAGATTTAAAGGGAACTACAATTTACAAAATTAACCTAAATAAAGTAACAGTGGATAATAAAATAGAATTTAAGGAAAATAGAATTTAAAGGAAATAAAATTTACAAAATTAAAATTTAAATAAAATAAAATGTGGATAAAATAGAATTTAAAGAAAATAGAATTTAAAGAAAATAGAATTTAAAGAAAATAGAATTTAAAGAAAATAGAATTTAAAGAAAATAGAATTTAAAGAAAATAGAATTTAAAGAAAATAGAATTTAAAGAAAATAGAATTTAAAGAAAATAGAATTTAAAGAAAACAGAATTTAAGGAAAACAGAATTAAAGAAAATAGAATTTAAAGAAAACAGAATTTAAGGAAAATAAAATTAAAAAAATTAAAATTAAAATAAAATTTAAATAAAATAAAATGTGGATAAAATAGAATTTAAAGAAAATAGAATTTAAAGAAAATAAAATTTAAAGAAAATAAAATTAAAATAAAATTTAAATAAAATAAAATGCGGATAAAATAAAATAAAATGCGGATAAAATAAAATGTAAATAAAATAGAATGTAAAGAAAAAATAATTTAAAAACTAAAATTCAAAAAATTAAAATTAAAATAAAATTTAAATAAAATAAAATGTGACTAAAATAGAATTTAAAGAAAATAGAATTTAAAAAAATTTAAGTAAAATAAAATTTACATAAAAAACATGTAAATAAAATAGAATTAAAATAAAAAAGATTTAAAATAAAATAGAATTTAAAACAATAGAATTTAAATAAAACAGAATTAAAAAATAAAATTTACAAATAATAATATTTACATAAAATAAAATTTACATAAAATAATATTTAAATAAAATTTATTCATAAAATAAAATCTATTAATTCAACTATTAATATTATTAACATCATTAGTTTATTTTATTAATTAAATTATTAGCTAATTATCAACAACTATTTATATACTATTACGATATAATATTTTATGCATAATAACTATATATTAATTATTAACTAGGCCAAACTCAAATGTCATTTCAAATTTCACTTTGAAATGAAATTTAACCAATTTAACGTAATCGATTATGAATTATTAGTAACTTTATTATACATTATTTATTGCAAATATTTACTCCTAATTGAATTTTATAAATTAATTATTAATTTGTAAATTAACTGAATTTTATAAATTCAATCACCTTTTTAAACGTTGAACTTAAAGAGCAAACCTGAATTTACATTTTATAATCGAATTTTATTAATTTAATTTATTACAATCGATATTCATATTTACTATTTATGGTGTTATTAGTGAATAAAATTAATTATTATTTATTAAAATTAATTTTATTCAATGGCCCTGAGCTGAGAGAGCACAACTCACCCTTTTGGTTCCCACCCACCAACGTCTTATTCCGGATCCCTTTGCAAACATCCAGGATTGTTGCTCCAACATAAGCAATCTCGGGACCAAATCGGAAACTCTGCGTGGAAAAATCCAGGAAAAGGCAGGAAAAGACGAGGAATTTGTTAGAACCCATAAAAGTATTGCTATGTCTGGAATTATACAATTCCCACCCACCTTCTGGACATCTTTTCACTTGGAAAAAGCACCAAAATCTCCTCAAACTATTCCTAGAAATCCTGGTTATTCCTAAACGCAAATGACACCATTCCCATCAAACCATTCCTTGAAATCCTGGTCAATTCTTAATCCCAAATTATACAATTCCCACCAAACCATTCCTAGAAAATCTGGTCATTCCTAAACCTACATGATACAATTCCCACCAACCTTCTGGAAAAGTTTTCTCCTGGAAAAACACCCAAATACCTCCCAACTATTCCTAGAAATCCTGGTCATTCCTAAACCCAAATGATACAATTCCCATCAAACCTCCTGGATAACTTTTCTCTTGGAAAAACACCCAAATCCCCCCAGACTATTCCTAGAAATCCTGGTCATTCCTAAACCCAAATTATACAATTCCCATCAAACCATTCCTTGAATTCCTGGTCATTCTTTCCCTTGGAAAAACACCCAAATACCTCCCGACTATTCCTAGAAATCCTGGTCATTCCTAAACCTACATAGTTTGGGGGAATTTGGGTGTTTTTCCAGGAGAAAAGTTGTCCAGGAGGTTGGTGGGAATTGTGTCAGTTAGGAATGACCAGATTTTCTAGGAATAGCTTGGTGGGAATTGTTTGGGAATGACCAGGATTTCTAGGAATACTTCTGAGTCATTTTGGTGCTTTCTCCAAGAGAACAGTTGTCCAAGAGGTTGGTGGGAATTGGGTTCAAGAACCACCAGGATTTCTAGGAACAGGTTGGTGGGAACTGTTTGGGAACGACCAGGATTTCTAGGAACGCTTTGGCAGGAACTGTTTGGGAACAATCAGGATTTCTAGGAACAGTTTGATGGGAGTGGTTTGGGAACGACCAGGATTTCCAGGAACAGTTTGGCAGAAATGGTTTGGGAACGACCAGGATTTCTAGGAACAGTTTGGCAGGAGTGGTTTGGAAACAACCAGGATTTCTAGGAACAGTTTGGTGGGAACTGTTTGGGAACGACCAGGATTTCCAGGAACAGTTTGGTGGGAACTGTTTGGGAACGACCAGGATTTCCACAAACAGTTTGGTGGGAACTGCTTGGGAACGACCAGGATTTCTCGGAACAGTTTGGCGGGAACTGTTTGGGAATGACCAGGATTTCCAGGAACAGTTTGGCAGGAGTGGTTTGGGAATGACCACGATTTCTAGGAGCAGTTTGGCGGGAACTGCTTGGGAACGACCAGGATTTCCAGGAACAGTTTGTCGGTACCACTTGGCCCCGCGGAGTGTTTGCCGTTGGACGCCGCCCGCGGGAGGCCGCGGGGCCTGGATTTCCCCTGGATTTCCCCTGGATTTGGGATGCCCCCCTGGAAGCCCAGCCCCTACCTGGGTCAGGTAGTAGACGTGGGTGTGGGGCACGGCCTGCAGGGTGTTGACGGCGCCGCGGAAGGTGTAGATCTGCTGGTGAGGGTCTCCCACCAGGATGATCCCGCACGGCTGGGACAGCACCACGTCCACGATGGCTGCGGGAAAACACCGGGAACGTCACGGAGCAGCCACGGAGCAGCCCCGTCACCGAGCCAGCCCAAGCAAGCCAGGGCTCGGTCCTAACCTCACAGCCGGGTTTAAGTTGAACCGTGCTGCTCCTTGGGAATGCTTCCCTGTGGGAATGCCGGAGCTCCGCTCACCTGGAGTGCAATCCTGGGCCTCGTCCACGAAAACGGCGTCGTAGCCCGACAGCTTGGGCTTGCTGAGCTGCCACAGCTTCAGGTATCCTGAGGGGAAAACACAGGGATGGCAGGGAAAAGGGAATTTTCCTCGGTGGAACCCCCCATGATCCTCAAAATAAACCACTTTTTTCCTTGGCTTTTTTGGGTTTTTTTTCATGTTTCTGGCCCTTAAAATAAATCCTTTTTTCCTTTTTTTTTTTATTTTATTTATTTCTTTTTGTTAAAAAAATGTTTCTGTCCTTAAAATAATCCCTTGTTCCCTTTTTTTTTTTTTTTTATTAATAATTTTATTTATTTATTTTATTGATTTTTTTTTTTTAACTTTTTCTTTTTTTTTATGTTTCTGGCCCTTAAAATAAATCTTTTTCCCCTCTTTTTTTTTTTTTTTGGTATTTTTTTCATGTTTCTGGCCCTTAAAACAATCCCCTTTTCCCTTTTTTTTTGTTTGGTTTATTTTTTTTAATTTTTTTTTTTTAATGTTTTATGGTATTATATTCTTTATAATATAAGAATTGATATTTTCTTCTCTTTTACCATCACAAGTCATCTTGTATCTCTTCTCCACGTCCCCATCCAGCTTTTTCATGTTGTGCCATATTTCTTTGGCCTCCTCCACGTTGATCTGGAGAGGGGAAAAAACACAGGGAAAACTTGGACAAATTGCTCTGAGCAGACAAATATTCCAAACACGGGAGATTTTCTCTGAAGTCTTTTGGGGTTTTGATCTAAAATCACCTAAAAAGATGTTTATTTTCTTTATTTATATATATATATAAAGAAAATAAATATATATAAATATGTAAAAATATAATTAATAAATAAAATAGAAATAGAAATACCATATATAAATATCATATATATAAAAATATAACTATATAATAATATATATAATATAGAAAATATAGAATAATATATAATAGGTAATGTGTAATATTATATAATATATATGTAACATTATATAATATAAATATATAAAATAGACAAATTATATATTGCACAATATATAATATTAATATAACAATAATATAATATATAAATAATATATATAAATAATAAATAAAAATAAATTTAAATATAAATATATATATCACTGTTCAGGCACTGGTATAAATATAACATCAGTGTTCTGTCTATTTATATTGTATTTATTCATCATATAGAATACATACTTATTTGCTTATAAAATCTTAATATAATATGATTATCAAAATATAAATAGAATCTAAACAGAATCTAAATAGACTCTAAACAGAATCTAAATAGAATCTAAGTAAAATCTAAATAGACTCTAAATAAAATCTAAATAGCATATAAATAGAATATAAATATAATCTAAACAGAATCTAAATAAAAGATAAATAGAATCTAATTAAAATATAAATAGAATCTAAATAGAAATAAAATAGAAATAAAATAGAAATAAAATAGAAATAAAATAGAAATAAAATAGAAATAAAATAGAAATAAAATAGAAATAAAATAGAAATAAAATAGAAATAAAATAGAAATAAAATAGAAATAAAATAGAAATAAAATAGAAATACCTGCCCTGGGCAGAGCCAGGGATAAAATCCTGCCTCAAACCAGCTCCACAAACAAGGAGAATGGGCCCCGTTTCCTTCAGATTTGTCACCAGTGGGGAAAAAATATTTGGACAGTTAATTGCTAAAGGTGAAGCCCAAAGAGCCCTGAGCTGGGAGAGATGGGAGATCATGGAATTCCGGAATGACTTAGGTTGGAAGGGACCTTAAAGCCCAGCCAGATCTTCCCTGGTTGGAATTCCTTCTGTCCCACAACCTTCTGTTCCTAAATCTGTTATCTCAGAGGTGTTACTGTTGCTTCTGACGGGCTCAGCCTTGGAATCCTGTCCCAGAGCAGCTGGAATTGGCTCCATGGGACAGGGGGAAGCTTCCGGCAGCTTCCAAGAGAAGCCACCCACACATCTACCAAACCCCAGCCACAGAATTTCAGCCTGACCACAAAATCTCACCCTCTGTTCCACGAGGCTGACGAGTCTCCTGTCCCTGTGGGTGTTTTTGAACCACACGGGCACCTGCTCCTCACAAATCTCCTCCTCACTCCTGACGGGTTCGGCCTTGGAATCCTGTCCCGGAGCAGCTGGAATTGGCTCCACGGGACAGGGGGAAGCTTCCGGCAGCTTCCAAGAGAAGCCACCCGCACATCTATCAAACCCCAGCCACAGAATTCCACCCGATCCCAAAATCTCACCCGCTTTTCCACGGGGCTGACGAGCCCCCTGTCCTTGTGGGTGTTCTTGAACCACACGGGCACCTGTTCCTCACAAATCTCCTCCTCACTCCTGACGGGTTCGGCCTTGGCCGGTGGCAGGAATCCTGTCCCGGAGCAGCTGGAATTGGCTCCACAGACAGGGGAAGGTTCTGGCAGCCTCCCTCGACACCCGATCCCAAAAATTCACCCGTTTTTCCATAGGGCTGATGAGCCCCCTGTCCCCGTGGGTGTTTTTGAACCACACGGGCGCCTGCTCCTCACAAATCTCCTCACAGATCTCCTCCTCACTCCTGACGGGCTCGGCCTTGGAATCCTGTCCCAGAGCAGCTGGAATCGGCTCCACAGGACAGGAGAAACTTCCGGCAGCTTCCAAGAGAAGCCACCCACACATCTACCAAACCCCAGCCACAGAATCCCACCCCAATCCCAAAAATTCACCCTCTTTTCCGCGGGGCTGACGAGCCTCCTGTCCCCGTGGGTGTTTTTGAACCACACGGGCACCTGCTCCTCACAAATCTCCTCCTCACTCCTGACGGGCTCGGCCTTGGAATCCCGTCCCGGAACAGCTGGAATTGGCTCCATGGGACAGGGGGAAGCTTTTGGCAGCTTCCAAGAGAAGCCACCCACACATCTACCAAACTCCTCACAAATCTCCTCACAAATCTCCCCGTCACTCCTGACGGGCTCGGCCTTGGCCAGAGGCAGGAATCCCATCCCGGAGCAGCTGGAATCGGCTCCATGGGACAGGGGGAAGCTTCCGGCAGCTTCCAAGAGAGCTCCCCCACTACCAAACCCCATCCTGATCCCAAAAACTCACCCTTTTCTCCGTGGGGCTGACGAGCCTCCACTCCCCGTGGGTGTCTTTGAACCACACGGGCACGTGCTCCCCACAGATCTCCTCGTCCGAGGAGGCGAAGAAGCTCTCCAGGGTCTGCGAGACCGTTTTCCCCCTCACGAACAGGGCCTGGCCCTCGCGGTTCTGCAGGAGGCGGCTGACGGAGAACACGGACATCTTGGAGAAGTTCAGCCTCCCTCGCTCTTTGTAGCTGGGAAAAACCCAAAAAATAAGGTGTCAAAAGGTGCAGGGAAACCTCCTGTGGCACGACAGCACCTCAGAATCCCTGTTTTATAACCCTGATTTGGACTAATGGCGGAATATCTCTAAAATTTGCACGTTTTTAAATGGAGTGCCTTGAAAATCTGCACGTATTTGCAATGGAATATCTTTAAAATTTGTGCATATTTTAACGGAATATCTTTAAAATCTGCACCTATTTGCAATGGGATAACTTTAAAGTCTAAATATCTTTAAAATCTGAACCTATTTGTAATGAAATACCTTTAAAATCTGCACTTACTTGCAATAAAATATCTTTGAAATCTGCACTTATTTGCAATGGAATACCTTTAAAATCTGCATATCTTTAAAATCTGCATTTATCTGTAATGGAATATCTTTAAAATCTGCATATGGTTAAAATCTACACATATTTTTCACGGAATACCTTCAAAATCTGCACATAGTTGCAAAGAAATATCTTTATAATCCGAATATCTTTAAAATCTGCACATATTTTAATGGAATATCTTTATAATCTGAATATCTTTAAAATATGGACATATTTGCAATGGAATATCTTTAAAATCTGCACATATCTGCAACAGAATACCTTTAAAATCTGAATATAATTATAATCTCCACCTATTTCTCACAGAATATCTTTAAAATGTCCACCTATTTGGAAAGAAATACCTTCAAAATCTGCACTTATTTGAAAAGAAATACCTTTAAAATCTGTGCTTATTTGCAAAGAAATACCTTTAAAATTGGCACATATTTGCAATGAAATATCTTTAAAATCTGCACATATTTGTAATGAAATATTATTCAAATTCACACCTATTTGCAATTAAATACCTTTAAAATCTGCACCTATTTGCAATGGAATACCTTTAAAATCTGAGTATCTTTAAAACTGGGAAATATTTGTAATAGATTATCTGTAAAATTTGCACCTATTTGCAATTAAATACCTTTAAAATCTGCACCTATTTGGTAATGAAATATCCTTAAAAACTGCACCTATTTGTAATGAATTATTTAAAATCAGCACATATTTGCAATGGAATACCTTTAAAATCTGAATACCTTTAAAATCTGCACCTCTATGCAATGGAATACCTTTAAAATCTGAATATCTTTAAAATTTGCACATATTTGCAATGAGTATCTTTAAAATCTGCACATATTTGTAATGAAATACCTTTAAAATCTGCACCTATTTGCAATGGAAAATCTTTAAAATTTGTACATATTTTAATGGAATATGTTTAAGATCTGCACATATTTGCAATGAAATACCTTTAAAATCTGAATACCTTTAAAATCTGCACCTATTTGTCACAGAATATCTTTAAAATCTGAATATCTTTAAAATCTGCACCTATTTGTCACAGAATATCTTTAAAATGTCCACCTATTTGCAGTTAAATAACTTTAAAATCTGCTCCTATATTTAATGGAATATCTTTAAAGGAATATCTTTATAATCTGTGCATATTTGCAATGGAATAACCTTAAAATCTGCACTTATTTTTGTGGAATGTCTTTAAAATCTGCACATATTTTAATGGAATATCTTTATAATCCGAGTATCTTTAAAATCTGCACATTATTTGTCCCGGTAGAAGCACAAACTTGCTGATTTTATACATTTTATAGAGGAAAAAAAAAGAAAAAAATGGAGCTGGAGGGATATTCCCAGTATTCACCCCTGCCAGGTAACGGGAATTCCCTCTTTTTTTCCAGCTCTGCACTTGAAATGTGCCATCATGGGACAGGAATTGGATCATTAAAACGACTCAGACAAAGAGAATTATTCCCCTGTTGGAGAAAAGCAACGTTTGGAAAGGTTTTCCCACTGACACGGGAAGGGGAAGCGGAGAAAAAGGAATTCCCAGTGGAATTTTATCTCCCTGGGAATCGACCCCAAACCAGGGAAATGAGGGTTTTCCCGTGGATCCTAAAACCCCTGGAGCATCCAACTGGGTATCCATAAATCCCAACTCCCAGCCTGGCTTGGAGCAGGTGAAATAATCTCCCCCCTCCCCTCAGATCCCCAGAGGTTTTAATTCCAACCGATTTTTCCCGCCGCGTCCCTTTTTTTTTTTTTTTTTTTTGGGATCTAAAAATCCCAACTCACTGCTTCCCGACGCTCCCGAACGCCAGGGAGTGGAAAGTCTTGCAGGTGACATTCCTGGGAAAGGCCCTTTTCCCCTTCTCCACCACGGCTTTGTTGAAAGCCACGTAAAGGAAGCTCAGCTCCGGGAATTTCTCCGCGTACTTGGCCAAGGTGGAGGTTTTCCCCGTGCCTGGAGAAGGGAAGGAAGCAGAGGATGAGGATTCCAGAGTCGGGAATGTTGGTGCCTAACGGAGCAAATCGGGTTTACAAAAAAATTCCAATCTGTAGCCTGAAAAGTTTTAAAAAAAAATAAAAAAGAGGGAAAATAGAATGGAAGGTTCGTGGGTTGGGATAAGGATGGGGCGGATCCCTCGGGAATTCCCGCCATGGGCAAAACGGGCTCGACTCGAGGGAATTAATTTAATTTACTGGCAATTAAATCAGCAGAGGGAAACGAGGAATAAAAGCTACAGCCTAAAACACCTTCTCCTCGTCCCTCCCCTCTGCCCAGGCTCCGCTTCACTCCTGATTTCAGGGAATCAGGGAATCGTTTAGGTTGGAAAACGGATCGGCTCCAGGGTGAGTCCCTTTTTTTCCATGGGGTCAGTCCTTCAGGAACAGCCTGCTCCAGTATGGATCCCTCTTTTCCACAGGGTCAGTCCTTCAGGAATTGTTCCAGCACAGATCCCTGTTTTCCATGGGGTCAGTCCTTCAGGAACTGCTCCAGCACAGATCCCTGTTTTCCACGGGGTCACTCCTTCAGGAACTGCTCCAGCACAGATCCCTGTTTTCCATGGGGTCAGTCCTTCAGGAACTGCTCCAGCACAGATCCCTGTTTTCCACAGGGTCAGTCCTTCAGGAACTGCTCCAGCACAGATCCCTGTTTTCCACGGGGTCAGTCCTTCAGGAACTGCTCCAGCACAGATCCCTGTTTTCCACAGGGTCAGTCCTTCAGGAACTGCTCCAGCACAGATCCCTGTTTTCCATGGGGTCAGTCCTCCAGGAACTGCTCCAGCACAGATCCCTGTTTTCCACAGGGTCACTCCTTCAGGAACTGCTCCAGCACAGATCCCTGTTTTCCATGGGGTCACTCCTTCAGGAACTGCTCCAGCACAGATCCCTGTTTTCCACGGGGTCAGTCCTTCAGGAACTGCTCCAGCACAGATCCCTGTTTTCCACGGGGTCAGTCCTTCAGGAACTGCTCCAGCACAGATCCCTGTTTTCCACAGGGTCAGTCCTTCAGGAACTGCTCCAGAGTGGGTCCCTTTTTTCCCATGGGATGCAGGCAAATCCCTGCTCCAGCCCCTGGAGTCTCTCCTCTTCCACCCTCCCTGCCCTCAGGACCTGCAGGGCCCTTCTCCCACATATTCCCACTCCTCTCTCCCCTGTTTTTGTTCCCATTTTTGGGGGCTTTTCCCTTCCATTTGTTATCCCAGAGGAGCAAGTTGATCCCTCTGGAATCCCACAGTCCCTGGGCCGGGAGGGAAGGGCCAGACTGAGGTTCTCCTGTTCATTTTTCCCACAGAATTTTTGGGATCTTACCTGCAAACGCCATAATTTTCACTATCTGCCCGGGCTCAATCCTGTGATTCAAAATCCTCTGCTGCTCGTGGGTCAGTGGAAAACTGTGGAAAAAATCGGGGAAAAAACAACAATAAATGGATGGAAAAGGAATTAAAGAAAATAAATCCTCCCACACAACTCCATTAACGAGGAAATGGGGTTATTGATCCCATCCCAGGAGCGGGAATTTGGCACTGGAGCAACCTGGTTCTTGGGGAAAAAGGAGAAAAGAAGGGAATAAGAGAATATTGGAGCAAAAATAGGGAGTAAAACTCTTATTATTGAAGAATCCAGAAGAATTTGGAACCCGGAAATCCCAAATCCCAGCCTGGCTTGAAGAATCCAAAAGGTCACACGGGAAAAGATCTTCCCAAATTAAAATTAATTAATTAAAATTAATTGGGCAGCCTGGCTCCTTAAGCTTATTAAAGACCACCAGCTTTATCTTGGCCAGGGATGGAATCACAGCATTCCCATTCCATAGGAAAGGATAAGGAATAAATGAGTCAATCCAGGGGAAATGCAGCGGGAAGGGAACCAAGCCTGGATCCCCACAGGCCAGGGAAGGGTTTCACTCCTTGTTGTCCTTCTTTTCTAGGCAGCAAGTAGCCAAAAAATATTAATATTTAACATATAGATCAATACATTTTAATCTATATGTCCATGTATAGATATATAAATTACGTATAATTATAAATTATATCATGTCTAAAATTAAAATAGATATAAATATATCAATATATATAATATTTATTAATATAAGATAAATATAAAGCATATAATTTAATATATATAATATATAATATATAACATAATATAATATATATTATATAATATATATTACATCTATGTATATACAATACATATTATATCCATGTATATATAATATATATTATATATTATATCTATGTATATATAATATATATTATATTATATATATGTCCTTCTTTTCAAGGCAGCAAGTAGCAAAAAATATTAATATTTAACATATAGATAATAACTATATAATACATATTATATAATATATATTATATTATATAATATATATTATATAATATAATATATATTATATTATATATATGTATATATAAAGTATATTATATATATGTATATATAAAATATATTATATTATATATATGTCCTCCTTTTCTAGGCAGCAAGTAGAAAAAATATTAATATTTAACATACAGATCAATAAATTTTTCTCCCTCTCTCTATATATGTATAAATATATAAATTACATATAATTATAAATTATATCATATCTAAAAGACATAAATATATCAATATATAAAGTAAATATAAATTTATTAATATATAAAATAAATATAAAGTACAAAATATAACATATAATAATATATACTATATACTATATAATATAATATACATAATACAATGTAATAGAAATATAATATAATAAAAGAAATATAATGCATATAATATAATATAATGTAATATAATAGAAATACAATATAATAAAAGAAATATAATGCACACAATATAATATAATGTAATATAATAGAAATATAATATAAAAGAAATATAATGCACATAATATAATATAATGTAATATAATAGAAATATAATATAATAAAAGAAATATAATGCATATAATATAATAGAAATATAATATAATAAAAGAAATATAAAAATATAATAAAATAAAGATAAAAATAATAATAAACAATACAAATATAAATGATATCCAAGCCAGCAAATAAATCCATGTTAGTATTAACACTTCTCTGGCAGGATCCAGAAAACAGGAGTGGAGTCAATATTCCAGTCCCTTGTTTCTTTCCTGGTGTTCAAAAAGGAAAATCCACATTTTTTTGGGGCTGGGGGAGCATCAGCAACAACCCAACCCCCTGCTTGGGCTGCCTGGACTTCGGGTCTTAAAATTCCAGCAGGGACTTCCCTCCTTCCCGAGCTCCTCATCCGTAGGGAAAGGGGTGATCTGGGAGGGTGTTTGGGGGGATTCGGACTCTGTGAGTGCAGAGAACTGGGTTCCACCGATCCGTGAGGTGGAGCCAGGCTGGGAGAGCTGGGAATGTTCCCCTGGAGAAGGGAAGGCTCCAGGGAGAGCTGAGAGCCCCTGGCAGGGCCTGAAGGGGCTCCAGGAGAGCTGGAGAGGGACTGGAGACAAGGGATGGAGGGACAGGACACAGGGAATGGCTTCCCAGTGCCAGAGGGCAGGGTTAGATGGGATATTGGGAAGGAATTGCTGGCTGGGAGGGTGGGGAGGGGCTGGGATGGAATTCCCAGAGAAGCTGTGGCTGCCTCTGGATCCCTGGAAGTGTCCAAGGGCAGGTTAGAGTGACCTGGGATAGTGGGAGGTGTCCCTGCCCATGGCAGGAGTGGCACTGGAGGTTTTTAAAGTCCCTTCCCACCCAGACAATCCTGTCATTCCATGATTCTGGATTCCCTCTCCTCTGGAGCCAGGCTGGGAGAGCTGGGAATGTTCCCCTGGAGAAGGGAAGGCTCCAGGGAGAGCTGAGAGCCCCTGGCAGGGCCTGAAGGGGCTCCAGGAGAGCTGGAGAGGGACTGGGGACAAGGCAGGGAGGGACAGGACACAGGGAATGGCTTCCCAGTGCCAGAGGGCAGGGTTAGGTGGGATATTGGGAAGGAATTGCTGGCTGGGAGGGTGGGGAGGGGCTGGAATGGATTTCCCAGAGAAGCTGTGGCTGCCCCTGGATCCCTGGAAGTGTCCAAGGCCAGGCTGGAGCAACCTGGGATAGTGGGAGGTGTCTCTACCTACACCAGGGGTTTGGAATTAGTTTATCCTTAAGGTCCCTTCCAAACCATTCCATGATTCCACGACAGACCCATCAGTCTGTGCCCGGCAATCCGATTTTTCCAGATTTAAGGCCCCAGATTCTGGTTTTCCTCTGGGAATTCAGGGGGCAAGGAGCAGGATAAGGAGTTGCACTGTCCCTGGTATTCCCTGGAGTGCTCAGCATTCCCTCAGGACCCCGGGGAACCGCTTGGATCACTTGGAAAAGCCTCACCTGGACCACAAGTCCTGCCTGCAGCGCGAAGCCAGCGTTTCCTCTTCCACATTCCCAACGGCTCCAGAGGAGTTTTCCATCAGGTACAAGCAGTAGAAGACGTTGTAATGGATCCTGGGAGAGAGGAGAAACCAGAAACTACCACTGGAAATCCACGAAAAACAAGGGAAACCTCATAAAAAAAACCACCAATGCCTCGGATAATTCCAACGGAAAGCCTGGAGCGCTCAGGGAGCTGCGGGAGATTATGGATAATTAGATAATTAATTATTAATATTAAAATAAAGCGCTAATTGGGCCTTGAAAAGTCCCTGCAAGGGCACCAGGGCAGGGAGGAGACGTGGCAGGGAAGGGGGTTGGAAGGAAAGCTCCTGGATTTGAGGGAGCACAAAGAATGGGAATTGTTTCACTGGCTGCAAACCAGGCTGGGATTTGGGATTTCTGGGTTCCAAACTCTTCTGGATTCTTCAAGCCAGGTTGGGATTTGGGATGTTTGGATTCCAAATTACTTTGGATTCTTCAAGCCAGGCTGGGATTTGGGATTTATGTGTTCCAAATTCTTTTGGATTCCAATTCTTTCTGGATTATTCAAGACAGGCTGAGATTTGGGATTTCTGGGTTCCAAATTCTTTTGGATTCCAATTCTTTTGGGATTCTTCAAGACAGGCTGGGATTTGGGATTTCTGGATTCCAATTCTTTTGGGATTCTTCCAGCCAGGCTGGGATTTGGCACTTCTGGGTTCCAATTTATTTTGGATTCTTCCAACCAGGCTGGGATTTGGGATTTCTGGGTTCCAAACACTTCTGGATTCCAATTCTTTTGGATTCTTCAAGCCAGGCTGGGATTTGGGATTTATGGGTTCCAAATTCTTTAGGATTCTTCAAGTCAGGCTGGGATTTGGGATTTATGGGTTCCAAATTCTTTAGGATTCTTCAAGTCAGGCTGGGATTTGGGATTTATGGGTTCCAAATTCTTTAGGATTCCTCAAGCCAGGCTGGGATTTGGGATTTCTGGGTTCCAAACACTTCTGGATTCCAATTCTTTTGGGATTCTTCCAGCCAGGCTGGGATTTGGCATTTCTGGGTTCCAATTTCTTCTGGATTCCAGTTCTTTTGCGATTCTGCAAGCCAGGTTGGGATTTGGGATCTCCAAAATGAACAAATCTTGATTTTTTTTTTCATCTCCAAAATGAACAAATCTTGATTTTTTTTTTCATCTCCAAAATGAACAAATCTTGATTTTTTTTTTCATCTCCAAAATGAAACCAATCTTGATTTTTTTTCCTTCCAAACTGCCAAATGACAATCTTGATTTTTTTTTTCATCTCCAAAATGAACAAATCTTGATTTTTTTTCTCATCTCCAAAATGAACAAATCTTGATTTTTTTTCATCTCCAAAATGAACAAATCTTGATTTTTTTTTCATCTCCAAAATGAACAAATCTTGATTTTTTTTTCATCTCCAAAATGAACAAATCTTGATTTTTTTTTCATCTCCAAAATGAACAAATCTTGATTTTTTTTCATCTCCAAAATGAACAAATCTTGATTTTTTTTTCATCTCCAAAATGATTTTTTTTCATCCCAAAATGAACTTGATTTTTTTTTTCATCTCCAAAATGAAAAAATCTTGATTTTTTTTCATCTCCAAAATGAACAAATCTTGATTTTTTTTTTCATCTCCAAAATGAACAAATCTTGATTTTTTTTTTCATCTCCAAAATGAACAAATCTTGATTTTTTTTTTCATCTCCAAAATGAACAAATCTTGATTTTTTTTCATCTCCAAAATGAACAAATCTTGATTTTTCAACTGACATCCCGTCTGCCACATTTTCTGCAGGTGTCTTCCTCGAATTAATGACTTTATCCAGCAATTATCCATCCCTGAGAGGCCAAACAAGCATCCTAATTTCCCTGGGCCCAAGGCTGAGGAAACAGGGGATAAACCCTTCTCCTGGATTATAACTCACAGCTCTCAGGACCACCCAACTCCTGGCTATAAATTCATTTTCCAGAGCACTTCCTTCCCAGTTTTTTTCTCCTCAGAAGAATTTATCTGTGTCCTTAATCCTCATTTTATCCTCACTGCAATCCTGAAGGGTTTTACCTGCACCACCAGGTGAACAAAAGGCACAGGATGGATCCCAAAAAATGTGGACAAGGATCCCATGGGACTCAGAGTGAAGTAAATAACAAGTGTCAGGGGGGTAAAAACCACATTAAACCGTTGTGGTTGATGTGCCTCCATTCCTGAGCAGGAAGTTTCTACAGTTGCTTGAAAACCTGCTTTTATTTCTGAAAAAAAACTGGGTTTTTTTTGAACACACGTCCACGGAAGGAGGGCCCGGAGCGATGGGACAAGGGGGAACCACAGTCAGAAGGAGGAGGGAAGGTTTGGTTGGATACTGGGGAGGAATTCTTGGCTGTGAGGGTGGGGAGGCCCTGGCACAGGTTGCCCAGAGAAGTTGTGGGCTCCTCACCCCTGGAAGTGTCCGAGGGCGGGTCGGAGCGAGCCGGGATAGCGGGAGGTGTCCCCGCCCGTGGAATTGGGATGGGATGCTCCTCACCTGTTGGTGATGGGAATATTCCTGTCCCTCATGGCAAACAGGAGCGTGGCAATGCAGTAAAGCACCTCGGTCACCTCCAGCACGGAGAGGTTGGAGCGAGGTCTCCTCAGACATTCCAGCAGCCTCTGGATGTCGCCGACGCTGTCGGAGAACAGCACCATGACTGCAACGATGGCCCACATGTTCTCAGCCTGGCAGAGGGGAAAGACAAGGAAAAACTCAGAGTTTTCAGGAGCAGGGGGAACTGTTTCAACCCTCAACCCCCCCTGCTAATTCCATGATAAATAATTCAATCCTCCTCAGCCTCAAGGAACAACCCCGGAGGGAGAACCTTCGGACGCGGGAACGCCCTCAAAGTTTAAATAAAGCTTAAATAAACGTGAAATTTATTTAATAAATGTGAAGTAAACGTGAGATAAATGTGAAACCCACCCCTGTCTTGCTCTGCAGGTGGGGCAGCTTGTTGGCCACGCACACTTGGGCCTTGGAGAAGAGGTGGTGGCTTCCCAGACACCGGAGAACCGCGTCGGGATCCACCTTCCCCCTGACGGGCGTGGCCGACACCAACCTGGGCAGGAGGACAAGAGTTAATGAGTGAATCATGTCCCCAGGGCAACAATGTCCCCTTCAAAGCACCCCCAGGGAGGCTGCAGCAGGTTGGACTGTCCCTGGCTGGGTGTTATCCCAAATTTGGACCGGTTGCGACTTGGATTTCCGGCCCATTCCGGTGCCAAGAGACATTTAGACAAGAGATTCCCAGTTCTAAAATATTCTAAAATACTTGGGATTTGCAGCCCATTCTGTGCCAAGAGACATTTAGACAATCAATTCCCAGTTCTAAAATATTCTGAAGTCTTCTAAAATACTTGGGATTTCCAGCCCATTCCAGTGCCAAGAGACATTTAGACAAGCCATTCCCAGTTCTAAAATATTCTAATACTTGGGATTTCCAGCCCATTCCAGTGCCAAGAGACATTTAAACAAGTGATTCCCTGTTCTAAAATACTTGGGATTTCCAGCCCATTCCAGTGCCAAGAGACATTTAGACAATCAACTCCCAGTTCTAAAATATTCTGAAGTCTTCTAAAATACTTGGGATTTCCAGCCCATTCCAGTGCCAAGAAATATTTAGACAAGGGATTCCCAGTTCCGAAATACTTGGGATTTCCAGCCTATTCTGTGCCAAGAGACATTTAGACAATCAATTCCCAGTTCTAAAATATTCTAAACTATTCTAAAATACTTGGGATTTCCAGCCCATTCCAGTGTCAAGAAATATTTAGACAAGGGATTCCCAGTTCCGAAATACTTGGGATTTCCAGCCTATTCTGTGCCAAGAGACATTTAGACAATCAATTCCCAGTTCTAAAATATTCTAAAATACTTGGGATTTCCAGCCCATTCCAGTGCCAAGAGACATTTAGACACATGATTCCCATTTCTGAAACAGCTGCATCTGGAAATTCCTTCTGGCTCTCTCCAGGTCTCCTTCCAGTGGAAGGTGTCCCTGGGTTGGAACAGGGGTTTTGAACTGGATGATTTTCGAGTCCCCTTCCAACCCACACCATTCCATGATTCCAGAAGACAGATCCACCCCGTTCCTAACCCAGTTTGGCTCTTATTTGCCACACAAAATTGGCCTCTGGACCACAGAGATCTGAGCAAAGCACTTGGTTTTATCGAGGGCTTGTCTCGGGCTTGCCGGGAACTGTGCAGGAATTTCTCCATGGAAAGGGTGGTCAGGCCTTGGCAGGGGCTGCCCAGGGAGGTGGTGGAGTCCCCACCCCTGGAGGGATTTCAAATCCCTGTGGATGTGGCACTTGGGGACACGGGTCAGTGGTGGCCTTGGCACTGCTGGGAATGCTTGGACTCCATGATCCCACAGGTTTTTTTCCCACCTAAATGATCCCATGATTCCACGATCACACGCTCCAAACAGAGCAAGAAAAGCAAGGGAAAGTTTTTTCCCCCCATTTTCCAGAACCCTCCCAGTGATTTTTACCACTAAAATAATTTCCTCTCCCTCATTTTCCTGCACGTTTGGGGAGACAAACCCATCCCTCTCCTGGCAATTCCTGGGATAAAATGGAAGAAGCCCCAAAGCAGGGAAGGCCTGGGGATCTCCAGGTGAATGGGACTCACCTGATCAGCCCCAAGACACATCCTTCCTGCTCCTTTGTGATGGAGAAATCCTGCAGGATCTGCTCAACTCTGCGCAGGGCCGAGTCCTCCCTCATCAGGTACTGGTGGTACAGCTTTTTCCAGGGAATGAACTGGAATGGGAAGCACAAACCACCGGCTTTCACCTCACAGCACTGCCAAAGAGGTTTCTTGTGGTAAATAAGCCCCAAAAAAGGTGATTTCCAAAGACCTGAAGTTCAAAAAGTAGCTTGGTGGGGACAGATACCTGACAGGAGATTGGGAAGGAAAGAGGAAACTTAGGAAAGAAAGGCTCAAAGCCTGGAAATAAGTCCATAAAAAGATGGTTTTTCCTAGAATGATGGGAACAGGGTGATGCTGGTTCAGTTGGAAATATCGAAGCATGAAATAAATGGGGATCTTTTCAGCCCAGATCTCACTCCCCAGATCAGCCCCAAGCAGGGTCTGAGTGCTTCAAATCCCTGTGTCCGTGAAGCCCTGTCCTCCCACAGCTGCTGCTGGGATTTCTCCAGGAAAAACAGGGAGGACACTGCATTTGAGGCTGTGTTGGGCTGGGCAGGGAGCTGAAGAGGAGCCCGAGTGTGGCCGGGGGGGCAAGAGGGCCAAGGGCTGCTGGGCTGGCTGAGGAAGAGTGTGGCAGCAGGAGCAGGGCAGGGCTTGTGCCCCTGGGCTGGGCGCTGGGGAGGCCACCCCTGGAGTGCTGTGTCCAGCTCTGGGCCCTGAGCTCAGGAAGGCCCTGGAGGGGCTGGAGCAGGGGCAGAGAAGAGCAGCTCAAGTCCTCTCCCAGGTCTGCTCTTCACAGAATCCCAGAATCAGCTGGGTTGGAAAAGCCCTCTGAGATCATCCAGCCCAACCCTTGATCCAACCCCGCCGTGGTTCCCAGCCCATGGCACTGATGCCACATCCAGTCTGTCCTGAAACACCTCCAGGGACGGAGAATCCCCCACTTCCTTGGGCAGCCCATTCCAATGGCTGAGCACTCTCCGTGGAAAACATTCCTAATATCCAACCTAAACCTCCCCTGGCACAGCTGAAGACCCAGCCCTCTTGTCTTGCTGATGGTTCCCTGGAGCAGAGCCCGACCCCCCCCGGCTCCCCCCTCCTGGCAGGGAGTTGCAGAGAGTGAGGAGGTCTCCCCTGAGCCTCCTCCTCTCCAGGCTGAGCCCCCCCAGCTCCCTCCGCCTCTCCTCCCAGCACTTGGGCTCCAGTCCCTTCCCCAGCCTCGCTGCTCTTCTCTGCCCCTGCTCCAGCCCCGCCAGGGCCTTCCTGAGCTCAGGGCCCAGAGCTGGACACAGCACTCCAGGGGTGGCCTCCCCAGCGCCCAGCCCAGGGGCACAAGCCCTGCCCTGCTCCTGCTGCCACACTCTTCCTCAGCCAGCCCAGCAGCCCTTGGCCTTTTTGCCCCCCTGGCCACACTCGGGCTCCTCTTCAGCTCCCTGCCCAGCCCAACTCCCAGCTCCCTTCCTGCCTGGCTGCTCTCCAGCCCCTCTGGCCCAGCCTGCAGCTGCAGGGGCTTCTTGTGGCCAGAGGGCAGGACCCTTGGCTGGTGTCCCATCTCCAAGGACAGCTGCAGCTCCCTGCTGTGCCAGCACCAACCCTGCTCCAACATCTGAGCTCCACAGCCCAGGTTAGATGAGGACACTGGCATCAGAAAAAGGATTTTCCTGCCTGGCAGGACTTGCCTCTTCCTAGGCTCTTCCCTTCTCTGGAAATCCAGCTGGCAGCCTCAGGAAGGGCTCTGCACCCCAGAGAACTGGACAGTGGCACCCACTGACCTGACCCAAAGGTCCTTCAGCAGCACCCAGGGAGGGCTGGGCTTTGCTGGGGGAGCAGCTGCCTCTTCTCAGCTCTCCTGGTGCTCTCAGAACGTGGAAATCATTAACTGGTTCAGTCTCTGACAACACTGATGACTGATGAAGGAGGGAGCAGGACGCCTCCTGCGTTGTGTCCGGCCTTTCCCATCCAAATTTACGGGAATGGCACAAAGGAGAACTCGGATCTCCACAAGAATTTGGGCTGAGATCAGTCCCCACCACTCCCAAGTCAGGCTGAGAAACCTCTTGGTCCAATTCCAGGGTGAACAGTGAGGGGAGAGCTGCCTCGGAGACACCTTTAACTGGGATTCAGGGATCCTTCCTCCAGCCAAAACAGGTTCCCAACTTTATCCGGACTTCAGATGAACCAAACTCCATAAAAACAGAGTTCCAGGCCTTTCCTCTAAACCCATTTGGCCACAAGAGCCACCGTAGAGGCTGGAGGACACAAGAAGGCACTTCCCAGTCTTCCAGCAGGAATTCCCTGCAGGGCTGCATGGAAAAGAGCAGAGGGGGATTTTGTGGAGCCTTACAGGATGCTCTTTTTCCATGTAGGGGAAGAATGCAACAAGGGGTGTTGCCTGGATACAGGTTGGCACCTGAAGATGGTCGAGGAGACCAAAAAATGACAGAGGACCAAATAAAAAAAAGGAGCAAAAAAAAGGATGTAAAGGAACAGAGAGAGACAGGCAGAGCATGGATGGCTGGGAGGAGCCACAAAAAGACAGGACAGAGCAGGAGGAGAAGGGCCAGGCTGGAATTCATCCCCAGGGAATTCCTTACCAGTGGATCCCTGACTATCTCCCTCCAGCAGCGACACACCAGGCTCAGGTTCTGGTACAGGTCAGTCACGGGAAGGAAGGCAAAGATGTGCCTGAGGACTTCCACAGGCAGCTCATCCAGGTTTCCCTGAGGCTCTTCCCAGGTCCGAGTGCCCAGGAGTCCGTAGTGTGGATCAGGGACTGGCTCCACTTCCACCTCATCCGGTTCCTGCTTGACCTGGTCGAGCTCTGGAGGAACCGGGGGCTTCTCCTCGGGCTCCCCCCACAAATCCTGCTCCGGATTGAGAATTCCTGAGGTTGCACTGGCAAGGGGCCGCTTCCTGGAGCTTCCCCTGGGAGCTGGCACGAAGTCCTCATCCTCCAGGAGAGCTGAGGAGTCGCTGCCGAGGTCCGTGTGGCTGCTGAAGGAATCGTCAGCTCCCGGGAAAAAGGGATCCCGCGGCTCCTCTTTGATCCCAGCGGCACCCGCTTGTTCCTTCTGGGATTTCCCGAAGAAATCCAGGATGTTCTTCTGCTGGCGTTGTCCTGCACGAGGAGGAAGAGCAGGAGTGAATTCCGTGGAAAGCTGAGCTGCCAGGGACGCCCGAGGCTGGGGGAGGTCGGAGTTATTTCCACAGGGCTCCTCCTTTTCCTTGTGTTCCTCCCGTGGGAGCTCCAAGAGTTGGACACTTCCCAAACCTCTCTCAGGTTGCTCCTACCACAACTCCAGGAGTAGGACACTTCCCAAACCTCTCCCAGGCTGCTCCTACCACAACTCCAGGAGAAGGACACTTCCCAAACTTCTCCCAGGCTGTTCCTACCACAACTCCAGGAGAAGGACACTTCCCAAACTTCTCCCAGGCTGTTCCTACCACAACTCCAGGAGCAGGACACTTCCCAAACCTCTCCCAGGCTGTTCCTACCACAATTCCAGGAGTAGGACACTTCCCAAACCTCTCCCAGGCTGCTCCTACCACAACACTTGAGGGAAATCAACACCTTTAAGAGGATAAAAACCCTTTATTCCCAGATATTTCCTGGCTGCAGCCTCAAAAAGCACCAGAGACCTCGGAGTAAATCCAAATTATGCTCTCACATTCCATGTAGGACATGGACTAAACTCCCCAGCACGGATTTATTCCTTCTGTCCTGTTCCTAAATCTGGAAAATATCCTGATTTTGGCTAAGAGGTCACTCAGGAATTAAAAAATCCCAGGCTGGTTTTAAGGCCTTTTCTTTCTGGAAGCTCAGGAAGGCTTGGATTAAACAGGGCTGGAAAAGAACAACTTCCCTGCTAAGGTTTTAAGTCTAAATCCCTGAAACCTGCAGCATGTAAATCATCTAAATCTGAATTATTGGATTTTTTAAAGTGAGATAAAGAATGAAATAAAAATAAAATAAAAATAAATAAAATAAATAAAATTTAAAAAAATAATGGAAATAAAAATAAAATAAAAATAAAGTAAATGAAATAAATAATATAAAAATAAAGTAAAATAACAAAAATAAAATAAAAATAAAAACAAAAAAAATAAAAAAGTAAAAAAAATAAAGTAAAATAAATAAAACTAATAAAAAAAATGTAAAATAACAAAAATAAAAATAAAGTAGAATAAAAAATAAGATAAAATAAAGTAAAACAAAGTAAGTAAAATGAATAAAATAAAAATAACAAAATAACAAAAATTAAAATAAAAATAAAATAAAATAAAATTAAAAAAAGTAAACCAAATAAAATAAAGTAAATAAAATAAATAAAATAAAAATAACATAAAATAACAATGATTAAAATAAAAATAAAGTAAAATAAAAATAAAATCAAGTAAAAAATAAAATTAAGGAAAATAAATAAAATTAATAAAATAAAAATAATGTAAAATAACAAAAATACAAATAAAATAAAAATAAAGTAAAATAAAAAATAAAGTAAAAAAATAAAATTAAGTGAAATAAAGTAAATAAAATGAATAAAATAAAAATAACGTAAAATAGCAAAAAATAAAAATAAAATAAAATAAAAACAAAGTAAAATAAAAAATAAAATAAAATCAGGTAAAAAAATAAAATTAAGGAAAATAAATTTTAAAAAAATGAATAAAATAAAAATAACATAAAATAAGAAAAATAAAACCAATAAAATAACAAAAATAAAAATAAAATAAAAATAAAGTAAAACAAAAACAAAATAAAGGAAAATAAATAACATTAATAAAATAAAAATAATGTAAAATAACAAAAATAAAAATAAAATAAAAATAAAATAAAATAAAAAATAAAATTAAGTAAAAATAAAATTAAGTAAAATAAAGTAAATAAAATTAATAACATGAACATAATATAAACTAAAACAATGGTAAAATAAAATAAACCTATCTGAAAACAGCTCTTTGCCCTTCAGTTTGAGCCCTGATCTCTGTCATGTCCAGACTAGCTCAAAGTCTTATCAGTCCCCAAAAACCCTCAGAGGTTTCAGCCCTTTTGAGATCCAAGCCCAGGAGTTGTTTATCCCACTGTTCCCCACTTCCAGGAAAGCCAAAGCTCATCATTGTCTGTTAATGCCCAACAACGTTTTTGTAACCCTAAAAAACTCAGCAGCTCGTTATTATTTAATGATGACATTCCATAATTAGCTTAAAGAGCAGCTCCCAGCAGGAGTCCCCTCGTTAGCAGTGTCCAATTCCAGAGGCTGGCTGGTTCCCCAGGGAGAGCTGCTGCTCTTCCCAGGGATTGTCCCACAGCGCAAGGACAGACAGGGAGACATTTGTGCTGTGGGGAGAAACCCAACTCCTGTGGACACAACAGGGGGATGTAGCCAAGGGAACTCTTTGCCATGGAATTATGGAATGGTTTGGGTGGGAAAGGACCTTGAAGATCATCCAGTTCCAATCCCAACACCTCCCACTATCCCAGGTTGCTCCAGCCTGGCCTTGGACACTTCCAGGGATCCAGGGGCAGCCACAGCTTCTCTGGGAAATCCATTCCAGCCCCTCCCCACCCTCCCAGTCAGCAATTCCCTCCCAATATCCCATCTCTCCCTTCCCTCTGGCACTGGGAAGCCATTCCCTGTGTCCTGTCCCTCCATCCCTTGTCCCCAGTCCCTCTCCAGCTCTCCTGGAGCCCCTTTAGGTCCTGCCAGGGGCTCTCAGCTCTCCCTGGAGCCTTCTCTTCTCCAGGGAAACATTCCCAGCTCTCCCAGCCTGGCTCCAGAGGAGAGGGAATCCAAAATCATGGAAGCCCGGGATTGTTTGGGTGGGAAGGGACTTCAAAAACCTCCAGTTCCACCCCCTGCCATGGGCAGGGACACCTCCCACTATCCCAGGTTGCTCCAACCCGGCCTTGGACACTTCCAGGGATCCAGGGGCAGCCACAGCTTCTCTGGGAAATCCATTCCAGCCCCTCCCCACCCTCCCAGTCAGCAATTCCTTCCCAATATCCCATCTAACCCTGCCCTCTGGCACTGGGAAGCCATTCCCTGTGTCCTGTCCCTCCAGGCCTTGTCCCCAGTCCCTCTCCAGCTCTCCTAGAGCCCCTTCAGGCCCTGCCAGGGGCTCTCAGCTCTCCCTGGAGCCTTCCCTTCTCCAGGGGAACATTCCCCGCTCTCCCAGCCTGGCTCCATAGCAGAGTATTCCCAAACCAACACCACCCTCCCTGGCATCTCCGTGTCCGGTGGGCGGGATGAAGGCCCTTATTCCCGTCTCCTCTCCCTCGTCTCTGGCTCAGGGGCTGCGTGAGGGCGGACGAACCTTCCCCGCTCCGGGAGAGGGCTTCGCACTCGGGGGCCGTGAGGTGCCTCTTCTTGAAGGGCTTCATCCCTTGGGCCGCACAGAGAGAAGGGAGAAAAAAAAATCCCAAAATCCCAAGGCGTTTAGGAAGCACACAGTGCACCAGGCCCACGTGTTTTAGGGCACCAGGGATAAAAAGAGTTCCCCCTCAGGAATTTTGAGGGTCCGGCCCCGGGTTTCGGGCGGGGGGGTTGGCTCTGATAAAAACAGGGCCCTGGGAAAATGGCGGAACAGGATGGAATAAGATACTTTGGTCGCCTTTTCTTTTCTTTAAAAAAAAACTGACACAGAGTAGGCTGTAGTTTCGGGATATTGGGGAAAGGAAGGAATTGCTGGGATGGGAGGGTGGGGACGGGGATGGGAATTGGATTTCCCAGAGGAAAGCTTGGGCTGGCCCCTGGATCCCGGACAGTTTCAAAGGCCAGGGTTGGAGCAAACCTGCTCGTGGAAGGTGTCCCTGGATGGAACTGGATGGGCTTTATGTTCCCTTCCAACCTAACCCCTTCCATGATTCCATGATTCTACTTGCAGTCACTCCAACATGGATTTCACCCCCTGTCTCTGCTCCACACACTCTTTGAACCAAGCAGACCACAAAAAAATCAAGACTCCTTCCAAGTTTTCCAGCTTTCTCTCCAACACAGTGTGGAGGAAGCAGCCACAACCTCTGTGGAAATGCTAAAGTATACCAAAAGATCTCCAAGGACGTTGAACCCCCCGGGAGTGACAACAGGGATTTGCCCCTGGAAGGTCAAAGCCAACATCCAAACACATCCAAATCGACCCTCTCCCAAACAAATCTGAGCTGGGATCCTCCATTAGGGAGGAAACACGACCCACTTCCACTCAAGGAGCAGCACAGCACTCTCTCTCTCTCGAGTTATTGGAATAAAATATAAAAACCTTACTTGAAATAAGCAGAAATAATTCAAATTCCTTCTCCCAAAAAGCCTCGGGAGAAAACCAAACCCAGGGCACGGGATGAGCTTCCTCCGGCCTCCACCCACGTAGTTTCACTTTTGCTTTCTTTAATTAATTAATTAATTAGCTTGTTAATTCATTAACTCATTTAGAGCAGCCACAGATCGACCCGCTGACCTCCTCCGGCAGGATCCAAGGATCAGCTTTGTTCATCCCTGGGGATAATGGGGGTGGGTTTGAGGATTTTGGGGGTTTTTTGGGGTTTTTTTTCAACTTCCTCCTTTTCGGCCGCGCCAGCTCAGCGTTAAAACCGCGCCGAGCTCCCTGGGGAGGCTCTTTTCTCCTTCCCGTTTTCCCCTCAAAACATGGAAAAGGAGGCCAAAAAAAAAGCAGCACGGGCTTTTCCCGTGGGATTGAGGGGGAGGAGGGATGAGGAAATGGTGGGACTCGGTGATCTTAAGGCTCTTTTCCAACCTAAAGGATTCTGCGGTTCTACTTAAAAATGGGATTTCTTGCTTGGAATTGGAATTTTTTTTGGATTAGACAGCACAAAGGTCACTGAAGGACCTAAATAATTTCAAGCAGAAGGTCCTGACCAGCGTCAGGCTTGAGATCCCAGCTCCGTGCCCATTCCTGGAACTGTCGGACACCGATCGGATCCGGAGCGTTTAGGATTGGGGGAAAAACAACCTCTGCTCCCCCATCCCCGGGACCACAAAAGTGTCTCCCACTGGAGAGGATTCACGCCCAGAGATGCAGCACAAACCGTTCAGGCTTCACCTGCATTCCCATTTTTCCCGTTTTCCCAAGGTTTTCCGTTGGTGGCGGCAGCAGACACCGGCGCCGAGCAAGGGTTGTGCTGCAGGGCCTTGTCAGGGGTCAGGGCTTCAATCCCCCTAGGAATGTCAGCCGGGAGGAGACATTCCAGCTCTGAAGGGAGAGGATCAGGACGGGGGGAAACCTTCAGGGGGATAAGGAATATCTGGGAGCAGGTCGGGGTTGCTCCCCCTCCCCTTCCAGCACGTTCTTCCCAAAACCCTTTCCCAACGTGGATGCGCTGATCCCATGGCACCCACACAGGGAGACCCCCAGAATGGCCCAGAGCAGCTCCCCCAAATCCAGCCCCTGTCCCAGGACTGCTGCCCCCCTTTCCAACGCCCCCTCCTCAAGTTCCAAAGGTCTTCTCGTTCCTAAGTCCTCCCATGTCAAGCTCCCCCATTCCCAGGGGCCCCTCAATGCCAAGGGTCCCCCCACAATTCCAAGCCCCCTCATTCCAAGACCCCCTCAATTTGCCAAGGGTCCCCCCAATATCAAGCCCCCCATTCCCAAGGGCCCTGAAATCCAAGTGTCCCCACCATTCCAAAGCCCCCTTCATTCCCAAAGGCCCCCCCTAAGCCAGGGGAGGGCCCTTTTAACCCTTCTCCAGCCAAGGACCCCCTGCTCGCCCCCCTCCAATTCCAAAGGACCCCCAATTGCCAAGGGTTCCCCCGTTCCTAAAGACCCCCCATTGCGGTCCCCCATTTCAAAGGCTCCCCCCAGTGCCAAAGGGGGACCCCCCCCTTTTCAACCCTTTTCTCAACCAAAGGCCGCCCCAGCTCCCCCAGTTCCAAAGGGGGGACCTCCCACAATTCCAAGGGTCAACCAAGGCCAAGGAGGCCACTCCTTTACCAAGCCCTCCCCATTGTCAAGGCTCCCCTGTGTCCCCCAGTGCCAGGGGACCCAACTTTCTATTACCTTCTCAGGCAAGGGCCCCTCTGCTCGCCCCCTCTCAATTCCAAGGCCCCCCAATGCCAAGGGTCCCCCCATTTACCAAGTCCCCCCCCCAATTTCCCAAGGCCCCGGCCCCAATTTCCCAAAAGGGTCCCCCCCAGTGGCCAAAAAGGCGACCTTTTTAAAACCCCTTCCTCAGCCAGGACGGAAAACTCCTGCTCTCTTCCCCCTTCAATGCCAGCGTGCCCATTCCCAAAAGCTCCCAGTCCGAAGTCTGCCCATTCCCTGACACCCCTTCCCACTCTATTCCCAAGGCCTCCCTGCTGCCCAGGGGGCCCCACCAAATTGTCCCAGGGACCCCTTTTAAGCCCCTCCTCATCCCGGACCCCCCTTACTCCACCACCCCACCCCAACCGCTCCCCAAAATGCCCGGGGACCCCTCCCCGACCCCCCCCGTGTCCACAAAATGGTCTCGCCCACCCCAACTCACCCCCTCCCGCCGCTCTCACGTCCTTGCTCCCCCGGCCGGCCCGGTCCCCCTCCCCAACCGCCGACAATCCAGGAGACGCCACCGCCCCCCGACCGTTGGACCAATAAGCGCCTCACCTTCCGGGTTGGGGCGGGGGGGACGCGGTCCCGCGGGGCCCCGCTGTGGAACGTCACGTCGGCCGGGTTTGGGGGGACGTCATGCGGAGGCGGCGGGTGGGTTGGGGGGGGGAAAAAATAGGTTGGGGGAAATGATTTCCCTTGGGGTGGGAATTGAGGGGGAAAAGGGGGGGAATCTGGGGGTCCACCAACCTGAGTTGGAAACCGGCCGATTCCCGGGATTTTCTTCGGCGGGATTAAAAGGGGGAATTCGGCGTTTTCTCTGATGGCAAAGGAAATTTTTCCCGTTTTTTTGGGAGGGAAAAAGGGGGAATTCAGTTTTTTCCTTTTTTTTTTTTTTTTGCGGGAATAGGGGGGACATTTACAGCTTTTCCTGGAGGAGGGACGCTGGTGTCTGGTGGTTTTTAAAGGGAGAAGGAGATTGTTAATTTTCCATAAGAAGTAAGGGAAATTCCTGTTTTCCCGAGGGTGGGGGGGTGGGGGAGGCAAAGGGAAATCCCTGGATTTCCAACTGTTTTCTGGTTTTCCTAAGAGAAAGAGGGATTTTTCTAGTTTTCCTAAAGGGAATGGGAATGTCTGTGTTTCCAGAGGGGGAGAGGCTGCTTTCTAGTTCTCCCGAGGGAAGATTAAATTCCTGTTTTTCCTGAGGGAGACGCCGATTCCAGGTTTCTCAGGTGGAAAAGGAGAATCCTGTTTTTCCCGAGGGAGTGGCTATTTCCTTGTTTTTCCAAGGGAAAAAGGAAGTTTCTGGTTTTCGAAAATTCCAAGTTTTTCTGAAGGAAAAGGAAATTTCTCTTTTTCCTGAAGGATGGTCCATTTTCTGACAACTCCTGAGGGAAGAAAAGGAATTACAGATTTTCTGGAGGAAGAGGCAGGTTCCTGGTCTTCCTGAGTGAAAAGGAATTGCCTGGTTTTCCTGGGGAAAAAAGAGGAATATGTGTTTTTCCTGAGGAGGAGGCGGGTTCTTGGTTTTCCTGAGGAAAGGGGAATTTCTGGTTTTCTGGAGGGAAAGTTTGGTTTCCATTTTTCCTGCTGGAAAAGGAAATTTTTCCTGAGGAAGAGGCCCGTTCCTGGTTTTCGTGAGGGAAAAGAACTTCCTTCTCCCATGGAAAATTAACTTTGTTTTTCCAGTGGGAAAAAGACATTTCTTTTTTTCCCAGTGGGAAAAGGAAATTTCTGGGTTTTTTTTCCAGAGGCAGAAGCTGGTTCCTGGTTTTCCTAAGGAAAAAGGGAATTTCTTTTTTCCTAGAAGATAGAGCAGTTCCTTCTTTTCCTGAGGGAGAGGCTGGATTCTGCTTTTCCAGAGGGAAAATTTAATTTCCTGCTTTTCCAGAGGGAACCTTTGGTTCCTGTATTTCCCAAGGGAAAAGGAATCTCCAGGTTTTCCCAAGGGGAAAGGCAATTTCTGTTTTTCCTGAGGAAAAGCCCAAATCCTGATTTTCCCGAGGAAAAGCAAATCTTACTCTCTGGAAGGAGAGACCACTTCCCAGTTTTCCCAAAGGAAGAGGAAATTTCTGGTTTACCAAGGGATTGGCTGGTTCCTGGATTTCATGAAGGGAGAAGAAATTCCTGGTTTTCCTGAAGAAATCTGGTTTTCCGGAAGGAAGAGGAAATTTCAGGTTATCCTGAGGGAAAAGGAAAATTTTAATTATCTTGAGAGAGAAGGAAATTTGTCCTGAGGGAAAAGGGAATTTTTACTTATCCTGAGGGAGAAGGAAAATTTTAATTATCCTGAGGGAGAAGGAAATTCCTGGTTATCCTAAGGGAAGAGGAAACTTCTGGTTATCCTGAGGGAAAAGGGAATTTTTAATTATCCTGAGGGAAAAGGGAATTTTTACTTATCTTGAGGGAGAAGGAAAATTTTACTTATCCTAAGGGAGAAGGAAACTTTTTATTATCCTGAGGGAGGAGGAAACTTCTGGTTATCCTGAGGGAAAAGGGAATTTTTAGTTATCCTGAGGGAAAAGGAAAATTTTAATTACCCTGAGGGAAAAGGAAAATTTTAATTATCCTGAGGGAAAAGGAAAATTTTATTTACCCTGAGGGAAAAGGAAAATTTTAATTACCCTGAGGGAAAAGGAAAATTTTAATTACCCTGAGGGAAAAGGAAAATTTTAATTACCCTGAGGGAGAAGGAAATTCCTGGTTATCCTGAGGGAGGAGGAAACTTATGGTTACCCTGAGGGAAAAGGGAATTTTTATTTATCCTGAGGGAAAAGGGAATTTTTAATTACCCTGAGGGAAAAGGAAAATTTTAATTACCCTGAGGGAGAAGGAAATTCCTGCTCATCCTGAGGGAGACGCCATTTTGTGGACTTCCTTGGGAGAAAGGAACTCCCCGTTTTCCAGGAGATTCCTGAAGGCAGAGGCCAAATCCTGCTTTCCCTGAGGGAAAACCTCACTCCCGCTCATCCCAACCCCCAGAACATCCCTCCCTTTCCCCCTCTAATCCCGATTTTCCCCCTGTTTTCCCCCAGCGCCGGGTCCATGGCGGAGCGGGAGAGGCCGCGGCGGCTCCTGCGGCTGGTGCAGGAGGGGAGGCTGGATCTCCTGAGGGACGAGCTGCATCCAGAGGACATTCCAGAGGCAAGGAGCCGGCGCTGGGGACGCCTGGGGGACACCCTGCTGCACCACGCGGCGCGGCTGGGACACAGGGACGTGCTGGAATTCCTGGTGCGGGAGCTCGGCATGGACGTGGAGGTGGCCAACGGGGACTACAAGAGGCCCATCCATGAGGCGGCTTCCATGGGGCACGGGGAATGCGTGTCCTTCCTCCTGGAGCGCGGGGCCAGCGTGGACTGCCTGAAGAAGGGCGACTGGTGGGTCCGGGATTGTGGGGCGCGGGGATTTCTGGGGTGGGGAAGGTGGAATCGTGGAATGGTTTGGGTGGGAAGGGACCTTAAAGGGATCCTGAACCTACAGTTCCAACCCCGACGCCTTCCACTATCCCAGGTTGCTCCAGCCTGGCCTTGGACACTCCCAGGGATCCCGAGTCAGCCACAGCTTCTCTGGGAATTCCATTCCAGTCCCTCCCCACCCTCCCAGCCAGCAATTCCTTCCCAATATCCCACCTAGCCCTGCCCTCTGGCACTGGGAAGCCATTCCCTGTGTCCTGTCCCTCCCTGCCTTGTCCCCAGTCCCTCTCCAGCTCTCCTGGAGCCCCTTTAGGCCCTGCCAGGGGCTCTCAGCTCTCCCTGGAGCCTTCTCTTCTCCAGGGGAACCCCCCCAGCTCTCCCAGCCTGGCTCCAGAGCAGAGGGAATCCAGCCCTTGCAGCATCTCTGGATTTGCTCCAGCAGCTCCACATCCTGCTGTTGAGGACCCCAGACCTGAATTCCATGTGGGATCTCACCTGAGCAGGGCAAAGAGGGGAAATCCCTCCCTCTCCTGCTGCCCACACTGTGGGATCAGCCCAGGATCCAGTGTCTTTTTGGGATAAATTCCAGCTTTATCACTTATTTCCCCCTGTTTCTCCTAAAAGTTATAAATTATTGCTCCCAAATCCAAGCCCGGGAAGCTCCTCTAGAGCTGAACCGACGCAATTCCAAAGGCAGCATTCCAGTGCTGGGAATTGAGGCTGTGCCAGCCTGGATCTGACATCAGGGGGAGCCGAGGGAGGCCGAGATTCCATGAGCTGCCCGTGCCTGGATTTGTGTCACAGGCCCACAGTGCCCTCCCGTCCATCCATGGATTTAAAAACTGGGATCTGGGTGCTTCCTAACCTTTGGAAAAAGCCTCAGTGCTCTGAGGGATTGTGTGGAAAAGGAGCTGCACTCTGTATTCCCCGCATGGAAAAGCAGTGCTGTAAAATCCCCTGGATCCCTGTGCACCTGGATCCAGGTGGGACATCAGGCCTGTTCCTCCCTGTCTCCCGGGTTATCCCATTGATTCCAGTCCCGGATTTTCTTTCCAGGACTCCCCTCATGATGGCTTGCACCAGGAAAAACCTGGAGGTGATCAGATCCCTGGTGGAGCACGGAGCCAACCCGCTGCTGAGGAATAAGGATGGCTGGAATTGCTTCCACATTGCCAGCAGGGAGGGGCATCCCGAGGTGCTCCGGTACCTCCTGGATGTGTCCCCAGGGATCTGGGACACGGAGAGCACCATCAGGAGGACACCCCTGCACACGGCAGGTAAAGGGGGGACCCCTTGGAAGCAGCTGGGTTGGAAGAGAGAGAATGAGAAAGGGATGTTGTTCCTGGGAAAAGGGATGTTGTTCCTGGGAAAAGGGATGTTGTTCCAGGGAAAAAAGGGATGTTGTTCCAGCTTGTGTGGATTTTGGAGAAGCAAAACCACAGGGAAAGAGTGGTGGATCCTTCCCAGGAGATCCTCCGCTGGCTTTGGCCTCCTTGGAACGAGGTGTCCATCTCTGCCTCCCTGTCATGGATATATCCAAGCTCCCACATCTTGGAATACCTCCCAACACACTTTTCCTTGCTGGAGTGTAAAGCTGTGAATTGCCCTTGGGAAAATCCAAGGATTTGCCTGTCGATGGCACTGGGAAGCCATTCCCTGTGTCCTGTCCCTCCATCCCTTGTCCCCAGTCCCTCTCCAGCTCCCCTGGAGCCCCTTTAGGCCCTGCCAGGGGCTCTCAGCTCTCCCTGGAGCCTTTTCTTCTCCAGGGGAACATTCCCAGCTCTCCCAGCCTGGCTCCAGAGCAGAGGGAACCCAGAATCATGGAATCCCAGGATTGTTTGGGTGGAAAGGGACCTTAAATACCTCCAGTGCCACCCCCTGCCATGGGCAGGGACACCTTCCACTATCCCAGGTTGCTCCAGCCTGGCCTTGGACACTTCCAGGGATCCAGAGTCAGCCACAGCTTCTCTGGGAGATTCATTCCAGTCCCTCCCCACCCTCCAGCCAGCAATTCCTTCCCAATATCCCATCTATCCCTGCTCTCTGGCACTGGGAAGCCATTCCCTGTGTCCTGTCCCTCCCTGCCTTGTCCCCAGTCCCTCTCCAGCTCTCCTGGAGCCCCTTTAGGCCCTGCCAGGGGCTCTCAGCTCTCCTCTGATCAGTTAGTGTGTCCTCAGGGGCCTCAAGCTGCTCCAGGGGAGGTCTAAGTTGGATATTGGGAAAATTCCTTCCTGGAAAGGGCGGTTAAACATCGGCAGGGGCTGCCCAGGGCAGTGGTGGAGTCCCCATCCCTGGAGGGATTTCAAATCCCTGTGGATGTGGCACCTGGGGACGTGGATTTGTGGTGGCCGTGGCAGTGCTGGGGGACAGCTGGGACTCCGTGACCTCGGAGCTCTTTTCCAACCCAAATGATTCCACAATTCCAGTCATGGATTCGAGGTTTTGCCGTTCTCACCTCGCTCCCAAGAAGGAATTATCCCATGGTGAGATATCCAGAGTTCCCTCCTGCGAAGGGGAGGGATCATCCCTGCTGGGAATACACAGGAGCTGCTGGAGTTGGAGCCCACCACGCCCAATTCCCATTCCCTGCCCTTTTCCTTGCTTTCAAAGGATATATAAAGGATATCTAAAAGGAAATATCCAGAGAGGGACGTGGTCGAGGGATCCACAACCATCCCCAGGTTTGTGGGGAGGAGAAGGACACAATCCCCATCCCAAGTGGGATTTGGCTGCATATTCCAACATCTCCACAGGAGAGATGACCTTTGGCTGCTCCAAACTCCTTTCCCAAAGAATGTAGTAGGGATTGACTCTCTGGAAAGACCCGAGGTGCTGTGAGCCCCCCCCCCCCTTGCTGTGCTGTAATTAATCTGTTGGATGTGCTGCTCCTTTCCTGTCATTCCCATTCCTTTTCCAGCCCTTGCTCCGTCACACTCTGCTCCATCAGCACTGACAATTCCAGCCCTTGGGCACCAACTGCACCTGAAGTCCTTGTGCTTGACCTGGGAATGGAAAAACAAGGGAATGAGTTGTTTGTCTCAGGCTTTGCCCGAGTGGGAAACGCCGGATCCTGATTTTTTTTTTTGGTGTGTGTTCTCCTGTCCCAGCCCCATCCCGGGTTTTGTGTTTCCCTGGAGCTGGCAGCTCCCTCTCAGAGAGCTGGGTGTTGGAGTGGGATTTGGGGAAAGGATTGGGAGCGGGGTGAGGATTATCCTGTGGGAAAGGAGGGATTTTTGGACCTGGAGTTGGAAGCCTCCTCCCTCCTAGCACTTGGGATATGGGAATACAGACAACATTGGGATACAGCACCCAGTTCTCCTGCTCCAAAGAGGTGTCTCCTCCTCTGTGTTGTCTCCTCTGTCTGACTTCCCTGTGGAAAAGCCACATATCCATGATTTTGGGTTGATTCCTGGTCTTTTGCTGATCCAGGTGTGGGAGCGACTGGGAAGTGGGAATGGCTGGAGCTGCTTAAACCACCACTTCCCCCAGTATAACTTAAACCAGGATGATTCCAGAGGCAGCTGCTCCAGGAGGTACCAATATCCCCATTTCCCTCCCCCTCCCAATCCCAGTGGAAATCCACAGGGATGGAGGGGCTGGAGCTGCCAGGGGCAATCCCATCAAGACAAACTCCCCTATCCATGAGTTCCCATCCCAAGGGGGTGGATATGAGCTCACTGACCCGTGGCCAGTCCAGCTGGCTCCCTGGCACACTTATCCTTGGATCATTTTCCTCCCCTGGGCTTGGTTCCTTAAGCTTTTGCTGCTTCCTATATCCGTAGCCTGAGGGAAGAGAGCTGGGAGGGTGGAATGAGAGGAGGTGGAATTCGGCAGGATCTGAGTGTGGCAGCTTTTCCTGCTGCTGGTAAAGGATGGAGTTTTTTTTAAATTGGATTTTTTTTTTTTTAAAGCCAATCCATTCGAAAATCCCCCCAAAATTCCCAGCCCGTGTTTCCATCAGCTCAGGGCTCAGAAGAGCCAAAATCTGGGAGGATGGGATTGGGATTTCAAGGAGCATCTGAAGGTTGTTCCTGGTAACACACATTTCCCAGGGGCCCTTTTCCCATCTCCTGATGGAGCAGCTCCAGGCTTCCTTTGATATTATTATTATTATTTTCCTTAATATATTCCATTTGTTTTACAAAATGACCTGCAGGGAAAACCAACAACAACAAAAAAAAAAGGCTGTGTGATGGGAAATGTTTAAAAAATGGGAATGAACCGGGAATATTTCAGGGCAGGGTGTTCAAATCCTCCCCCGCTGTTGTTGTTTTTCCCTCTGAGCCGGTGCCTGGGTGAGGATCCTTCCTTAGGATGATGGGATGGGAGTGGCTGAGGAGGGGTGGAAATGCCATCCCAGCTCTTCCCCCAGCTCCCTGCTTTGTGTCCCTTCTGCTTCTCCCTGGACTTCCCATCGGGAATCGACAAATCCTTGGGAGAAAAGGCTCTTTGTGCCGGTTTAATTCGGTTTAATCCACTGCAGGTAGAGCCAAACAGCGCCTGTGTCGTATCTTTTCCCTGCTTTATCTCCCGTTTTCCTGGGAGATCAAGGAAAGGCTTTTTTAATTTAAAAACTCCCAGTTCCCAGCCTCTTGGAGCCCTTTCCCTGATCCACGACCAGAAGGATCAGAACCCTGATCACCGGTGGGTGGGCGCCGTGTATTCCCACGACTGATCCGTGTATTCCCTCTCTCTCCCAGCCATGCACGGCTGTTCCCAGGTCGTGGAGCTGCTCCTGGAGCGGTAAGCAGGCTCTTCCCAGCTTTTTCCTCCCCCTCCTCCCACCCTCTGCCAGGCCGGGGGGACACAAAGGCCGCTTGTGCCGCTTCCCTTGGGGAAGCAGCTGCGATCCCGGCGCTCTCTCCCGGCGCTCCAGGTTTTTCCCAGCTGGCTGGGGGAGGACAAGGGCTCTCCCTGGATGTGCTGCCACGGCTGTGACACAACCCCCAGTTATGTAACCCGGCCTTTCTTTTCCCTGCTGATTCATTCCCGAGGCCGGATGGGCAACAACAACGCGGCGGATTTCTGGCGGCTCAGAGCCGGGGGTGCAGCTTTGCTAGGCTGGGCTTATCTTTTGTTTTTGGGCCGTGGAGTGGCTTTAAATCAGCCCAGTCATGCCTGATGTGTTCCCTTTCCCTGGGAATTGCAGCTAAGCCCAACCTTGTTAATACCAGCTCTGTGGTTTGAGCCAGGCTTAATTCAGCTTTAATTCAGTTTTTTCTCTTCTCAGTGACATTTGTGGGCTCTGATTTTTCCCACATCATTACACGAGGATCCAGGTTTTTTTCCCTGCTTCCAGGGCATACCTTGCCCATCCTGGAGACCCTCTGGGCATGGGGGAAAGGGAATTATAAATCATCTGCAGAAGCCTGGCTTGCCCAAATCTCTGACCCCAAAAAAACCCCCCCCAGGCCCTAAAACACCGAGACAGGTTTATCCAGTAGGGTTTATATGTTCCATTTTTGATCCCAGCTGCTGACAGCCTCTTTCCATGAGGATTTGATTGCTGCCAACAGCTCTGTCTTGGCTTTTTTTCTCCTCTCCCAGGTGCCACTACCGACCTGACAGCAGGGACAAGTGTGGAGTCACTCCCTTCATGGATGCAATCCAGAACGGGCACCTCGACATCGCCCGGATGCTCCTGGAAAAACACCAGGTTGGTGCCCAAAAAAAACCTCTCCTGCCCCCTCCAGGAGCTGCCAGGACAGGGAAGAAGGAAAATTTGTGTCGTAAAGAAGAAAATTCCCAGATTGTAAAGAAAAGGGGTTGTATAAAAAGGGAGATTCCCCTTGGAGGTGAGCAAGGTCACCAGGACTCGGATCCAGGTGAAGATCTCACCCTGGGGCAGGAATCGTGGAATCCTGGGATGGTTTGGGTTGGAGGGACCTTAAAGGTCATCCAGGTCCAACCCCAGCACTTCCCACTCTCCCAGGTTGCTCCATCCTGGCCTTGGACACTTCCAGGGAGCCAGGGGCAGCCACAGCTCCTCTGGGCACCAAGCTTTGCCCCTTGGGTGCTGCCCAGCACAGAGAGAAGGGGCCAGAGGTTGCCTGAAATCCCTCTTGGAATCTCCAGATGTCCAAGCCCAGGAGATCTTGAAAGGCTTCTCTGAAGCCTTTTGGGCTTTGCTGGGTCTCAAAATGACTAAAAACCATGTTTAGTGTCTTGACATGTCCCCCAGCACCATTCAGGCACTGAGAGAACTATAAATCCATGGAATCTCTGCTCCTGGCAGGGAAGGAGCTCCTGCACTGGGCAGAGCCAGGGATCAAATCCCCTCTGTGCAAACAGGAGAACAAAGAGGCCCCAGTTCCTTTGGATTTGTCACCATTGGGAAAAAACAGTTTGAGAGTCAATTCTTAGAGGTGAGGAACAAACACCCCTGAGCTGGGAGAGATGGGAGATCATGGAATGGTTTGGGATGGAAGGGGCCTTAAAGACCATCCAGTTCCAACCCCAACACCTTCCACTATCCCAGGTTGCTCCAACCTGGCCTTGGACACTTCCAGGGATCCAGGGGCAGCCACAGCTTCTGTGGGAGATTCATTCCAGCCCCTCCCCACCCTCCCAGCCTGCATTATTTATTGATCATTTATTGATGGCAGGAGCCAGCCCCCTGCATTATTTATTGATCATTTATTGATTGCTGAGCCATCCGAGCCGGCTGGGGCCCCCTCAGGGCTCATTCCCACGGGATTGGGATGTTCCCTGACGGTTTCAGTCGCACATTTCGGGCTCTGAAGGTGGGAGAGTTGGTTTAATTCCCTCAATTAACCTTGGCCATGGAGCAGCACTGGGATCACTGGAAGGGTTGGTGCCTCCTGGGTTTTATAAAGCCTTAAGTCACCACCAGCCCTCAGGAAATTGGGTGATATCCTTGGGGATGAGTGCACTGTGTGTTAACTCCATCACTTCCCATAATTCCAGGCCTGTCCCACAGCCATGGATGCCCTGGGAGCTCAGGCTCTGAGTTCCCTATGTATTAATTCCATGACTTTCCATAATTCCAGGCGTGTACCACAGCCATGGATGCCCTGGGAGCTCAGGCTCTTGAGTGTCCTGTGTATTAATTCCATGACTTTCCATAATTCCAGCCCTATCCCACAGCCATGGATGCCCTGGGAGCTCAGGCTCTTGAGTTCCCTGTGTATTAATTCCATGACTTTCCTTAATTCCAGCCCTATCCCACAGCCATGGATCTCCTGGCAGCTCAGGCCACAAGTGCCCTGTGTGTTAATTCCATAACTTTCCATAATTCCAGGTGTGTCCCACAGCCATGGATGCCCTGGGAGCTCAGGCCACGAGTGCCCTGTGTAATTATTCCATGACTTTCCATAATTCCAGCCCTATCCTACAGCCTGGGAGCTCAAGCTCTGAGTGCCCTGTGTGTTAATTCCATGACTTTCCATAATTCCAGCCCTATCCTACAGCCATGGATGCCCTGGGAGCTCAGGCTCTGAGTTCCCTGTGTGTTAATTCCATGACTTTCCATAATTCCAGGCGTGTCCCACAGCCATGGATGCCCTGGGAGCTCAGGCTCTGAGTTCCCTATGTATTAATTCCATGACTTTCCGTAATTCCAGGCGTGTCCCACAGCCATGGATGCCCTGGGAGCTCAGGCCCTGCACAGGGCAGCTGTGACAGCCCAGGATGGATCCATCCAGTTCCTGGTGTCCGAGCTGGGGGTGGATGTCAATGGAAGAGCCACTTCCCTGCGGATCCCGGCCCTGCACTACGCGGCCAAGGTTGGTCCCTGTTCCCAGAATCCCTTGGAAAAGGGATCTTTTGCCAGGCACCTCAAACAGCCTGGTTTGGGTGAGCGAGGAGTTGCATTCCGGGCTCATCCTCTGTCCCTGTCCACCTGCTCCTGAGCAGTCCCATTCCCTGTTTTCTGGGCAGGGTTAGATGGGATATTGGGAAGGAATTGCTGGCTGGGAGGGTGGGGAGGGGCTGGAATGGAATTCCCAGAGAAGCTGTGGCTGCCCCTGGATCCCTGGAAATGTCCAAGGCCAGGCTGGAGCAACCTGGGCTAGTGGAAGGTGTCCCTGCCCATGGCAGGGGTGGCACTGGAGGTTTTTAAGGTCCTTTCCCACCCAGACAATCCTGGGATTCCATGATTCTGGAGCCCCTCTGCTCTGAAGCCAGGCTGGGAGAGCTGGGAATGTTCCCCTGGAGAAGGGAAGGCTCCAGGGAGAGCTGAGAGCCCCTGGCAGGGCCTAAAGGGGCTCCAGGAGAGCTGGAGAGGGACTGGGGACAAGGCCTGGAGGGACAGGACACAGGGAATGGCTTCCCAGTGCCAGAGGGCAGGGATGGGTGGGATATTGGGAAGGAATTGCTGGCTGGGGGGGTGGGGAGGGGCTGGAATGGATTTCCCAGAGAAGCTATGGCTGCCCCTGGATCCCTGGAAGTGTCCAAGGCCGAGTTGGAGCAACCTGGGATATCAAAGGATGTTCCTGTTGGACCAGATGACCTTTAGAGGTCCCTTCCCAGCCGAGCCATTCCATGATTCCATGAGTGTGTCCAGCTGTGCAGAGGGTTGCAGGATGTGCCCTGACGTGGGAAGGCAGTGGGAGCTCCCAGAGCTTATCTGTGTCCTTCACTCCGGAGCTGTTTTGAATTCCAGGCAGTGAGAATCCTTGGAGCTTTCTCCTCCTCCTGCGGGGGAAGCGGGGCCTGATGGGCTGCGAGTCCTGCAAAGCAGATCCCCAAATCCTGCTGACCAGGATTCCCTCCTGCCTGGAATTGTCGCTCCATGCCGTGCTGGCAACCGGCAGCCAGGGAACATCCCTGCCCGGATCCCGGGATTTTAAACCTCCCGGGCTCGAACCTGCAGCGCTCAGAGCCTGGTCTAGACTTGCAGTGGGAATAAAGCAGCATCCCAGTGCCCCCACTCCTATGAAAACCTCCCCTGGGAATGCTGGCAGCGGGATCCAGCCCCACAAAGGAGCCCTTTCTCCCGGCTCCCCTTTCCCTCCTTGCTCCCAGAAAACCCTTCTGGTTGCCAAGGGGACGTTTTTGGGGAATACAATGTGCCTTGGAGAAGATCCCAGCTCCGTCCTGGCCGATTAGGGAAGGGCTGGATGGGATTCTCTCCCTGGCCCGGGCTCGGTGTCACTTTGGATTTAACCATAATTTCTTTGGTTTGTTTTTTTTTTTTCCTTCTTTTCCTTCTCTTCCTTTTATCCTTCTTTTCTTTTGGCCTTTATTAAACACGGGAAAATCGAATTATGGGGTTGTTTTTTTCTCAACTCAATTTGCTGCCCAGGCTGTGGCAGCTGAAGCAGTTCCTGGCTCCACGTCTTTGCCATGGAAAAGGGAGTGGAGCCATGGAAAATGCAGCAGGGAGAGGGGAGCCTCGGGCACGGGGAAGATGCTGTGGAATCCTGTGGGAATGAGGGAAAAGGGGATAAAAAAGAGCTTTCCATTCTCATCCTGCACGACAGAGGCTAATTGATGGCATTGAAGAATTCCAGGATCAGGTATGTTATTAAGGGAGACAGGATTTATTTATGGAGAGAGGAGAGGGGTGGGGGCTGTGCTGTGTTTTCCCCTGTGGAGTCTGGAATTCCGGGCAGAGGAAGGAGGGAGGACACCGGGGGTCATGGCTGGCTGTGTCATCTCACAGGGCATCCCAAATCCTGGAGCAATCCTTTGGGAAATCCACAGCCCGCGTGAGCAGCAGCTCTTGGAGCTGAAATAACCCCGGGAAGAGCAACTGGGAGTTACAGGGATAGGGAATTGAAAGCTGGAAAGGGACTTTGGACAAGGCGTGGAGGGACAGGACACAGGGAATGGCTTCCCAGTGCCAGAGGGCAGGGAGAGATGGGATATGGGGAAGGAAGGGGAGGGGCTGGAATGGATTTCCCAGAGAAACTGTGGCTGCCCCTGGATCCCTGGAAGTGTCCAAGGCCAGGCTGGAGCAACCTGGGATAGTGGAAGGTGTCCCTGGGGTTGGAACTGGATGGGATTTGAGGTCCCTTCCCACCCAAACCATCCTGGCATTCCATGAAGGTGCCTTGTGGCACCTCTCTGGCCCATTCCCGTGGGATAACAGCAGTGTTCCTGCTGTGCCAGGGGAATTCCTGCATCGTGGATCCACCCTGCACTTCCACAGGCACCTAACCCCGACTTTCCATCCACTCCAAGCTCCAGAGGATCTTGGAGCAGCTCCTGGTATCCTCAGATTTGACCATGACGGGGCAGATCCGTGCCCTCCCAGGTGAGGGATCATCAGAGCTGATCCCGAATTCCCTGTTTCCCTGCAGGAAGGACACGGACACACCATCCTGACGCTGCTGTCCCTCGGCGCCGATCTCCGGGCTCAGGACGGGAAGAGCCGTTCCGGTAAGGAAGGAGCTGCTCCTTCCCCCTCTGCGTGACCCCCAGAGCTTCCATAAATGCATCCCAACCTCCAGGTCACCCTGGAGCACGCAGGGAGATCCCAAATCCATGGATACCAAAGGCTCTGGGAGCAGCATGACGTAAAAACAGAGGTTTTGGTTTGTTTTTTTTCCCCGGTTTTCATTCACTAATTTTCTCCTTGCTGGAATTTCTGGTGCTTCTGACTCGAGGGCTTTTCCCTTGGGGAAGAGCAGAGATGTTCCTTGGGGGAAGAACAGAGATGCAAACCAGGGCTTTCTCTTTATCCACCTCCTTAATTTTTTCCATGAGACTTTTCCGGAGCTTCGATTCTCCGCCTCGCCGGAATTTGGCTGGAACGAGCCCGCCTGGAGCGGGTTGGGTGGATGAATCCAGGGACTTCCATGAGCTCTCCAGCCTCGATTTCCCAGCAAACAGCCCAGAAATGGGCTCATGAGCAAATAATAACACAGGGCTGGGACGTAAATAGAGTTGCCATAGCGATGCCGGAGTCGGCATTCCCGGCGGGAGAGGCTCCGGCAGCTCCTGCAGCAGCATCTCTGTCTCGGGAACAAAACCCACAGAAAGGGTTCCAGCCAAAATTGCCAAAATTGGCAGCTTTTAACCAGTCCTCAGGTTTGGTTAAAAACACCTGGGGGGATCTCTCCATCCGTCCCCTCCAGGAGGGAATCCCGGCTCTGCGGAGCTCATCCAGCCCTGGGAGGTTTTCCATGGCTCCTCCTGCCTGTTGGATGCTGTGTCAGTGTCCCTGTGTCCTTGGGAAGCTCCTCATCCCGATTTGGCATTGCATGGATTATCCATGGGGATCAGGATGCACGTTAGATCAAAGGAAGACAGTTTTTCCAAGGAAGGTGGTGAAACACCGGGATTCCCATCCCTGGGAACGTCCAAGGGCAGGTTCAGGGAGTAAATCCCGGCTCTGCTGAGCTCATCCAGCCCTGGAATGTTTTCCATGACTGTGTCAGTGTCCCTGTGTCCTTGGGAAGCCCCTCATCCTGATTTGGCACCTGCATGGATTATCCATGGGGATCAGGATGCACATTAGATCAGATAGAAGGAAGAAATCGTTTGCAATGAGGGGGGTGAAACACAAGTTTCCCGGAGAGGAATATCCAAGGAATCCCTGGGAATATCCAAGGGCATGTTCAGGGAGTAAATCCCGGCTCTGCTGAGCTCATCCAGCCCTGGGATGTTTTCCATGGCTCCTTGTGCCTGTTGGGTGTCCCATTCCCTGGCACCTTTCCTGTGTCAGTGTCCCTGTGTCCTTGGGAAGCTCCTCATCCCGATTTGGCACCTGCATGGATTATCCATGGGGATCAGGATGCACATTAGGTCAAAGGAAGACAGCTTTTCCAATGAGGGTGGTAAAACACCGGGATTCCCATCCCTGGGAATGTCCAAGGGCAGGTTCAGGGAGTAAATCCCGGCTCTGCTGAGCTCATCCAGCTCTGGGATGTTTTCTGTGGCTGTGTCAGTGTCCCTGTGTCCTTGGGAAGCTCCTCATCCCGATTTGGCACCTGCATGGATTATCCATGGGGATCAGGATGCACGTTAGATCAGATAGAAGGAAGAAATCGTTTGCAATGAGGGGGGTGAAACACAAGTTTCCCGGAGAGGAATATCCAAGGAATCCCTGGGAATATCCAAGGGCATGTTCAGGGAGTAAATCCCGGCTCTGCTGAGCTCATCCAGCCCTGGGATGTTTTCCATGGCTCCTTGTGCCTGTTGGGTGTCCCATTCCCTGGCACCTTTCCTGTGTCAGTGTCCCTGTGTCCTTGGGAAGCTCCTCATCCCGATTTGGCACCTGCATGGATTATCACGGGGATCAGGATGCACATTAGGTCAAAGGAAGACAGCTTTTCCAATGAGGGTGGTAAAACACCGGGATTCCCATCCCTGGGAATGTCCAAGGGCAGGTTCAGGGAGTAAATCCCGGCTCTGCTGAGCTCATCCAGCCCTGGGATTTTTTCCATGGCTGTGTCAGTGTCCCTGTGTCCTTGGGAAGCTCCTCATCCCGATTTGGCACCTGCATGGATTATCCATGGGGATCAGAATGCACATTAGGTCAAAGGAAGACAGCTCTTCCAATGAGGGTGGTGAAACAGAGATTCCCATCCCTGGGAACATCCCAGGGCAGGTTGGACGGGGCTTGGGAGCAACCTGGGGTAGCGGAGGGTGTTGGGGTTGGAACTGGATGATCCTTGAGGTCCCTTCCGAGCCGAGCCATTCCCTGATTCCATGACCCCATCCCACATTCCCAGCCCTGCACGCGGCCGTGGCCGGGCAGCAGGCGGAGGCCACGCGGATCCTGCTCCGTGCCGGGCTCCGGGACACTCCGGATGGCTCGGGAATGCTGGCCCAGCAGCTCGCCAGGAAGCCAGAGGTCATCCAGGTGTTCCAGGAATCCCAGGTCACCACGTGAGGCACGAGGAACGGGAGGAGCCCGGTGGATTTTCGGCCGGCGCGGTACGTCGGTGGTCGCGGAACAGCGTTCGGATTTAGGGAAATTATCTGTTTAAAGTGGTGGGATTTTCACCCAAAATCGAGGGGAGGAGCCAAGCTTGGCACTTGGGAATGTAATAAATGTAATATGAAATGGGATTATCTCAAAAAGATCACGGGTGTGATGGGTCTGGGCTCTTCCCCGGGAGGGCGGGGAGGCCCCGGCACGGGTTTTCCAGGGAAGTTGTGGCTGCCCCTGGATCCCTGGAAGTGTCTCCCAGGCCAGGTTGGAGCAACCTGGGATAGTGGGAAGTGTCCCTGCCCATGGCAGGGGTTGGAATTGAGATGAGCTTTGAGGTCCCTCCCACCCCAAACCATTCCATGATTGTGTCTCGCTCCTGACCCATCGTTGGAAATTTTACGGCTCTTTCTTCCTTCCCTCCCAAATTCCAGGGCTGAACTTCCTCCTGGTGCAGCTCCCGGAGCATCCAAACAGCTGAGGCTGCAGCTTCCTGCAGGGAAATATCCAAGGAAGATGCCACCTCGTGGGACCTGCCTGGCTCCTGCTGGGACATTCCCGCACCGTGGACATCCCGAAGGAGAAGATCCACCCGGAATGTTGAGTTTTATGGCCCTTCATGGACCTGCTCTCCACTAAATTCCTTTAACTGCCATCTCTTTGGACAAGGACAGGGAATCTTCAAGCTGCATCAACCTTTTGGGATCCCAAAGCTGATCCCAAATCTTGCTGGAATCCATAGTGGGACCTCAGCCTTGCAATGACATTGAGGGTCTTTGGATCGGGCTGAAAAAAAAAGGAGCTGGAATTGCAAATTCCATAGAAACACGGACTGCCCTTGTTTGTGCCTAATGCCAGGGGGGAAAACCAACAGGATTCTGCTTTTTTGGGGTAGGAGAGGTGGAAAATCAGGCAGGGAGTGAGTTGAGTGGTCTTGTTTCTCCATCTGTGGAGAAGGAGGAGAAATTCTTCCCCAGGAGGAAAAAGGAATTGCTGAAGGTGCTGGTGGGTGGTGGGAGCTGGATCAGTCCCTGGCTGGGCAAGGGAGTGCTTTTATCCCTATAAAAATCCCAAATCATTCCATAAATCTGGTCCTGGCCTCCATGCAGTGTGTGCAAATCCCATTCCCAAATCTGTGGTTTGGGTGGGAAAGGACCTTAAGGATCATCCAGTTCCATGGGCAGGGACAACCTTCCAGAATCCCAGGATGCTCCAACCTGGCCTTGGACACTTCCAGGGATCCAGGGGCAGCCACAGCTTCTCTGGGAAAACCTGGGCCAGGACAACCAAGTCCCACTGACCCACGTCCCCAAGTGCCACATTCAGGTGTCCTTTAAATCCCTCCAGGGATGGGAATTCCACCACTTCTCCCTTAAATCCCTCCAGGGATGGGGACTCCAACGTTCTCCCTTAAATCCCTCCAGGGATAGAGACTCCAATATTCTCCTTAAATCCCTCCAGGGATGGAGACTCCCAACATTCTCCTTAAATCCCTCCACGGATGGGAATTCCACCACTTTTCCCTTAAATCCCTCCAGGGATGGAGACTCCAACCTTCTCCCTTAAATCCCCCAAAAATGGGGACTCCAACATTCTCCTTAAATCCCTCCAGGGATGGAGACTCCCAACATTCTCCTTAAATCCCTCCAGGGATGGGAATTCCACCACTTTTCCCTTAAATCCCCTAAAAATGGAGACTCCAACATTCTCCCTTAAATCCCTCCAGCGATGGAGACTCCAATCTTCTCCCTTAAATCCCCTCAAAAATGGGGACTCCAACCTTCTCCCTTAAATCCCTTCAGGGATGGAGACTCCAATCTTCTCCCTTAAATCCCCTCAAAAATGGGGACTCCAACCTTCTCCCTTAAATCCCCCAAAAATGGGGACTCCAACCTTCTCCCTTAAATTCCTCCAGGGATGGGACTCCAATCTTCTCCCTTAAATCCCTCCAGCGATGGAGACTCCAACCTTGTCCCTTAAATCCCTCCAGGGATGGAGACTCCAACATTCTCCCTTAAATCCCTCCAGGGATGGGGACTCCACCACTTCTCCCAGGCTTTCCTCAGGTTGGTGGCCACGTATCCCCTTGGGATGTGCCTTTTCCTACCTCTTAGGAGCTGGTGGTGATTTCCTTACCCATCCTGTTCCCCTCCCCTGTGAGTTCCAAGGATTCACCCTCTGGTTGTCTCCCAATCCTGATGTCCCTGGTGGACATGATCCAAGAGCTCGAGGACACCACCAAGTCCTGTGCCACGTCTTCTCCTTGAGTCCTCCACTCCCATCCCGAGCTGACTTTTCCAACAAGAATTCCTGGAGGCGGCCGGTGCGGAGCAATGGCTGTTCCTTCATCCATGGATCTTCCCCATGGATACTGGAAGAGGTAGGAAGCCTTTCCCTGCTGCTTGGCCACCGGAAACGAGGCGTCTCCAACAGATCCATCTCCTCATCCATCTCTTCCCAGTGTCCAGCTCATTTCCAAGGAGGGATTTAGGAGCATCACCCGGCTCTCCACCATTCCCAGAGTCCTGGCAGAGGCAGGGAATGCAGCCCTAGGATCAAATTAAGAGGTCTTAAGGTTCCTAATCCATGTCCCCGAGAGCCATAAGCAGCTTTTCCGCCTTTTCCGTGCTCCCTCCCCGGGGTGCTGATCCAGGGGGTGTTCCAGCCCCAGCCTGGGGGAATTCCTGGCTCCTGCGGGGAAGGGGGCGGTGGAGGATTTAAAAAAAAACCCTCTGAAATGCAGGGAAAAGCTCAAATCTTCTGGAAAACTGAGGGGTTTGGATGTGGATGGGCAGGATCCGGGTGGGATTTTCCACACCGGGCGTGGTCCTGGGTGAGAGGAAAAGTGGGTTTTGGGGGGGGGAAAGGAGGAAAATCCCAAACCTCCATTTGGGAGGTAGAAACACACTGGAATTATCACTGATTGTCATTAAAGTGAGGGCCCCTCCTAAACTGAGGGATCCCCTGAATTGAGGAACCCCCCAAATCTGAGGAACTCCCTAAACTGAGAGATCCCCCTAAATTGAGGGATCTCCCTAAATTAAGGAACCCCCCAAATTGAGGGACCCCCCAAATTGAGGGATCCCCTCAAATTGAGGAACCCCCTAAACTGAGGGATCCTCCCAAACTGAGGAACTCCTCTGAATTGAGGGATCCCCCTAAATTGAGGAACCCCCCAAATTGAGAGATCCCCCTAAATTGAGGGATCTGCCTAAATTGAGGAACCCCCCAAATTGAGAGATCCCCCTAAATTGAGGGATCTGCCTAAATTGAGGAACCCCCCAAACTGAGGAACCCCCCAAATTGAAGATCCCCCTAAATTGAGGAATCCCCCAAATTGAGGGACCCCCCTAAATTGAGGGATCCCTCCTAAATTGAGGAACCCCCTAAACTGAGGATCCTCCTAAATTGAGGGATCCCTCTAAATTGAGGGATCCCTCCTAAATTGAGGAACCCCCCAAATTGAGGGATCCCCCCAAATTGAGCATTCCCCTAAATTGAGGAATCCCCCAAACTGAGGAACCCCCTAAATTGAAGGACCTCCCAAATTGAAGAATCCCCCAAATTGAGGGACCCCCCCAAATTGAGGAACTCCTCTAAATTGAGGGATCCCCCTAAACTGAGGAAACCCCCAAATTGAGAGATCCCCCAAATTGAGGGATCTGCCTAAATGGAGGAACCCCCCAAATTGAGGGATCCCCCCCAAATTGAGGAACTCCCTAAACTGAGGATCCCCCTAAATTGAGGGATCCCCCAAATTGAGGAACCTCGCAAATTGAGGAACCCCCCTAAATAGAGAACCACCCCCTAAACTGAGGACCCCCCCATGAAATAAGGAACTTCCCCAAATTCTGGACCCCTCCTCCCCCCAAACTGAGGTCACTCCCCAGACTAAGACCCCCTAAATTGAGGAGCCCCTCCCCCAATCGAGGACTCCCCCCAAATTAAGGAACCCCCCCCTAAATTGAGGAACCCCCTAAAGTGAGACATCCTCCCCTAAATTCTGGACCCTCCCCCCAAATTGGGGACACCCCCCAGACTAAGAACCCCCTAAATTGAGGAGACCCCCCCCCTAAATTAAGGAACCCCCCAAATAGAGGGTCTCCCCCAACTGAGGACCCCCCCTAAATTGATGACTCCCCTAAACTGAGGAAACCTCCCCCAAATTGATGACTCCCCCAAATTGAGACACCCCCCCAAAATCCTGCCTCCCCCCCCAAGTTAAGGACGACCCCCCCCCCAGTTGAGACCCCCCACCAAATGGAGGACCCCCCCCCTTTAAATCGAGGAAACCTCCCTCAAATGAATGATCCCCCCAAACTCAGACATCCCCCAAAATCCTGGACACTCCCCCTAAATTAAGGACCCCCTAAATTGAGGAGCCCCCCTAAAGTAAGCGCCCCCCCCTCCCCAAATAGAGGACCCCCCAATTGAGGACCCCCCCCCAAACTGGTGATCTCCCCTAAATCGAGGAAAACTCCCCAAATCAAGACACACTGCCCAGCATTTCCCCCCCCCCCCCCCCCCCCAAAAAAATTGGGGACCCCCCGATCGGATCCCGGGCGAGGAGGGCGAGGGACCGCACTGCGCATGCGCGCCGCGCCCCCCACCACGGTGGCAGCACCGCCCACACCCGCCGCGCGCCCGCCCTTTGATTGACAGCCCCGCCGGCCAATGGCACGGCGGACCGGGCGGTGATTGGCAGGCGCGTGGGCGGGGCGCGGGCGGCCCGGCCCCGCCCCCCCCGGCGCGGTCCCCTCACGGCGGCGGCTCCATTTTCTCGCGCTCCCGCGGCCCCCGCGCAGCGCCCGCTCCGCCTCAGCCCCCGGCCCGGAGACACCCGCCGCGACACCGCCGCGCCGCCATGAATGAGGAGTACGACGTGATCGTGCTGGGCACCGGCCTCACGGTGAGGAGCGGCCGCCGCCCGCTCGCGCCTCGGGCCTGCTGCGGGCGGCCGCCGCCCTGCCCCGCCCCGCCGCCCCCCCCCATCCTCCCCCAACCCCCGCCATCCCTCGCCTCCTGCGGCTGAGCCCCCTCCCCATCCCTCACCCACCGCGGCCCCGCTGTCCTTTCGTGTGGGTATCACCTGATTATCTTGCCCAGCTTGGCTCTGAGCCCCCCGGCCTCGGGCACGGGGGTCCCGGTGCCCCCTCGGGGGCGGGTCCCTTCGCCAGTGTCTCAGCTGATAATCGCCCCCCTCACCCCATTCGGGTCGTTTTCTTCGGCTGTGACCTCTGCGTCGGAGCTCCCCCTTAACTCTGTCCTCGTCCCTGCCCCCTCCCTCTGCCCAATATTACCCTCGGGGTCTGGTGTGTGGGACCCCCCGGGACCCCCGGGGTCCTTCCCCATCCTTAATGCTCACAGTAGCCCCCACCTTCAATCCCATCCTCACCCCATAATCCTTCCCCCCTCATTCCAGCCTTGTCTGGGTTCCTTCCTCCCCCCATCCCCAATATTATCTGGGGGTGTGTGACCCCCCAGGGACCCCCTTGGTCCTTCTCTCCATCACTAATTCTCCCAGCACCCCCCACCTTCAATCCCACCCTGGATCCTTCCCTCCCATTCCAACCCTGTGTTCCTCCCCCCCCCCCATCTCCAGTATTACCTGGGGTGTGTGACCCCCCCGGGCCCCCTGCATCCTTTCCCCCATCATTAATTCTCCCACCTTCAATCCCACCCTGGATCCTTCCTTCTCATTCCAACCTTTTCTGGGTTCCTCCCCAACCATCCCCCATATTACCTGGGGGTGTGTGACCCCTCCCAGGACCCCCTGGATCCTTTCCCCCATCATTAATTCCCACAGCACCTCCCACCTTCAATCCCACCCTGGATCCTTCCCTCCCATTCCAGCCCTGTGTTCCTTGCCCCCCCTCCATCCCCCATATTATCTGGGGATGTGTGACCCCTCCCAGACCACCTGGATCCTTTCCTCCATCATTAATTCTCACAGCACCCCCCACCTTCAATCCTACCCTGGATCCTTCTCCCCTCATTCCATCCCTGTCTGGGTTCCTCCCCAACCATCCCCCATATTATCTGGAGATGTATGACCCCCTCCCAGGACCCCCTGCATCCTTTCCCCCA